GGTGGAAGGCCAGTCACACGGATGTGTTTTGCACTGTGGCTTTAAAAGATTTCAAGATCCTTTGCATTAACCCGTCTCCAGCAGAGGAAAAAGAAATGGGTCTTAAGGAAAAAAAGAATTGGGACCAGTTGGGTCACCTTTTGGTCCAGGAATCACCAGATTATGCAAGTTCTCTAACGTTCTAGAGAAACTGCTCTATCACAGTGGTCGTGACAGTTTACGTGATTCAGGGGCTCTGGCTGACTCAGGGGGGAAGAATTTGGAACTTCCAAACAATTGGTAATCAAGAAAAACCACCTGAAGTGGCTCTGAACGAAATTCTTAATGAATACCTACAGTCTACTCTGGGCTGTGATGCAGCTGCTGGAAGGAAACATCTTTTGTCCATGCAGTTACTAAAGTAGCTTTCAAAATGACTTTGCCATAATGAGTAATTCCTGGTTTGATTGTGGAATCATCTGTCAAATATCATTAGATGGGGGCCAGAGAGATAGTACCAGGGGCAGGACACTAGCTGTGCATGCGGTTACTGCAGCTGCAGCCCTGGTTCATCTCCCTGGCAACTGCATGTGAACCCTGACCACCACTAGGGCTCGCTGCTCAGCACAGAGCCTAGTATAACCCCTGAGCACTAAAGGATGTGGTCCAGAAGCTAAAAAAAAAAAAAAAAAAAGCATTGGATAACACAAGTCTTCATTTTCTTGAGCTAGTATGAGGGTCTTAATTTATCATATGTGAAATACATGAGGCTATTTATCAGCTTATTAATGATCACTGCCACTGGTTTGGGGTCTGTGGATTAAGGGACCTGCAGATCTTCCATCCCATGGACAATATTAGTGGTTTTGTTGGTTTGTCTATTGAATCACTGTGAGACACAGTTACAAGGTTGTTGAGGATTGGGTTTCAGTTACATAATGTTGCAGCACCGGTCTCTTCACCAGTGTACACTTCCCACCCCCAAGGTCCCCTTTCCCTCCTTGCCCTCCATCATCCCTGCCTCAGTAGCAAGGACTTTCTCTCTCTCTCTCTCTCTCTCTCTCTCTCTCTCTCTCTCTCTCTCTCTCTCTCTCTCTCTCTCCTTTTGAACGTTTGAACGTTACGGCTTGCAATGCAGATACCAAAAGGTCATCCTGCATATCCCTTTACTTTCAACACTCAGTTCCTGTCCAGAGGGATCACTTCTAACTGTTACTGTCATACTGGTCTCTTCTCTATCCTAACGTCCCTTTGTCCCTCACACTCGTGGTAAGTTTCCAACTATTGTAATGTTTTCTTATCATAGCCATATTTTAAAAATTCCTTACTTTTCTTTGTTGGGGGAATCAGAGTATGGAGAGCGAACCCAGGACTTCACACATACTAAATGGAAAGTATTTATACATTCTTTCTATTTATATACAACTTTCTATTTTTTGGGTTAGGGGCCACACTCTTCTGTGCTCAGGGATCATTCCCAGAGGAGCTTGGGGTATCGTATGTGGTGCTGGGGGGTTGAACCACAGTCAGCCGCATGCAAGATGAGCAGCTCAGCTGCCGTGCTATCTCTCCTGACCTTTATGCATATTTTAAAAGTATTATTTTGCAAGCTTGTCAATAAAAAATAGGATGATCCTTGTGAAATGTATCTTCTTTAAAAAATTGACAGTTATTTAAGTTCCTTTGGAGTCTGTTTCCAAAAGAAAGTGCTGTCGGATTGATTGTTCTTGAAGTTTCCTTCTGACTGGTAATTCTGTTCAGTACCACACAAGACCCTGGATGTCCGCAGTAATGATGATTTTTGTACAAGGTCAGCAACCTTCCCGGGGGCAGTTGTGAAATTGTTGATTATATTGGGGGACCAGTAGGCAGTGACCTGGGTGGAGGAGAGGCATGTGGTTGATAACTACCTTGCTTATCCTGTCTGTCTGGATGAGGACTATTGTGATTTATACAACTTCTTTCATCCAGCTACTTCAAAGCACTTTACAAACTCTGGCTCATTATTTCCTCAAGCCCAACATCAAGAAAGGCCGATTGGTGTCTTTTTAATTAATTCCAAAATGGGGAAACTGAACGAGACAGAACCTTAAAAGATTCTTCTAAAAGTATACCGCATTGGAAAGACCCAAGATATATAGTAGGGGTATTACCACTTTGTAACTGAAAAGAAAGGAAAATAATCTACGTGCTTATTTTTGGAGACAAGTATAAATACTGGCCCATTCATTACAAGGAATATCATATAGCCATTCTATCAAATGAAGAGTATTCATGCTGGGAAAATGGTCATCACTGAACTTTAAATGGCATGCACAAGATAAATCATGATATGTAATGCATAAGAAAATGTTTCGTGTATAAAATAAAAACAGAGTGAAAAAGAACCACTTTTCTTAGCAATGATTTTCCTCCGTGCAGTGGAGTACTGGATGGTTGTTTTCTTATTTCCTGTACTTTCTGTTATGTTCAACGATTCAATATTGAATACATACGAATCATAGTATTTTCATAATCATATATAACTTGAATGGTATTTGTATGTTAAATAATCATCTGATTCTGAGGGGGCCAGAGCGATAGTACAGTGGGTAGGACATTTGTCTTGTACGTGGCCAACCTGGGTTTGATCCCTGGCATCCCATATGGTCCCCTAAGCACCACCAGGAATAATTTCTGAGTGCAGAGCCAGGAATAACCCCTGAACATTGCTGGATGTGAGCCCTCCCCCCCCCAAAAAAAAAGAAAAGAAAAAAGAAAAAAAAATCATTTGACTCTGAAAGAATGTGTTTTGGAAGGGTGGCATGGATCCATTAAAGCAAATGACAAAGTGTCAGGGAGATAGCACTGGCTCAGGGGTTAAGGCTCTCGACCCAAGTTCAATCCTTGGCACCACGTATGGTCCACCAGAAGTGAGCCCTGAGCTTAGAAACAGGAGTAAGCCCTGAGGACCACCAGGTGTGACCTGACCTCCCCCACACGGTGGTCTTCAGGGCTTACTCCCTGACCCTTTGTCATTTGCTTTAATGGATCCATGTCACCCTTCCGCAACCCCTGTGCATCGCCGGGTGTGACCCCCCCCCAAAAAAAAGAAACAAAACAAAACAAGATTGCTTGGTTTCTGAGTTACATCCCATCAAATCTGGGTGTAATACTGCTGGGATGTCAGTGTTGTGGAGTTTGGAGATTTCGCTCCAGAAAATCCAGAATATTTAACTGGGCTGTCCAGCCAGAGGGCATGGAGACTTGTTAGATACAATAGTTTTCACAAATTTTCTTCTACAGAAATATCTTCTCCCCCCGCTAAAGGAGGGTAGGACTCTCAGGCTAGGACTTGTGAGCTGAAACCCAGGAGAGGAAGAAGGGATTGTCGTTTTGACGAAAGGATTCTCTTCCAGGCTGGAGAACTGCAGGGAGAAAAACCCCAAGGTGGAGGAATTTTGCTCCATGGCTTGGAGGCCAACCACACATACTAGGGGAAAAAGGAGCTCAGATAGAGAAAGGAACACCAAATAAAGGTGTTGGGAGGATCCTCCCAGGATGGGAGAAGCATGCTGAAAGTAGACTATGGACCAAACATTCAATGCCTCTTTTTGCAAACCACAGCACCCAATAGGAGAGAGAGAACAAAAGGGAGTGCCCTGCCACAGAGACAGGGTGGGATGGGGGGATGGGGGTTGGGAGGGATACTGGGATCCGTGGAGGTGGGAAATGGGCACTGGTGGAGGGATGGGTATTTGATCATTGTATTTTTGGAACCCAAGCACAAAAATGTGTAAGTCTGCAACTATACCTCATGATGTCTCACTATTAAAAAATTAAAAAAAAAAAAAAACCCAAGGTGGGAATGGCCGCAGGAGCTGGCAGCTAATGGCTGGTTTGGTACAAGTTTACTGGCCCCAGAGGTGAGGGAGATGACAGGCTCTGAGCCCTGCTCCATCCCTGCACTTCATCACTGCTACTTCTGTCCATCCAGTTTCATTCCCGCGAGCAGCTGAGGAACGACTGGATCTGCCTGACTCAAGACTGGCTCTTACTCCCATTTGACCCAGCAATACCACTCCTGGGAATATAACCCAGAGAGGCAAAAATGTATAGTCGAAGTGACATCTGCACTTGTTTGTTCATTGCAGCACTCTTTACAATAGCCAGAATCTGGAAAAAACCTGAGTGCCCGAGAACAGACGACTGGTTAAAGAAACTTTGGTACATCTACACAATGGAGTACTATGTAGCTGTTAGAAATGATGAAGTCATGAAATTTACTTACAAGTGGTAAAAAGCCCTAAGTAAAGGCCCTCCTGTTGTTCATCGATTTGCTCAAGCGGGCCCAGTAACGTCTCCATTGGAGACTTTGTTGTTACTGTGTTTGGCATATCGAATACGTCACGGGGAGCTTGCCAGACTCTGCATACAAGTGGTACTACATGGAAAGTATCATGCTAAGCGAAATGAGCCAGAAAGAAAGGGATAGACATAGAAAGATTGCATTCATCTGGGGGACATAAAGTAACAAAATAAGAGACCAACATGCAACAACAGCTGTGATAAATACCAGGAGGTTCACTCCATGGCTTCGAGGCCAACCCCGCACTCTAGGAGTAAAGGCAGCTCAGATGGAGAAGGGAGCACCAAATAAAGAATGCTGGGAAGATCTGCCCAAGATGGGAGATGCCTGCTGAAAGTAGTCTATAGACCAAACATGATTGCCACCCAATGTCTCTTCTGCAGACCACAGCACCCAAAAGGAGAGATAGAACAAAAGGGAGTGCCCTGCCACAGAGGCAGGGTGGGATAGGGGGATGGGGGGTGGGAGGGATACTGGGACCCGTGGTGGTGGGAAATGGGCACTGTTGGACGGATGGGTACTCGATCATTGTATAACTGAATCCCAAGCACAGCAACTTGTAAGTGTACAACTGTACCTCATGGTGTTTCACTAATAAAAAGTAAATTAATTTTTTAAAAAAAGACTGGCTCTTAGGGGCTTCTTCATCGACCTCTCCTCCTTTCTCTTCCAGAAATCTTCTCTACGTCTACCCACAGAGGCTGAACTTCGCTAACAAACTAGCATCTGCCCGGAACATTACAATCAAGATCCAGTTTATGTGTGGAGAGGACGCGAGCAGCGCAATGCCGGTAAAGGGGGAAGGACACGTTTGCCTCAAACCAGCCTCGACCACATTTCCCTTATCAGTTCACCGGGATCAGATCCAGGCCTTATCAGCGTCTCACCACTGCTCCACATGTGCGGAGGCCTCTGTGGCTAGACCAGTAGTCACCCCAGGGAACTGATGGGGAACAGATTCAGTCTCAATCGAAAGTCTACTGTGTTGCGAGCTGTGAAATCTAGAGACACAGCTACTTTTATTTTTTTTATTTATTATTATTTTTTTGCTTTTTGGGTCACACCTGGCGATGCGCAGGGGTTCCTTCTGGCTCTGCACTCAGAAGTTACTCCTGGCGGTGCTCAGGGGACCATATGGGATGCTGGGAATCGAACCTGGGTCGGCCACGTGCAAGGCAAACGCCCTACCCGCTGTGCTATCGCTCCAGCCCCGACACAGCTACTTTTAGAGGAGTGGAGAATATAATATAGTCTTCCCACACCTCTTGAACATCACAGGAAATGAGAAGGAAATGAGAAGCCTTCCTGTGCCCAAATGAGTCAGTTCTGTTTGCTGGATTTGCAGATAAACCATGCAGTGCCACCTCTGGAGGTAAATCTGAAGTGGGCCTGAATTTCTGCAAGAAGGGTGACACACCATCTCAACACCCGTTACTATTGGATCTTCATCCTGAAAATTAGTATATAAGTCAAATAGCAAGTAAATAATGCAGTGCTCTTTGTGAACTCCCAAAATGCCGGAACTCACATTGTATGACCGTCAGCTCCCAACTGAGCTGGGCAGTTGGCACTTATCAGTTCTGAAAGTCCAAGGGGGCAGCTAAGTTACCTTTGTGTTGAAGAAATTTCTCTCAGTAATTCCATTCTTCAGATATCTACGCGGTTGGCTTCGCAAACCATCCTCCCAGTGCCCATCCTGCCTCCAAGGCATCCTCATTGCAAGGGCCCCTCTTGCAGTGATGATGAGAACAAAATCCTCTTCGAATCTTCTCAGTCCTGTCCCTGGCACATCCACCAGTGCTGCCTGGAGCACTGTGCAGAACCTAAGTGTGCCAAGGTGCCTAGCCAAGGACACGTGAGGGCTAACTCCAGCCCATTCTCCACTCTCCAGCCCTGTGTCCTCGCCTGGACATGGCTGTGAGCAATGGAAAGGACCATTTGTCTTCGCCCAGTAGCGAACCCACTTGTTAATTTATGCACCTTTGGAGCTGATGGAGCCTGGTAGTTTCTTTTTCTGTTTTTTTTTTTCTTTTTGGGTCACACCTGGCGATGAACAGGGGTTACTCCTGGCTCTGCACTCAGGAGTTACTCCGGGCGGTGCTCAGGGGACCCTATGGGATGCTGGGAACCGAACCCGGGTCATCCGCGTGCAAGGCAAACGCCCTACCCGCTGTGCTATCTCTCCAGCCCCAGTTTCTTTTTCTAAAGAGCAAAAACATGTGTACAGACCAGTGAAGGTTGTCACTATCTCAGCGACCAGGTCTGTGACTTTAGGAGAAAAAAGAGCCCTGATCAGGGACCTTTACTGAAGGCCAAACCATGTGACTTTCCCCTGCAATGTGGACTTTGGCAAAAATGAAGTAGGGAGAGCCCTGGGCTTCCATTGTCACAAACCCGGGGCCCTTTGTCATTAGTGCAGCCCATTGGAACCTCAGTTTACCCTTTCTACTCAGTCCTTTTGCATCTGTGCAGTTGGTCCAGTTATAGAACTCACCAGTTCTCTGAGAGCAGGCGATCCGACGGGGCTGATGAAAGTTGATTTTGTCCATCCAGACATCAATGTGAATTTGATCCTTTCTGTATTGGTTAAAAGGTCATCTTTGGAAAATCCAGTGGGCCTGAATTTCTGCAAGAAGTGTACACAGCTGTTACGTACCATAATAAGTAAGTATATTTCTGGGTTTGAAGTATATGCTAAAATTATTTCAGCATCTCTTGGTATTTCTGAACCCCCTAAGCGATTTTCCCCCAATAACTTTTATAGCTCAGGGACTATAATTTTCTTGCCAGTTCCGTGATTCTATGTTGAAGAAAATTTTTTGCCATTAACTAATTCTGGAATAAAGAACCTCTTTGAGAATCTAATGGGGGCTGGAGCACTAGTACAGTGGGTGTGGTGCTTGCCTGCACATGGCCAACCCAAGTTCAATCCCAGGCACATTTGGTCCACTGAGCCCTACTAGTGATCTCTGAGTGTACAGCCAGGAATAAACCCCACTGGCTGTGACCCTCCAAAACCAAATAACAATAACAAAAAGAATCTAATAATTTTTAGATTTTACTGAAATTTTAAAGATAATGGAGACGCTTTCTCCTGTTTAGAAATAAGTTTTCTATCCTGGGGCTGGAGAGATATCACAGCGGGTAGGGCGTTTGCCTTGCACGCGGCCTACCCGGGTTCAATTCCCAGCATCCCATATGATCCCCTGAGCACTGCCAGGGGTAACTCCTGAGTGCAAAGCCAGGAGTAACCCCTGTGCATTGCCAGATGTGACCCCCCCCCCCAAAAAAAGCAGAAAAAAAAGAAATAAGTTTCCTATCTTACTTTGAGTTGCTCAGTGGGGCCAGAAACTGAATCTCACTCTTTGTTCTGTCACCTCTCTTCTTGACACCATCCCATCTCTGCCCCAGTAACCACTTTAAGAAAGTTTAAGCTGACCAAAGGAGAAATGGAAGATGCATTATTGGGTCTTTCTGTTTGTTTAGGGCTGGAGCGATAGCACAGCCATAGGGTGTTTGCCTTGCGCATAGCCAGCCTGGCCGAGTCGGGTTCGATTCCTCTGCCCCTCTCAGAGAGACCTGCAAGCTACTGAGAGTATCTTGCCCGCGCAGCAAAGCCTGGCAAGCTACCCATGACGTTTTCAATATGCCAAACACAGTAACAACAAGTCTCAAGATGGAGACTTTACTGAACCCACTCGAGCAAATCGATGAGCAATGGGAGGACAGTGCAGTGCAGTGCTATGTTTGTTTGGTTGGTTTAGTGGTTACTCCCAGCTGTATTCCCAGTTGTCTCCTTGCATGATACTCACTCAGAGGTCTTCCCAGTGCTGCACGGGGGACCAGGTGTTGCCAGGGTCAATCCCAGGCCTCCTGCTTGCAAAGCATGTGCTCCAGCCCTTTGACATGTGAGCCATCTCCTTGGTCCTGGAAGACTCATTAATGTGTGAGAAATTAAGCCATAGACTAATATGTTATCTGCTATTCACGTTTCACAGGTAGGGAAGAGCACTCTGCCAGACAGATACGGATCTGATTCTTGACTGGTTTATTATTCTCTGAACCCACTTGTTTGGGTGGGGATAAGGTTCAAATAAGCAATGTACTATGTCCAGCCCTTGATAGGTCGGCTGGGACTTTGTAATTCATCAGAATCATGGTTTTTTTCCTTCCTACATCATTTCCTTCATAAATTTTTATATAATCTCTACTCCTAAATCAATAAAATTTATTTATTTTTCTAAAATCCTTTGATGATGGGGTGGGAACGATAGGAGGTAAGGCACTTGCCTTGCATGTAATTGAACCCCTTTTGATCCCTGGCACTGCTTGTGGTCCTCCAGAGGCTACCAGCAGTCACCCTGAGCACCACTGTGTTTTGCCCAAACATCCAAATAAGTAATAAATTGAGCAAGTCCATGGCTTGGAGGCCAGCCACACATGCTAGGGGAAAAGGCAGCTCAGATAGAGAAGGGAGCACCAAGTAAAGGTATTGGGAGGCTCCTCCCAGGATGGGAGAAGCATGCTGAAAGTAAACTATAGACCAAACACGATTGCCACTCAATGCCTCTTTTGCGAACCACAACACCCAAAAGGAGAGAGAGAGAGAACAAAAGGGAATGCCCTGCAACAAGAGGCTGGGTGGGATGGGGGTGGGAGGGATAGTGGGATCCGTGGTGGTGGGAAATGGGCACTGGTGGAGGGATGGGTATTTGATCATTGTATAACTGAAACCCAAGCACAAAATTTGTAAGTCTGCAACTGTCCCTCATGATGTCTCACTAATAAAAATTTTAAAAATTAAAAAAAAAATAAATTGAGTAAGTAAAATCTCTTGATGAGCACCAGCCATATGCCCCTTCCTGCTTGGGGGTGGCAGGAGAGAACCAGGTCACTGCAGGACTCTGAACTCTATCCCCTTTTTTACCTTATGTTGTTGGATTTTTCCACAGGGTACAGGTAGGTTTGTTTGCTCCTCCCAGCCCCAACACACACCCTCAAAGCCTTAGTGACCAGACTTATGTCAGTGGATGTCCTGGCTTGATCTCAAGGACTCCCAGCTGAGGAACAGAATGGTGTCCGTTGAAAAGCAGAACATCAACCGGGGGCCAGGGTAGAGAGCCAGAGGTCTGTGACCTTGGAACGTGTGGTCAGAGAAGCTGTCATTGTTCCTAAAGGTATTTGTACCTTTGAAACAGGTCCCCTGACTTCTACGAAGAAGTGAAAATCAAGCTCCCTGCAAAACTCACGGTGAACCACCACCTCCTGTTCACTTTCTATCATATCAGCTGTCAGCAAAAGCAAGGCTCCTTGGTGGAGAGTCTCCTGGGATATTCTGTGAGTCTTTGCAGCTCCCCAATTCACACAGCTGTGGTTGGTGCAGTCAAGGACCCTGCCGAGATGAACAACTGAAATTCTATTCACTTGACTTTTGTGTTGTCTCTGTTAGAAGTAGCAGAATGTGCCAAAGTATCTTTGCGGCAAAGAGCAGAGATGTCTTCATAGCAAATGACAAATTTGAGGAATAGAAAGCTAGACACTGTTATGGAAAGAGTCCTCATTCATTCATTTAAAAAAAATTGTACTTTAATATTTTCGTTTTATGTTTGCTTTTATCTTTGCTTTTTATTGCAATAGCCATCGTTTGCAAATCTTATATCTGTGCTTCACTTAAGAACACTCTTTTTTTAATGCCACAGGGGGAAAAGTTCAATTTTTAATAAACACAAAATGTAAAATAAACAGTGGTGGCATGACACGCATAAACGTTGGCTACTAGAACAGTGCTACTTCTTTGGCTCTGAACACAGTAAATCATTGCTACTACCATCTCAGGGACGCTAAGTGAATTTGAAATGCAAAGAACTTGACAGAAGTTATTGCCAAAAAGAACCCTGGTCAATATCTAATCATCGTTTAGTTGCATCTGATTATTGTGAGCTAGATAAACTGTCAGAATTATATGCTGTAATAAACACCACTTTGTTCTTTACATCATCTGTTTCAGTGGCTGCCAATTCTCTTAAATGAACGTCTTCAAACTGGATCCTACTGCCTCCCAGTTGCCCTGGAAAAGCTGCCGGTCAACTACTCCATGCATTCTGCAGAGGTAACCACTGAGCTGGCCATGAACTGCTTCCTGATCAACCATGGTCCTAACCCACTTGTCAGAACCACTGGCCGTTCCCTTCAGTATAACTGATGGTGTAGAAGATGTCTTTGGGGGCATGCGTGGACTCCCAAGCAATGCCAGAAGGGCCTGGGGACCACTCCCATCAGTACTGGGCCAACCAGGCTGGACAGTTCAATACTCGTCCTGGCACTGTGGTACTGGGGCCACCAGGGAAACCCTAACAGTGCCCAGGAGCCTTCAGATCTACATCTAGCAGTGCCGTGCTAGAGGGTGTGTGATGATGGGGATGGAACTCATACCCTTGTGCTTGCTAGGCTTGACCCATGACCTCTGAACCATCTCCCTGACCTGCTCGGCATGCCTTGGGGAGCAGTTATCAGCCATCACTGCAGGAGGCTTTCAGAGAACATGAGGTTCCCAAGGGTGTGGAGAGTGACCTGGTGGTGGAACCTCCTTCAGTAGCCATCAGCGGTTCAGAATGCTTGGTGAACGATCCTGCTACTGAGGCAGCATTATTATGCGTTGCCTGCCACAAAGGGACCCCCCCTCTCCCAAAATAATGAACATGACGGGGAAGGGAAATCGAGCGCCCTGGATTCCAGTTAGACGAGGAGAAGAGGTCAGAGCCCTGCAGCTGCCCCGCTGCATCAGTGCTCAGTGCTCTGGTGGCTAGCAGGGTTCGATTCCTCCAGGGATTCCCTGCCAGCATTCTCTCCACCCCGTTTCTGCACGCCTCTGCCCACTTGCTCTGTGACCATGCTTACTGAGTGAGAGCCCAGGTCTGCCCATTCCTCCCACACCAGCACCAGTTCCTCGGCTTCTCTGTTTGACTGGCAGAGGTTCCTGTCTATGAGTGCTAATTTGAAGCGAATCCCAGATTCCGCATTTCATTTATAAGTATTTTATCGGTTATTTGACTAGACCTTTCTCCCCCCCACAACCCTCCAGGAGACTTTGTTTTTCTTCGTTGTCCTTATTTTTCCCGGAAAGACAAGCTTCCTTGGCCCAGGGCTGTAAGTGATGCCTGGCCTTAGATCAAAACTACAAAATCACGTAAACGCAACCCGAGTTCGCTCACAGATATTCCCGATTACAATTTATGATTTGGACGCCCAGCCTTGGCAGCTCCCCAGACCACCTGTTCATCATCAAGCGGCACGTGCTAATTGCAGAAAATGTCCCATCAACATCTTAAAGTCGCAGATCCTGGGTTTTGTAGACCAACCGGCCCCAAGCCCAAAATCCAGATGTGACTTCTCCCTAACGGTGAACGTAGAAAGTTTGCTTCAACCTTCTTAAGACTCAAAGATGAAATTGGTCCTTGTCCGTGAGCATCAAATGAGAAAAGGATGTCAAACAGCAAAGCCAATGCTTAAGTAAACAGCGATTGCCTTTGCTGCTTGTCTGAAGTTATCTTTATCGATATGCTCTCAGCCTGCCCCAATGCCCTTTGTAGCTGGACTGTCCAGTATAGTTGCTGCTAGCTGCTTGTGGCTATTAAAATGTGTCTAGATTACACCCAGATGGACTGTAAATACAAACTGGACTTCAAACATTAAGTAGGGAAAAGGAATTTTTTTTAATTAAAAATCTCAAAAACTTTCCTATCTTGATTGCGTAATGATTCTCAATAATTTAATACTTTTTATAATAATTTAATAATTCTTTAATGATGTAACTATATTGAGTTAAAACATATTAAGATCATTATCACATACTTCTTTTTAATTTGAATTTTTTGGGGAGTGGTTTAGGGCTACACTTGTGGTTCTCAGGGCTCACTCCTGGCAGGAGTGTAATACTGGGCATTGAACCTGGGTCAGCCATGTGCAAGGCAATTACTTTACCCTTTGTAGTATCTCTCTGGCCCCAATTTACTTTTGCAGAGTGGCTATTAGGACATTTTTAATTCCATGTATGACATTACGCAGCATCATACTTGTAGTGAACAGCACTAAATGGCAAACACCATTGTCTCCTGGAGCCAGATGAGTAACACCGAAGAATGCCAGTTTCAAAAGGTGCTACCATTGGACTACCAAACTTGTCTGTGGCCCAGAGCCAGCTTTGAGCCTAAGTGTGTTGTGTGACTTGTCTCACATAATTTCCAGTGGTTTTCGCCCTGTTTGAGCATCTTACTCATAGAAATACAGCATGCTTCGTCTCGTTATGATGCAAAACTTACATGGACACGTAGCTCTTCTCACTCAGTGCCCTGTAATGTCTCTAAAGAAATAATTCCAATGGGAACTTAGGCAAAAAAAATGGTCTCTCTGGCATACAGAACATATGTAAATAGCTTAAAAGAGATTTTAGGTCATTTCAAAGCGAAAGCCCAGAAGGATGGCTACTTGAAAACAATTTGTGAAAAAGGAAATAATTGCAGACCCTTCATAATATTAGCATATCATGTCTTATAAAGACAGTCTACACTTTATCCCAAAGTTCCTGATTAATAGGGAAATTATAAACTCGATATAATACTTTATTTTAGTTCCTAGGTCAACAGTTATCAAATGCTGAATGGGAACTTAGAAGACAGGCCACTTAGCTCAAACCCCTCCTTTCAGCAGGAGAGAGCAAACACCTCAAGAGTTTAATTGAATTGTCAAAGTCAATATTTTAACGAGACTGATGCAGATTCAACTTGAATCCAGAGTAACTTAACTTTGAGGCGAGTTATGTCATTTTTCTAGGGTGTTATCATATTTGTATAACCCTGACATTTACAGCCTTCACTCTGCTTATTAGTAATCAGAAAAAAAGGATTGAATTGCAATTTTCTTTTTTTTTTTAACACAGAAAGTCCCCTTACAGAACCCTCCCATTAAGTGGGCTGAAGGACATAAGGGAGTATTTAATATTGAAGTACAAGCTGTTTCGTCCGTTCACACCCAGGTAAGGCACATCAAGGTCAACAGCAAATCCGGGCCAGAAGGCTAATGAGGAAGATGGGGAGATTGGGGGAGGGGGTGTGCAGGCACAGCACAGAACCCTCAGGACAGCTCTGTGAAAGATCAATGGAAAGCTTTGTATGTGCTTAAATCAAAAATAAGCTTCGGTGCTTTGGGGATTACAAGCCATTTCAGGTGTTATTTGTTGCTTAAATGAGGTAACTGAGCAAAGGAAGGAAGTCAGCACTTGCACTGCTGCCGAGAAATTGTGTGTGGGGGGGAGGGGTGTCACTGACCCTTTCCTAGTTCCTATTTCCCATTTATCAGCATTTGGGGGGAGGCTCATTTGTTTGTTTGTGTGTGTGTGTGTGTGTGTGTGTGTGTGTGTGTGTGTGCGTGTGTGTGTGTGTGCGTGTGTGTGCGTGTGTTTTGGTTTGGTTTGGTTTTGGATCACACCAGGCGGTGCTTCTGGCTCTGCACTCAGAAATTACTCTAGGTGCTGCTCGAGGGCCTTATGGGATGCTGGGATCAAACCCAGGTCAGCGGCTGCAAGGAAAATGCCCTACCCACTGTATTCTCATTCAGGCCCTATCCGGCATTTTAAAAAACGTTCTTGGGGCTGGAGCGATAGCACAGCGGGGTAGGGCGTTTGCCTTGCATGCGGCCGACCCGTGTTCGATTCCCAGCATCCCATATGGTCCCCTGAGCACTGCCAGGAGTAACTCCTGAGTGTAGAGCCAGGAGTAACCCCTGTGCATCGCCAGGTGTGACCCAAAAAGCAAAAATATAAAATAAAATAAAAAACATTGTTTTTTCCCCCATCCATTTCCTGCCATAGTCAGAATTTTGTATCTGCCTAGACCCTGCTTTTTTCCATCTGCTCAGGGGGTACCCTATGGGATGCTGGGAATCGAACCCAGGTCGGCCACATGCAAGGCAAATGCCCTCCCCACTGTGCTATCGTTCCAGCCCCTTGCAGACTTAAAAAAAAAACCTCTGTGTTTTCTATTTTATTATTATTATTATTAGTTTTTTGGGACACACCCAACAATGCCCAGGGGTCCCTCCTGGCTCGTGCACTCAGGAATGACTGCTGGCGGTGCTCGAGGAATCCTATGGGATGCTGGGAATCGAACCCGGGTTGGCCGCGTGCTAGGCAAACACCCTTACAGCTGTGCTATCGTTCCAGCCCTGAGGTTCTGTCTTTAAAAAAAAAAAAAGTTCGTTTTGGTTTATTTTTGGCTGCACCATGGCATTATGGTGGAGGTTGAGGAACTCAGGGCTTTACACTCGCAAGGCAGGAGCCACATCCCCAGCCCCACCGTCATTGTGATGATTTATTCCTTGAGCAGTTACCCCTGGTGGTGCTTGGGGCTTCTCCCAGCACTCTGCTCCAGGGCAACACCCAGTGGTGCTCGGAGGACCACACGGTGCTGGGGACCAAACCTTAGCTTCCTGCAGGCAAAGCACCAACCATCGAGCACTCTCTCTGGCCCTTTGTATTTTCCATTGGTGGGAGAGAGCACTGATGGAATGAGACTCCTGAGACCGGCTGTCTGCCCTCTCAGGACAACCACCTGGAGAAGTTCTTCACCCTGTGCCACTCGCTGGAGAGCCAGGTCACCTTCCCCATCCGCGTGCTGGATCAGAAGATCAGTGAGACGGCCCTGGAGCACGAACTGAAGCTCAGTATCATCTGTCTCAACTCCTCCCGCCTGGAGCCCCTCGTGCTCTTCCTGCACCTCGTGCTGGACAAGCTCTTCCAGCTGGCCGTGCAGCCCATGGTCATCGCCGGCCAGACAGGTAGGCGGCAGGTGGGCCTCAAGGAGGCAGATGGTACCTTTTTCGAGGGAGCCTAATTTTCCAGAAATCTCAGGAGCTCAAGCTTCCTGTGGATGCCGTGGGCATGAGGGAAGCCAGATCCAGCACTTTATTGTTGAGACTTCCTGTATTATTCATAAGGAAATAAACACGAACACCGGATGCTTACGAATACAGTTTGTAAAAAAAAATGCATTGAAGGATCAATGGCAATCTTGGGAATTTCACTCCTGGTAATGGATGGAGTTCTTTAGCCTCTAACTTATAGTTGGCCAACAGGGTAATAGATATAATTTCTTAAAGAAGGCAACTACACTACACTGTCCTCCCATTGTTCATCGATTTGCTCCAGCGGGCCCAATAACGTCTCCATTGTGAGACTTCTTGTCACTGTGTTTGGCATATTGAATACTCTCGGTAGCTTTCCAGGCTCTCCCAGAGGGGCGGAGGAATCGAACCCGGCTCGGCCAGGCTGGCTGCATGCAAGGCAAATGCCCTACCGCTGGGCTAAAGAAGGCAACATATACTGAATATTGAATAGAAAGAAAAGGAGGGCTCGTGCTTGAAATTCAATGTGATCACTCCCCCCCCCCTTTTTTTTAAACCGAGATATGAGACACACACCATAAATTTACTGAAGTGCGCAGATTGGGTAGTCTTCTTAAAAGTCTAACTTGTGCAGCCATCACAGCTGATTCCAGAACTGTTTGTTGTTTCGTTTTGTTCTGTCTGGGGCCATAGCTGGCAGTGTTCATTGCTTGCTCCTGAACCTCAGCCCAGGGATCAATCCTGGCAGTGCTTGCTTGGGGGATCCTTTGAGGTGTCAGGAATCTAACTCCAGTTGGCCTTGTGTGAGGCAAACAACTTGACCCCTATATACTCTTTTTCTTTCTTGCACTGTATCTCTCTGTGTTTCTGTGTCTGTCTCTGTCTCTCTGTCTCTCTCTGTCTCTGTCTGTCTCTCTCTCTCCATAATTCCAGGACTTTTCACCCTCCCCAAATGAAACCCCACACCCATGAGCAGTAACTTCCATCACCCCTCTCCTGAGGCGCTGGCAACCTCATCATCTCTTGTATGTCTTAGAGTGAAAATCAGAGGCGTATTTTTTTTATCCTCTATATAAGTTGAAGTCCCATTGTTTCAGTGTGCATCCCTGATAATCAGCCTGCATATATATTGCATTTAGTTTGCCACGGAAGGTCCAACACGTATAATGTGTCCACCTTCATTTGGGAATGCCCCTCTCTGAGGTTCCTGGCTACCGCTGGGCTTCTCTTGTCCTGTGCTGGTGGCCCAGCAGAGGGCTTTTGGGTAGCATCGAACTGGGCAGAGAGCTTCGGGCCTGATGAGTAACCAGCTTACAACCAGACCTCAGAGGACTTAGAGGACGGGGTAGCTTCCCTGGATGGGCTAGTGGAAGGAACACAGAGGGATGCTGTGGAAGGGAATAAAACATTCCTCGAGGGTGGCCTAAGAAGCAAAACCATGCTTGACTTTCCTCTAGAGGAAAGAGCCGCCCGATGGCTGGGGGCGGGAGGGGGGGTGAGCATCAGAGCGTTAGGGATGTGCTCTGGGTACCGCTTCTCATGCATCTCATCCTTCTCTGGGTTCCGCAGCTCTGGGTACCGCTTCTCACGCATCTCCTGCTTCTCGCAGTTTGCCTTCGAGGGGCGGTGGGGTGAGCATCAGAGCGTTAGGGATGTGCTCTGGGTACCGCTTCTCCTGCATCTCATGCTTCTCGGTTCTGCAGCTCTGGGTACCACTTCTCACGCATCTCCTGTTTCTCTCGGTCCCGCAGCCAACTTCTCGCAGTTTGCCTTCGAGTCCGTGGTGGCGATCGCCAACAGCCTGCACAACAGCAAGGACCTGAGCAAGGACCAGCACGGGCGGAACTGCCTGCTCGCCTCCTACGTGCACTACGTCTTCCGCCTGCCCGAGCTGCACCGAGACCCGCCCAAGTCAGGTAGCCCCGCCCCGTCCTGGCGCCTCGACCCCACCCCCCCACCCCCTCAAAGTCAGATTTGGGAGGCCAAAAAAGTAAAGCCCTGGAGTTCGGCTTTCTCTTTAGAATGACACAGAATTCTATGAATGCTGCCATTTATTTATTTATTTATTTATTTATTTATTTTTATTAGTGAGACATCGTGAGGTACAGTTGTAGACTTACAAATTTTTGTGCTTGGGTTTCAATTATACAACGATCCAATACCCATCCCTCCACCAGCCCCCATTTCCCACCGCCACGGATCCCAGAATGCTGCCATGTAAAGTTTTGCCTTTCTCTCTCTTTCCCTTTCCCTCTCTCTCTGTCTCCCCTCTCCCCCTTTCACTCTCTCTGTCTGCTTGATCATCCCTCACTGGTCTTGACAAACCCTTGCTTGTGATTTCATTAAACTTCCTTATTTTAATTGTGGTGAGGCAGTCCTTGGGGGTTCCTCTGGCTCTGTGCTTGCCTGCCTGCCTCCTGGTAATGATGGGAGACCATGTGGGGCTGGTCAGCCTCGTTCAGGCTATCTATTTCTCCTTAAAATGTAGCCCCTGTATTGTCTCTCCACCCCTGAGGATCAAACTCAGGGCCTCACACACACATGCAAGGCATGTGCTTTACACTTGAGTTGTCCTCAGCCCCAATATTACTGTTTTTTTGTTTTTGTTTTTGTTTTGCGGGGACGGGGGGGGCACTTTTATTTATTATTGACTTACATAGAGATGACTTTCTGACTTTAAAATACCTGTCCACGGCCAAACACTGTCCTCCCGTTGTTCATCGATTTGCTCGAGCGGGCCCAGTAACGTCTCCATTGGAGACTTTGTTGTTACTGTGTTTGGCATATCGAATACTCTCGGTAGCTTGCCGGGCTCTCCGAGAGGGGCGGAGGAATCGAACCCAGCTCGGCCTGGCTGGCTGTGCGCAAGGCAAACGCCCTACCGCGGTGCTATTAGGACAGTACTAAACTATCTATTTCTCTTTAAAATTTAGTTGTTTTTTTTTATATAGCTATACAATGTTATTAATGATCCTGTGGCAGTAGAATAGACACGTTAATGTTTACTTCGTTGTCTGATTGGTTTCGATTTTCTTCCCTGGACCCCTCCCCAGTCCTTGGTGGTTGATGTCATTGCTGCCGTGACCGGAGGTCCTTCGCATGCCTGCCTGTAGTCCTTGCTCTTGGTTTAGCTTCTGTGCTTGTAGCAGGCCACACATAGCTCATGCTGAATGCCCAACTCAGCTGAGGTGCTCGCGGAGGTCTGTGCTCCTTTAGCAGGGGGGCTTGCACGGTGCTCACCAGGACTCAAAGGCTTAGTGCAGGAGCCCACATTAGGCGCCTTTTTGGGCCGCTCTGATGCTTCTGGGCTGCGTTTCTCGCAGCCAGAGATCACTTGCAACCCTGGAGATGGCAGGCAGCAAAGCAGCCAGGCTGACACCGCTGGCACAAGAGGGGACTGGAGAGCACCATCACTAAAAAAAATCAGTGAACGGCTGGAACTGCAGCTGACCGCAGTCCTCACCTCGACCACGCGTTCCCGAGACTCCCGGGTCCACGGCGTCGTTTCCACCCTCTCTGGCATCCCTCTACAAGCCCAGCCAGTCACTCTGAGCCTTTTCTGTTGGCATGTCTACCTGACGGAGCCCAGGAGGTCCCACGGCTTCGCCCGACCCCCGCTACCACACCTACGGGCGCACGACTGCGGCGGCCGTGAGCTCCAAGCTGCTGCAAGCCCGCGTGATGAGCAACAGTAACCCCGACCTGGTGGCCCCGCACTCGGCAGCCGACGAGGAGGTAAAGAGCATCATGTCCTCCAAGGTAGGAGAGGTGACACCCTGTGACAAGACCCAGGCCCGGCAGTGCTCAGCAGCTCGTCGTGGCTCTGTGCTCAGGAGAGGTCCTAGCGTTGTGCAGGGGGACCCCAGAGGGTGCTGGGCATCGAACTTGGATCTTGAGTGAAAGGCAAACACCTGACCCCCTGGGACTGGCTCTAGGGCCAAAGCTTTCTCTGTGTGTGTGGGTGGGTGGGTAGGTGGGGAGGGGCATTTTGGCCTACAACCAGCAGTGCTCAGGCCTTACTCCTGGCTCTGTGCTCTGAGGTCACACCTTGGGCTTAAAGGACCAAATGCAGTGTTGGAGGGTGAACCGGGGTCAGCTATGTGCGAGGCAAGTACCTTAATTCCTGCACTGTCTCTCAGGCCCCCTTATAGTGCTCTCGGGCTTTGTTATTTCCAGCTAAGACGCGGTCCTCAAAGCAAGCAGGATGATGACGCTTTATGGCTCATCTTAGAGTTCTTCACATTTGTTTCTTTTTTTTCTGAACGGATTCCGTGCCATTTTTCTGAAAGATGCCGAGGCAAGACTAGTATTGAAAATATGCTCACAAAGTTGTTAACTCTAGTCAAAGTATTTAGAGCTCTCTATCTGATTATTAAAATAATAATTTTTTATTATAAAATTTTTTAATAGTGAGACATCATGAGGTACAGTTGCAGACTTACACATTTTTGTGCTTGTGTTTCAATTATACAATGATCAAAAACCCATCCCTCCACCAGTGCCCATTTTCCACCACCACGGATCCCAGTATCCCTTCCACCCCCCATCCCCCCCATCCCACCCTGTCTCTGTGGCAGGGCATTCCCCTCTGTTCTCTGTCTCATTTTGGGTGCTGTGGTTTGCAAAAAGAGGCATTGAGTGGCAATCATGTTCGGTCTTTAGTCTACTTTCAGCATGCATCTCCCATCCTGGGAGGATCCTCCAACCACCTTTAGTTGGTGTTCCCCTCTTTATCTGAGCTCCCTTTTCCCCTAGTATGTGTGGTTGGCCTCCAAGTCAAGGAGTAAAATTCCTAGTACTAATCTCGGTCATTCTTGGGTGTTAGTTTCCTATTCTGTTACTTTATGTTCCCCAGATGAATGCAGTCTTTCTATGTCTATCCCTCTCTTTCTGACTCATTTCGCTTAGCATGATACTTTCCATGTAGCACCACTTGTATGTAAATTTCATGACTTCGTCTTTTCTAACAGCTACATAGTACTCCATTGTGAAATAATAATTTTTAAAAAAAGTATTTAGAGCCTAACTCGTTTAACCATGTGTAGTCAATGAATGCCAGAATGTTTTTTTTTCTTATTTTCCTTTTTTGATGTTTGGGCCCTGCCTAGTGGTGCTCAGGGCTACTTCAGAAATGCTCCTCGGCACTGCTTAGGGGGCCGTGCGGTTAAGATCACAGCGTCACACTTGCTCTGGGAGCATCCCGGGCCTCGGAGTCTTCCTCTCCCCGTGTCCCCAGAAGTCTCTGCACGCATGGGCAACACTGGTGGTGAAGTGGCATTACTTACATCCACCTGGGTATTGAGGGTAGCACTGTAGCACTGTCCTCTTGTTGTTCATCGATTTGCTGAGCGGGCACCAGGAACGTCTCCATTGTGAGACTTGTTACGATTTTGGGCATGTCGAATATGTCATCGGTAGCTTGCCGGGCTCTGCGAGAGGGGCGGAGGAATCGAACCTGGGTCGGCTGGGTGGACCTCATGCAAGGCCAACACCCTACCCGCTGTGCTGTCGCTCCAGCCCGGGATGGAGGGTATATCCCTTAATCCTCTGAGCCATCCTGCAACCTTGAGTCTTTATTTACAAAGGGCAGACGGGGAGCTTTAGCCTTGGCTGTTCGCCTAGACCTGCTTGCGGCTGCTGGTGGTGAACATTTTTCCTTTTCAATTCCACCTTCTATCCTCGGGAACATCCATAAATGGATTATCCCATGGAACAACCCCAAGGAGCAGAGCTGCATTTTATAAAACTCGCAAAAACGGAGATACTGAGCTGCCTGCTCACTTGCCCGACAGCGTCTGAATTGTCTGCTTTGTGGGTGTGTTTGGTTTGGTTTTTGTGGGCCCTCCTAGTAGTACTCCGTCACATGCATGATGGGAATCAACCCTGGGCCTCCCACATGCCAAGCCTGCCCACTCGCCCTTTGAACTTTGTAACAGCTTTAGACCGAGTGAATTAATTGTGAATCCAACACAACAGGCTCTTAGATACTCCTCACCCAGTTTCCGTGTTATTAACATTTTATATTCGAATGGTTTATTTTTATCACAGTGAATCAATATTGATATTCTATTACTCTCAACTCAGAGCTTATCCTGATTTCATCTCAGTCTTTCCTTAATTTCTGTTTTCTGTGCCAGGATTCCCAAGTCTCCTGAGTGTTCCCTCTTGGCTGTGAGCGTTTCTCAGACTTTCCTTATGTCGATGACCTTGACAGTCTTCAGGAGGGCAGCTCAGATTTTTTTTGTAGGATGTTTCTGGTTTTGGTTTGGGGGCCACACACAGCAGGACTTATTAATAAGCTCAGGACTTATTCCTGGCTCCGCACTTAGGAATCACTCCTGGCAGTGGTCAGGGGACCCTATGGGGTGCCCAGGATTTAATCCCGGTAGGCTGAGTGTCAGCACACAGCCTCCCTGCTGTACCATCACACTGGCCCCTGTTTTGTAGAATGTTTCTCACTGGACTTTTGTAAATGATGATCACAATTCATGTACCATAAAATGCATCCTTTTTTTTTTTTTTGCTTCCTTTTTTTCTTTTTTCTTTCTTTTTTCTCTTTCTTTCTTTCTTTCTTTCTTTCTTTCTTACCCCTTATGATTCAGTCTTGTTTTCCAAAGCTAGTGTGAATTCCTAGTCTGAAATTTCCGTGCAGTTGTCTGTGGTTGCCGAGTGGCCAAGCTGTGAGAGCCCATCACCTTATAAATCAGATTCTCCAGGTTTAGACAGTTGCCCTCCTAAAATCTCCCCCCAGGAGGCAGGAGGAGGTTTTGCGAGAAGGAATCCGGAGAGCTGGGTGTGAGTTGAGTCTCGCCTCTGACATCACCCAGAGCCATGTATTGTGGGCAAGTCCGCTCCTGCCCTGGCCTCATTTTCCACGTCTCTGCGGAGGTTCTGAACCCTGGCTGAACTTCACGATCATCTCTGGGCTTTGAGAGGCTCTGGATCCACCCCTGGGATTCCGATGATTTACAGGCTTCACTGTATGAGACTGTTGACACTCCACCCATTTCGACTTAAGAGTCAACCCCGGGACAGGCAGGAACCAACTGGTACCAGTTTCTGAGAGCTGGTTGTTAAAATTTCGGGAGCTTTTGGAATTAATGGTTACACATAGATTTATGTTTTGTTTAGGGGTCACACTCAGCCATTCTCCCGGGAACCATGTGTGGTGCCAAGAATCTAACCAGGGTTGGCTGCATGCAAGGCAGGCACCCCCTACCTGTGGCACTCTCGCTCCAGCCCCTAAAGTTGACATTTAAAAAAAAAGTAAATGATAACAAGTTAGTTCTATTAAAAACAAAGGTCAGCGCTGGAGCAGTAGTACAGCGGGTAGGGCGTTTGCCTTGCACGCAGCCCACCCGAGTTCAATTCCCAGCATCCCATATGGTCCCCCGAGCACCGCCAGGAGTAATTCCTGAGTGCATAAGCCAGGAGTAACCCTTGTGCATCGTCGGGTGTGACCCAAAAAGAAAAAAAAAAACACACCAAAGGTCATTTCTATGGCATGTGAATTATATCCTGAACAAAAAAAGGAATATAGTCGTGAAATCCAAATAAAGCCTACAACAGTTTGGTTAATAGTAACGAGCCGGTCTCTATTTCTTTTTCTTTTTTTTCTTTTTTTTTTCCTTTTTGGGTCACACCCGGCGATGCACAGTGGTTACTCCTGGCTCTGCACTCAGGTATTATTTCTGGCAGTGCTCAGGGGACCATACGGGATGCTGGGAATCGAACTCGGGTCGGTCGCGTGCAAGGCAAACACCCTACCCGCTGTGCTGTCGCTCCAGCCCCGAGCCGGTCTCTATTTCTTAGTTTTTTAACGAACCAGTTGTTGCATAAAGTATTTTCATTAAAGAACACAGTGTAAGGCATATTAAAAAGCCTCTGTACCATCTTTGTAATTCATTCGAGCACGCATCTGAAATCCCCCCTCTAAAAAAAGACAGTACTAAAGCTGCGTATTTCCCTGAATGTTTTCCTGCATTTTATAATCGTCCATGCTCTGGGGTCGACTCTTTCTGCATAGTGGAAACCCAGTGGAATGGCTTGCTCCTGCATGTCTCCTCCCAGCTTTGCATTCAGCCTGTCATCCCCGATAATTGCAACATGGAAATTTGCAAATGCAGCTATCTGGGTGTTCACTATTTGCCAGAACACCCCAGCAACCTTTTCTTTCTGCAATATCACTTTCTGATGGCCCAGAGGAGTTCATTTTCACTGCTTAGATGGCTGTGGTGTCCCTTAAGAAAAGTGAAAACTTCGGATGGTTTTGTGAACTTATTTATTTATTTTATTAGTGAAACACCATGAGGTACAGTTGTAGACTTACAAATTTTTGTGCTTGAGTTTCAGTTACATAATGATCGAGTACCCATCCCTCCACCAGTGCCCATTTCCCACCACCATGGGTCCCAGCATCTCTCCCACCCCCCATCCCCACCATCCCATGCTGCCTCTGTGGCAGGGCATTCCCTTTTGTACTCTCTCTCCTATTGGGTGTTGTGGTTTGCAAAAGAGGCACCGAGTGGCAATCATGTTCGGGCCATAGGCTACTTTCAGCATGCTTCTACCATCCTGGGAGGATCCTCCCAACACCCTTTATTTGGTGCTCCCTTCTCTATCTGAGCTTCCTTTTCCCCTAGCACGTGTTTTTTTGATAGTATCTTAATGTGTAGTAGGAGACTGAGAGTAGTACCACGCTAATCCATGGAGGGGCGCTGTGTCCACGTGATTTTTTTTTCCTGCTCCCGGGTAAGGTGCCCTGCACGCAAGGCTCTTCACTGAAGGTTAAGACTAGCTAGCACTGATCTCTTTCATCAATACAGCTTGATAGAGCTTTGTCTTCTGTGTTTCTGTTTCTTATTTATGGGAGGTATTTAAACTTTGTGCCCAGAGGGTGGGGGGAGGGGGCGGATAGTGCTGGGGAGTGTGGGATGAGGGGTGGAGAAATAAATGAAAACAGAATTCTGAAATCGTGACTTCCTGGCTCATCCTCCCTGAGCACTGCTGCCAGCTGCATTCTGAGTGCTGGTTGTGTGTTTCAGGCGGCTGATAGGAACTGCAACCGGATGTCTTACTACTCCTCTGGCAATAATGAAGTTCCCAGTTCCAGTGCAACCCCAAGACCCGTCAGCAAAAAGGTATAAGAGCAGAGCAGTGGGAGGGATTTTGGCCGGTGCCCTGTCACTTTCACTGAAAACAGATGTCAACAGGGCCATTCTACCCAGCCTCCTAACACTTGTGCTCATGCTTGTGTACCCACACACACACACACACACACACACACACACACACACACACACACGAGCCTAGTAACTGATTCTCCTTCACCTCGATTCAGAAGTGAATCAGGGTGTCTTGTTAAAACCAATCGCTTCGACCATAATTAAAGTTATTTTAACACTCAAGGAGTCAGTCGGGGTGGCAGGTGGAAGGGATTCAGGTCAGTCAGTCGAGGGATGAAGTGATGGTTGTGGAGGTGTGAACTTTGTATGCCTGGAAACCCATTGTGAACAATTGTGCCACTCTCTATGTCTAAATAAAGAAAAAAAATAGATTACATGGAGCCAGAGAGCTAGTACAGCCAGTAGGGCATTCGCACTGCATACCCCCAACCCTGGCTCCATCCCCAGCATCCCATGTGGTCCCCCAGGCCTTGCCTGAAATGATTCCTGAGTTCAGAGCCAGGAGTAAGGGCTAAGCGTCTCCAGGTGTGGCCCAATTGTACCCCCCCCCCCACCCCACCAAAAAAAAAAAGAAAGAAAAGAAAAGAAATTACAGGGGCTGGAGCAATAGCACAGCGGGTAGGGCGTTTGCCTTGCACGCGGCCAACCTGGGTTCGATTCCCAGCATCCCATATGGTCCCCCCGAGCACCACCAGGAGTCATTCCTGGAGTGCAGAGCCAGGAGTAACCCCTGAGCATCGCCGGGTGTGACCCAAAAAGCAAAAAAAAAAAAATAAATTACATAATAAAATAAGTTGCTTGCTGCCCCTGACCCTATGTTTCTAATTCAGTCGCCCCCAAATGGACTCCCCACCATGCACCTTCCTAACAAATTCCCAGCTGGTACTGACAGATCACAACTGTCATTTCTTTCTGCAGTAGAAAGTGAGTTAGAGACATCTCGGTTTTTTGGTGTTTTTTTTTGGGGGGGGGGAATCGAACCCGTGTTGACCACGTGCAAGGCAGATACCCTACCCGCTGTGCTATTGTTCCAGCCCCCAAAATGTGAACTTGTAAAAAAAAATTTTTTTTTTCTTAGGTTATTTGGGAGAGACTGGAATTAGTCCCCCCCCCTCCGGTTTCGGGGCACACCCATCAGTGCTCAGAGCTTACTCCTGGCTTTGTGCTCTGGCGTCACTCCTAGTGGTGTCTGGGTCCTGGTTATATTAGATTACATATTATATAATATATATAAATATTTTACATTATATTTTTAGCTGGAGCGATAGCACAGCGGTAGGGCGTTTGCCTTGCGCGCAGCCAGCCCGGCTGAGCCGGGTTCGATTCCTCCGCCCCTCTCGGAGAGCTGGGCAAGCTACCGAGAGTATCTCGCCCGCATGGCAGAGCCTGGCAAGCTACTTGTGATGTATTCGATATGCCAGACACAGTAACAACAAAAGTCTCCAATGGAGACGTTACTGGGCCCGCTCGAGCAAATTGATGATTTTTTTTTTTTTTTTGCAGAAGTGAATGACATTTATTGAGAACTGCCTAGCAGCGCTATGAAATGCTTCCTGGTCACTTTTTCTAGGCTGCCTTCCCCATGAGTACCGTCCAGGTACCGCCCAGGCTGTTCCACAGCTGACCAGCGCCTTTCTAAGGAAGGTCCACGGCCCCAGGCACAGCCTGTGTGGTGGACGTGGACCCTGGGAGAGAAATGGACCTGTCCACCGTCCCCTGGGCAGGGCAGCCAGGCTCTCAGCCACCGTCTTCCTGACCTTCGGGTCCCCGGTGTCAGCCGGGAGCCCTATTAGCATGCAAATATGCTAGCAAGGGAAACACAGGAAGCCATTTGCAAGTGCTAACCCCAAAGGGAACTGTTTACCGGACAGCTTCGGCCGGCCGGAAGGGGCCTGGGCGCTGCTCTCTTGGGGCAGGTTGCTTGTGGGGGAGGTGCCTGCCCTACTCCCCACCCCTTGGGTCCCCCACCCCCCTCTGGGCTCAGCAGTATTCCAGGTCCACTTGTACTGGGAGGGGGCAGGACCCAAGGGTGAATAATGGAAGAAAAAAATGACAAAATAAACTTATGCTTCGGGGCTGGAGCGATAGCACAGCGGGTAGGGTGTTTGCCTTGCACGCAGCCGACCAGGGTTCGATTCCCAGCATCCCATATGGTCCCCCAAGCACGGCCAGGAATAATTCCTGAGTGCCTGAACCAGGAGCAACCCCTGTGCATCTCTGGGTGTGACCCCCAAAAAGAGCAAAAAATAAATAAATAAATAAACTTATGCTTATTCTACAAGTTCCCATTGGGATTTTCTGTGACTACTTACAAGCACTATTTTCTTTTCTTAGAAAACACAATGGGAGCGATAGTAGCGGGCAGAATGTTTGCCTTGCATGTAGCTAGTCCCAGCACCTCATATGGTCCCCTGAACCCTCCTAGAAGTGGCCCCCGAGGGCAGAGTCAGGAGTAAACCCAGATAGGGTTGGGTGTGGTTCCCTTCCCCATAAAACAAAACAGCAACTAAACGCAGGTGAGGCTGGAGAGACATTCCAAGCTTTAAGGCATTTGCCTTGTCTCTGGCCCACCCCTGTTCGATCCCTGACATCACATGTAGTCTTCCAGCACACTCCCTCCACCACTGACCTTGAGCACAGAAGCTGGAGTCAGGCCCGAGCACCGCCAGGTTTGACCCAAAAAAACAAAACAAAACAAAACCCAAGTTTATAAAATAAGTTATCTTAAGGACAAGTGTAAATCTTAACTTGTTAACCTAGTAAGCATTTTTAACCAGTGACAGAATTCTCTCTCTTCACCTTTTCAAAATTAAGAGGTAACGAACTGTAATGCCTCCAAAAGAGAGAGGGAAGAGAGAGAGAGAGAGAGAGAGAGAGAGAGAGAGAGAGAGAGAGAGAGAGAGAGAGAGACTTGCCATAGAGGCAGGGGAGGTCTTGGAGTGGTAGGAGGGAAACTCGGGGCACTGGGATGGGTGTCAGAACATTGTATGACTGAAACCCAATCATGAACAGCTTTGTATAAAAAAATTAATTTAACCCTCCCCCCTCCAAAAAAAAACCAAGAAACTGGAAACAAACCAAGATGTGATCTGCCTACAGCATGACTTCCTTAGCCATAAGACCTCACTCCAGCCTGGGCTTCTGATCACTTCAGTGACTGGAAGAGAAATGTTTCATGGCGAGGGAAACTGAGGCAGCCTGCTGCTTTGATAGCTCTGCCTATGAGTGTGAGCTGCCTGCCTCTTCCTGTCACTCTGGAGTAGGGTGTTCTTGTCATCGTGTTGCCTGCTAAGAAGTATAAACTAAGAATCGGCTTATCCTCCTCTAATCTCTTTGGGCCCTAAGACTCGGCCTGTCAAACTGGCCTGTTTGCCCGAGGTCACCTTTGAAGCCGGTGGAGCCTGTCTCTGGTGTAGTGGGAAGATCCTGGTGTATCCCTGTGATATGGTGTGCTGGCCCAGACCACCTGCCAGGCGAGTTCTCAGCCTGTGCCTCTCCCAGGTGGGGGAGCTTCACCTGAGACTCAGAACAGTGGACAGAGATATTAACAACGTTATCACCTGTTAGTCTGCAGTGACACCAGCTGACAGGCTGGAACACTTAAGGTTGGCCCATTCGCCATCAGAAACCCGCTAGAATAGTAGTTTGAGTCCCCAGACTTCTGTACACTGGGTATCCATGTGTCTCCTTTTCAGTTAGCTGGATAAATCTTTTTTTTTTCATTTTCATTTCATTCATTTCATCATCCTGTTATTCGTCGATTGCCTCGAGCAGGCCCCAGTAACGTCTCTTTCATCCTAGCCCTGAGATTATATTCAAGGCTCTTTAGGAGAATGAGACCCATCATTGTTACTGGTATTTGGCATATTGGGTACGCCATGGGGAGTTTGCCAGACTCTGCCCTGTGGGCAGGATACATTCGATAGCCTGCAAGTTTGTCCAAAGTAGGAATGAGACAATAAGATGTCATAAAGAGATGTCCTGATAAATGTTTTTTTTTTAACTTGACAAAATCCTCTGCTCCTTTTATTTTCTCTGGAATCACTTTTTTTTTTTTTAGTGAAATACCATGAGGTACAGTTGTAGACTTACAGATTTTTGTGCTTGGGTTACAGTTATACAGTGGTCGAGTACCCATCCCTCCACCAGTGCCCATTCTCCACCACCACTGATCCCAGTATCCCTCCCACCCCCTGTCTCCCCCATCCCACCCTGCCTCTGTGACAGGGCATTCCCTTTTGTTCTCTCTCTCTCCTTTTGGGTGCTGTGTGTATGCAGCTGTTAGAAAAGATGAAGTCATGAAATTTATATACAAGTGGTACTACATGGAAAGTATCATGCTAAGCAAAATGAGTCAGAAATAGAGGGACAGACATAGAAAGATTGCACTCATCTGGGGAACATAAAGTAACAAAATAGGAGACTAACACCCAAGAATAGCACCCAAGAATAGCAGAGATAAATACCAGGAGGTTCACTCCATGGCTTGGAGGTCAGCCGCACACGCTAGGGAAAAAGGCAGCTCAGATAGAGAAGGGAGCACCAAATAAAGGGTGTTGGGAGGATCCTCCCAGGATGGGAGATGCCTGCTGAGAGTAGACTTTAGCTGGATAACTCTTAAGTGTAAATGTGCATAAGAATGGATGTGTTGACGTGCTTGCTGTACATTGGGAGTGATTTAAGTTTGTCAGACCATCTTTGCTCTAAGCTCTGAGTGTTGACTTTAAAAATTAGTGTCCAGGACTAGGAGATAGTATAGCAGTTTAGAGACCCGCCTAGCATGCGACCAGCACAGATTTGGTGCTTGTAATCATATAGTCCACCAATCATCATCCTGTGTAGTATTGGGGTTTCCTGAGCATCCCGGAGCAGCCCTGATGGTCCCCACAAAACAGAGCCAGCCAGGGCAGTGTGCATTCTCAGACCCTTGCATTGAGCATTGAACCACCAAGTGGTTGGCTGTGACTCACTGGGGGGACCCTGGGCCTCCTGAGCACCGTTTGGGAGGACTCACCCTCAAATAAATTTCCACATCAGTACTCTAAGATATGATCTGGGGGTGTTGACATAGTTTTCGTCTTCTTACCCACTGAGCAATAAAAAAAAAAAAGAGAAAGAACTGAGTTCAACCGTATATAGTCTAGGTGTTGTAAGTGGCTGTGAGTAGAATGCAAGCCACAGAGAATACTTGGAGAGCATTTTGTTCCTCGTTAGGGAGAGCCACCATCACATGTGCCAAGGCTCCCTAGGATACAGGATTTCCCACTGACAGAGAGGACAGTCTCAAGCTGACCGCAGTTGGCATTTTATTTATTTATTTTATATTTATTTATTTATTTATTTATTTATTGCTTTTTAGGTCACACCCAGCAATGCACAGGGGTTCCTCCTGGTTCTGCACTCAGGAATCACCCCTGGCGGTGCTCGGGGGAACCCTAGGGGATGCTGGGAATCGAACCCGGGTCAACTGCGTGCAAGGCAAATGCCCTCCCCGCTGTGCTATTGCTCCAGCCCCCGCAATTGACATTTTCGTCCTGAAATTTTCATTTAGTTATTTTTGATTTGGGGTCACTTCCAACAGGACTCAGAGCTTTCTCCTAACTCTGTACTCAGAGATGACTCCTGGCGGGGCTTGGGGGACCATATTTGGTGCCTGGGATGAAACCCAGGTTGGCCTCATGCAAGGCAAATGCCTTGCCTGCTGTGCTATTTCTCCAGCTTTAGTCTGGAGCTTTTTTTTCTTCATTAAAACTATGATCAAAGAGCATTGATGAAGAATCAGGAAAGATGTAAAAGTCACATTTGCTCTACATAATGTTCTGCTAAGGAATCTTCTCGCATCTGACCTTGGGACGTGGGATTTGGGACGTTGTGTGAGCTTAGGCTGCTCACCCTATGCGTTGTTCTTGTTCTGTTCCAACCCAACCCATCACATTTCCCATAAAGCTAGAGTGGGCTGGAGCGATAGCACAGCGGTAGAGCGTTTGCCTTGCGTGCAGCCAGCCCGGCCGAGCCGGGTTCGATTCCTCCACCCCTCTCGGAGAGCCCGGCAAACTACCGAGAGTATCTCGCCCACACGGCAAAGCCTGACAAGCTCCCCGTGACGTATTCGAGATGCCAAACACAGTAACAACAAGTCTCACAATGGAGATGTTACTGGGCCCACTTGAGCAAATCGATGAACAACGGGAGGACAGTGATGCAGTGCTAGAGTGGGGCTGTCAAAAAAAAAAAAAACTATTGCTCAGTTTCAGAGAGCCAGGCTGGAGAGGGGTTCTAGAGACCCTCTAGACACGGGTTCTCTAACCAAGGAGACCACCACCAGCAGCAGCAGCAGCATCACTTGGAACTTGTGAGAAATGCAGTTTTCCACGACCGCCCAGTGCTGGAAGCTGGGTTGGGGCACAGCGTTCTGCCTCTGAGCAGACCCTCTGCAACTCTCGATACACATTCAAGATGAGAGGCGCTGTTGCCAGTCAGCCGAGGGTATGGATGAGAAAGAAACTCTGGCAGAGCAAGCAGTGGCTTGCACACGGCCTCACAGTGCTCAGAGCAAAGTATCACAGTCCCAGCTTGAACCACTTCCCCAGAATGCAGTTCCCCTTCCCGGCTGAGGCAGCTTTCCAATAAAGTGCTACTACGATCAAGCTTCCACTTCCCCCGAGTGCCCCGAGTCCGGGTTTTATCAGTCCTGACTTTGCCATGACCCACGTACGTCAGTAATTAATGAGTCATTAGAATTGGCGAGAGAAAGTGAAGAGACAAGATGTTGGCGAGTGAATTACTGCCCATCACAGACTCTTTTTTTTTTTTTTTTTGTGGTTCCTGCCTAGCACTTCCACGAAGAGCTGGCCCTGCAGATGGTGGTGAGCACGGGAATGGTGAGAGAGACTGTCTTCAAGTACGCCTGGTTCTTCTTTGAGCTGCTGGTGAGTACTTGCGTTTCCGTACCTTTGCCTTCTTCCAACCCTTCTTTGAAACATGTTTTGTCTTTGCAGAGGACATCTTCAAATATGCAATAAAATCACCCAGCCACGTTTATAAAAATTACGTTGAGTCGTAATTAATGGTGATTCGAAAAATTTGAAAAAAAAATTTTTTAAAGGAACTGATAGACCAATATCTTGTATCATCAATACTGTCTGATGTAATTAACTTTAGTACAAATATATGGGCTGGAGCGATAGCACAGCTATAGGGCGTTTGCCTTGCGTGAAGTCAGCCCGGCCGAGCCGGGTTCGATTCCTCTGCCCCTCTTGGAGAGCCCTGCAGGCTACTGAGAGTATCTCGTCCATTCAGCAAAGCCTGGCAAGCTACCTGTGACAACAAGTCTCAAAATGGAGACGTTACTGCGCCCGCTCGAGCAAACTGATGAACAACGGGAGGACAGTGACGTGTGTGTGTGTGTATATATATATATATATATATATGTATATATATATATATCATACAAAATGTACTGTCTTCTGATACACAAAAACCAGCATTAGGACTTTGATGCTGAGCAGTTTGTTTTTGTTGTTCATTTTGTTTTTGTATCACACCCAGTGATGCTCAGAGATTACTCCTGGCAGTATTTGGGGGACCATATGGGATGCCGAGAATCAAGCCTAGGTTGGCTGCGTGCAAGACCAGCACCCTACCAGCTGTACTATTGCTCTGGCCGCAGCACTGAGCATTTTAAACATCTCTTAAACGTTTAACATCACATTTAACATTTTGAGTTTAAACATGAACTCAAGCGACCTTGAGGCAGGAGTACTCCATTTTCAGATGGGACTAGAGGAATGGGAAGGAGGGACGAGGATTGAGGAGGGCGGGAGTGAAGAAGAATTTTCTGGCCTGCAGAGGCCTCTGCAGCACCCTGTCGCTGCCTCTGTTTTATATTTAATTTATATTTAAGTATATAATAATTAATCCATACAATAATATATAATACTTAATTTAGATAATAATTTATAATTCTATTTAATTAATATTTAATAATTCATTCACCTTGCGTGGAATGAATGTTGCTTTTCAAAGCTGGTACATGGGGCTGGAGCCATAGCACAGCGGGTAGGGCGTTTGCCTTGCATGCGGCCACCCCGGATTCGATTCCCAACATCCCATAGGGTCCCACGAGCACCGCCAGGAGTAATTCCTGAGTGCAGAACCAGGAGTTACCCCTGTGCATCGCTGGGTGTGACCCAAGAAGAAAAAGGAAAAAAAAATCAAATCTGGTACATATGTCTCGGAGGATGCAGTGGGTCTAGGAGTGAAAACTGGAGCTCAGCAGATGTGACAGCTGCGAAGACAACACCTTCTGCTCCCAGCACATTGGTTAGCGCACATGTGAGCACAGGACACACCCAGGGCTCTGCCACTTGCTTAGAAACCCAGGTCTGTTGGTACCACGCAAGTAGGTTCTTTTCAAAACATTTGCCAGGGGGACTCTGGCCAGAGTTGAGCAGGTGTTCAGGCGCAGAGAAAGCTTGGTGTGGAACCAGGGGACAAGCGGTCAGTAGTGCTGGAAACCTTTCTGGCACCGAAGAAGCCAAGGTGGGCACTGGAACCCGAAGCAAGCTGAGGCCAAGAAGAGTTCATGGCCAGACGTGGATCTTAGAGAATGATGTTCCCCACACCCGCTCACACACCGTGATCGAAGGGATGTGCAATGTAGGATTCTCTACTCTGCACTCCTGGAGGGGCCTTCTGGTAGCCAGCCTGGAGCAGAAGCTCAAGGACGGGCATGCCTGAGAGAGGTAGATCAAAGAGCTGCAGTTTCCCAAGATGCGGAGACAAAGGCAAAAGCTGGAGGAAGAACTGGGGGGTGGGCGGTGAGGTGAGAGGGGAGGGCGTAGACACTAGCCACTCCTGCCTGCCAGGAGTTTGCAGGGAAACTGACTTCAGGCCCAGACCTGGTGCTCTGGCTTCCGTGCTCGGTTTCTGCATCTGCCTTATGGATGCTCGGAAGGTGACTTCAAGGCTGAAACTGTTCCTGCTCCCTAGGCTTGAAGAGAGTGAGTGAAAGGAAAGAAAGCTTCCTTGGGCTTCGCCAACAGTCTGGGTGGTTTTTCACACCCTTCAGTTGTGTCAGTGCCCAAGCACTAATGAACAACCACTTTGGCATTAGATTGTGTTGAACACAGTCCTTGGGCAAATTTCTCACTTGCTAATGAGTCAATCCCCGTGCTTCTAGAAACTGCTGAGACAGACAGACTTCGGAGACCCAAGGTACCTGGGTGACCTAGTTTACGAAGAACATCAAATTCTGTGTGAAGAGGCGTCTCCAGTGCGTCCCCGTTTTGAAGGGGCCACACAAAGAAAGGCCAGTGGGGGGGATAAATGTCCTCCTGCCTTCCTGCCCCTGACAAATAATGGGACATGCATCTACTAATATTTCTCCTGGGTGTTCTCTGTGGACATCCAAAGGGCACAGTCGCTGGCAAGTTGCGGATCGCTGGGAAGGAGGCCAGGAGCCCCAAGGACGGCTTTGTGAGAATTGTTTACTGGCTGCTGGAGAGAGGCAGGCCAGGCAGGCAGCGGCCGAATGCCACAGAGAGCCCTGAAACTCCTTTCAGGGCTGGTCAGCAGGCCCAGAATCAGGATTAGGGGGGCCCCAAACAAAGAAGCCTTGTTCCTCCCAAGTTTTTTTTTTTTGGTTAGGAACATAGTGAGTTGCTTTCATCAGGAAAAAAACAAAACAACAACAACAACAAAGACGGATCCTTCCCACTCAGTACGCGACTGATCAGCATGACGTGTGTGGCCGGAGCCATAGTACAGCGGCTGGGGCGCTTGTCTTGTGTATGGGTGACCTGGGTTCGATCCCAGCACCTCTGTTGGTTCCCACAAGCCCTGCCGGGAGTGATTCCCGAGTGCAGAGCCAGGAGTAAGCCCCGGGGATGGTGTCAGAACAAGAACGCCATGTGTCCTAAGTCAAGAAGGGTCATGCCAGCATCGTGCTTGTACGCGGGCTTCAGGGTGGGATGTCCTCAGGCTGCCCCCAGCTGACCGCGCCATCCTCCAAAACCACGTGGAACACAAGAAACATGCCTGGGCTGAATGATAGCACAGACTTTGCCCCCTGGGCACCCCTCCCCCATCCCCAAATGAAAGCAAACAAAACCTATATTATGCCAAAGATAAAATTTTTCATTAAAAATGTAATAAATCTGGGGCTGGAGCGATAGCACAGCGGGTGGGGTGTTTGCCTTGCACGCGGCCAGCCCGGGTTTGATTCACAGCATCCTATATGGATGGTCCCCTGAGCACCGCCAGGGGTAATTCCTGAGCGCAGAGCCAGGAGTAACCCCTGTGCATCGCCGGGTGTGACCCAAAAAGCCACCCTCCGCCAAGAAAAAAAGGTAATAAATCTGTTTTCTGTCCTTTTTTCCTTGGAGAGGGAGCCCGCCCAACAGTGCTCTGTCAGGATGCCTGAGGGCCCTGCCCAGCCCTGTGGGGCTGTTCTGGGCCGGCAGGGTCAGCAGATCAGTCCAAGAGCCCTAGGCTGCAGGGGTGCTCAGGCTCTGGAGCACGTGGGAGATGCTTGGACGCCTCCAGGGTGTCCTCCAAGGTGCAATTCAGGGCTCTCAGGGCCATACTGGTGGTACCCCGGCAACCGACCACGTGGTACCAGAGCTCGAACTGGGTTAGCCATGTGCTGGGCTGTCTCTCCGGCCCCTCCTTTTTTTGTTTTTCATCTGTCTGTCTCTGTTAGTGCAAATTGCTAGTCCTTAGTTCTGAGGAACAGACCTGCTGGGGCCAGGAAGATGACTCTGAGCTTAGAGCACTAAACAGATGCAAGCTTGAGAATCGAAGCCCAGGCGCTGCCGTGCGCGAGGGTGTCCTGATGGCCCCTCGCACTGGACTTCCCTGCCAGGGACAGGGACAGAAAATGTGCTCTTGATAAAGGTTCTCCCGCCACCTTCTTGGAGTGGAGATGGTTGGTTTCTCACCGGGTTCCCTATCTTTCCCCCAACCCTGGCCCAGGTGGTCACTGCAGGCAAATGTGGGTAGTTTAACTTCCAGGCCAGTTCCTTGCAGTGACCCCTAGCCTGGATACAGCCGTGACTGTGACCTCCGAGGTGTGGTGAGCAGCTTCCCACAGGACAGGGTGCCACACTGATGTGCCAGTGGGAATGAGGGCAAGAGAGCTTCATGCCTCCTCTTTTTCCTCCCTCCCTCCCTCCCTTCTTCCCTTCCTTCCTTCCTTCCTTTTTTCCTTCCTTCCTCCCTCCCTTCTTTCCTGCTTTCCTTCCTTCCTTTCTCCCTCCCTTCCTTGTTCCCTCCTTCCCTCCACCATCCCTCTCCTTCCTTCCTCCCTCTCCTTCCTTTTTCTTTCATTTCTTTCTTCTTTCCCCTTTATTTCCTTCCCTTTCTTTTCCTTCATTTTTCTTTGCTCCTTCCTTCCTTCCTTCCCTCTTTGCTTCCCTCTTTCCCTTTCCTTCTCTCATTCCTTCCCTTCCTCCCTTCTCTCTTTCCCCTTTCTTCCTTTTCTTTCTTTCTCTTTCTTTCTTCTTTCCTCTTTCTTTTTTCTTTCTTACGTTCTCTCTTTCCCTCTTCCCTCCATTCCTTCTCTTCGTTGTTGTGGTGGTGTCTGGAGGAGTTACAGTTTTTAGCTGTGGTGCTAACCAGGTGTTCACTTCAGGTGTGGTGAACTCTGCTAAAGTGCTCACTAAGGTTTGCACACCTTTATTTTATTTACTTATTTATTTTTTCTTTTTGGGTCACACCTGGCGATGCACAGGGGTTACTCCTGGCTCTGAACTCAGGAGTTACTCCCGGCTGTGCTCAGGGGACCATATGGGATGCTGGGAATCGAACCCGGGTCGGCCGCGTGCAAGGCAAACGCCCTACCCGCTGTGCTATCACTCCAGCCCCATCAAGTTAATCTGATGGAACACAGAATAGGTGTGTTCATGGAACACAAAACGCTTGTGTTCCCGATCAGTGGTTGTGTCTAGGCAATTTAACGCTGTAAAATAAGTTCTAGATAAACCATGCTCCCAATTCTAATGTGATATTCTAGGAAAGAGGAGCATTTCTGGGGCTGGAGAAAGAATACAGCAGGTCAGAAGGCTGTTTTATTTGGGGCGCCCCGGAGGAGGGCGGGTGAGACCCCTCCCTGCCCGCCCCAAGGGACCCAGCCCGGGCAGCCGAAAACCTCCAGAATTCAATAATCGCCATGCTCACGGCCTCTCTCCACATGCTCGGGCCAAACCTCACCCACGAGTGAACCTATTCCTGGACCATGTGGCAACTCACACCTCACACCACCCACACTCCAAGAGTACCGGACCACATTTGATGGGGTTTAATGTAGGAGGCAACCAATCTTAATCACTTAATCACTTAACTTCCCGTTAGTCGTCAATTTGCTCGAGCGGGAGCCAGTAACGTCTCCATTTGTCCCTGTCACGTGCTAGTGTAGCCCAATGGCATCTGTTCACTCTGGGAACATGAAGAGCCTCAAACCGATCGTTCATGATCTTGATGAAGAAATCTGACCATCTGGAACATGGGCGGCCACGCGGTCTTTTGACATCCCATGGAATCCAGTCGGTAACAGCTCTAGTCCAGCGGTCGTCTTTAAATCTCATTACGTGACCAGCCCATCTGATTTTCGACAACTTGGCAAATGAGACAGCGTCCCTGATCCTTGATCGTCGACGGATGTCAGAACTCCGGATTCGTTCTCTCATTTGAGTGAAACGTGATATTCCAAGCATAGCTCTTTCAATTCCTCTTTGGGAGACCCGAATAGCGTTCTCATCTTGTTTGCGTAGGGCCCAGGTCTCTGAGGCATATATTAATGCAGGAAGAACAGTGGAATCAAAGAGATGTGCCCGGAGCCGGAGGTTCTTCGTCCTCTTAGCTATTTCTTCGACGTTCTTGAAGGCGTTCCAAACCGCTCTCTTCCTCCTGCGCAGCTCGGGTGCCAGGTCATTTGTCATGTTGACCTCTCGACCTAGGTACACATAGCTGTTGCATTCGGAGATGGTCATTCCGTTGAGAGCGAATGGGGCGTCAGGAACAAGGCTGTTTCTCATAAACATTGTCTTCGTAAGATTCAGCTGTAGTCCTACCTTTCCACACTCAGGTTCAAAGTCGGCCAGCATTTGTGCCTCTTGGCTGATGTTTGGTGTTATTAAAACAATGTCATCAGCAAAGCGGAGGTGGTGTAGTTCCCGACCATCTATCTTCACTCCCATTCCTTCCTTCCCATTCCAGTCGTCCCATGATGTTCTCGAGGGTGGTACTGAAGAGTTTCGGTGAAATGGTACCACCCTGCCGAACCCCTCTCCTGACATCAACGATCACTTCTTTGTAGAATGGTGAGATCCTGGTAGTGAATCCGCAATACAGCTCACGGAGGATCCTGATGTATTGGGCTTGAATGCCCTGATTGGCTAGGGCTTCAATGACCGCTTCCGTCTCAACAGAATCAAAGGCCTTCTTTAAATCAATGAACGTTAAACAGAGCGGCATCTTGAACTCCCGAAAAACCTCAATGAGCTTGGTTATCGTGTGGATATGGTCGATGGTGCTGAATCCTTTGCGGAACCCGGCTTGCTCGCATGGTTGTCCTTCCTCTAGTGTTCTGCCAATCCTATTTAGGATGACTCGAGTGAACAACTTGTAGATGACAGACAATAGGCAGATCGGGCAATAGTTGCCAATGTCATGGATGTCTCCCTTCTTGAACAGTAGTACGGTCCTGCTGGTTTTCCATTGGGACGGAACCTTGCATTCAGACAGGTAGCAAGTGAAGAGCCGAGCCAGAGTATTGATGAGTACTGACGGCAGGTTCTTCAGGTGTTCAGGTCTGACCTTGTCTGGGCCGGGTGCTGTTTGTTTCTTTACCGATGAAATGGCATGTCGGATTTCGGAAGGGAGAACGTTGGGAACGACATATCCATCCTGTGGAATTTGGTATGTCGGCAAGTGGACATGGCTATCAAAGAGATTTGAGTAGAAGTCAAGTTTAATGTAGGGGGCAACCAATCTTAGAGGGAAATATATTTTTTACAGATATATATCTGTAAATATATATATATATCACGATCACGATCATCCTGTTGTTCATTGATTTCCTCGAGCAGGCACCAGTAACGTCTCCTTCTTCCTAGCCCTGAGATTTTAAAAGAGCCATTTCAGTGCTCTTTCAGGATTAGGAGAATGAGACCCATCATTGTTACTGGTATTTGGCTTATTGGGTACGACATGGGAAGTTTGCCAGACTCTGTTGTGCAGGCAGGATACTTTTGGTAGCCTGCCAGGTTCTCCAAAGGAAAAATAAGATAATAAGATGTCACGCGGCCACAAAGGCAGCCATGCGCTTCCGGGAGCTGGGTTTTATAGTCTCTGCGTCTTGGCATTGATGGGACCAACCTGGCACTGGCGGCAGCTGGTGGTTATGACGCCTACCTACTGAAAGTTGGGGGGTCTGGGTGGAGAAGGCCCAGTCCCAATCTGTATATATCTATATATATATATATATATATATATATATATATATATATATATGGATAAGCACACGGGGCTCAACCTTTAACAACATGTTAGTGATCTCTTACAGAAGGGCTTAATGGCCCCTAGGTGAAATACAACATTCTACACACTCTTTCTTCAAGGAAACTTCTTTGTAGCCTTTTCAGCAGTTTTTCCATAACAAACAGTCAAAAATAAATTATTTTGGTTCCTCTTTGGGGCAAGGGTTGGGGCTCAGGATGGAAAAATATCCGATATAGGGTAGTGGGAAGGTGTAATGGTGGTGGGATTGGTGTTCGACTATTAAATGTAATCCAATATTGTGACCTACTTTGTAAAAAATAATAATAATAATAAAATGATGTTATCAAAACCAAAGAACATAACAGGTAAGATGCTTGCCTTTCACATTGCCCAGCCAGCATGACACATGGTTCCCTGAGTTCTGCCACGAGTGAGCCCTGAGCGCAGACCCCGGAGTGAGCCCTGAGCACTGCAGGTTGTGACCTTCCCCCAAAGACCGGACCAACCCCTCCCCCACCTCCAATGCTGTTCCTCTTCTCTTTTTTGCTCTAGTTCCAGGGACAACAGTGGCTTGGGTTCACATCAGAAACTGCATCCTCCATTTCTTCAGTGCCCTGTGATGTGTGCCACTCAGACTGACCCCTGTCTGGGGCTGCAGAGTGCGCCTGTCTTAGGACACTGCAGCTAAAACTGAGCCTCCTGCACAGCCAGAAGGGGGTCCCCTGACTTGGGGTCACAAAGAGGACACCCTTCCCACCTCTGCCACCATGGCAACCATTTGTGTGTGGGGAACATTCTGCAGTCCTGAGCTTGCTCGGGCAACCACCAGCTCATACGGAGTGTTGGAGCGTCCGTGGTGAATGAGTGCGGCTCCCCGTCTGTCTTTGCCCCTTTCCCGCGGCCCATTTTCCCATGGACATCTCCTCTCGCCCTCGTAGGTGAAAAGCATGGCCCAGTATGTACATAACATGGACAAACAGGACAGTTTTCGGAGGACGCGATTCTCTGACCGCTTCAAAGACGACATCACCACCATTGTTAACGTGGTCACCTCGGAGATCGCTGCCCTTTTAGTCAAACCTCAGAAGGTAACTGTCAGCTGGCTCTTACCCTTCCACAGACTTTCTTTTGAATGCGCCTCGAAGGAAAATAAGCATGTTCTTGGAAGAGTCAGTAAAATGTAACTAAGTTTGCAGGATAGCTCAGTGCAGTTTGTTATACTAGACAGGTCCCAAGGGTGGGGTAGGGGAATCACTAAAAAGAAATTGCTCTATTGCATTGTGATCCTTGAAATCACTGTGTCATTGAGAGAAGAGACACTAGATTGCTCTATTGCATTGTGATCCTTGAAATCACTGTGTCATTGAGAGAAGAGATACTAGCTTGTTCCTAGGAAATATAATCCTAGATATTATGGGGCAAAGGGACAGGATATTTGTAACCTACTCTCAAGTAGTTCAGAAAAAAAAAACAGTGAATGAAGAGAAAATGATAAAGAAAATACAGTAACATGTCAAGAATTGATAAATCAGGTTAGAGGACATATAGGAGTTCCTTGTACTATTCTTGTACCTTTTCTGTATGCATGAATTTTTCTTTCAAAACAAGAAGTTAAGGGGCCAGAGAGCTAGTGCCAGAGATAAGGCCATGCATGCAGAAAATTCAATAGTAACTATAAATTTTGAGTTCTTAGAAATTAGAATAGTTTTGTCCCAAAAAATTATTATGTTTAGTGCCAAATACTTGCAGAAAAAAATCCATTTGGTTATTTTTTTCATGGAAGACTTCCTGAGAGGAGACCACAGTATCCCCATTAGTGGCAGGCGTGAAAAATGAGGCAAAGTGAGGTTGGTAAGCTTTTCAAAAGTCACAAAACGAGAATGGACTGGGGGTGTGCGTCAGTAGGAAAGCACTTCCGTGGCTCGTGTGAGGCTGGGTCTGCTCTCCAGCACCTCAAAAAAACAAGCAGGTCACAGAACTAACAGCAGAACCATGAGTGAAAAGTGCAAGGTCAGAACACTCAGACTAGGAAACTACCCAGGTGGTCCCGAGGAGGATCCCGAGATCATAATATTCTGGAAACTTCTTTATCAATTTTCTTAGGACACTGCAGCTAAAACTGCATGTCTGGCCAGGTTGTTTTCATTGGCAAAAACGCACATAATAGCAAAAGGAAAAGATTTTAAAATCATATTTTCAGTAGTGTCAGAGAAAACCGGTGTGTCATTTTGAAAATAAAGGACACAAACATAAAGAAGAGAATTCCACGTGCTCTGACGTGCTCTCCAGTCTCTCGGGAATCTGAGCACTGAGAACAAAAGCAAAAGCTCTGACCTCAATCCAGGCCTAAGTTCACAGGGTTCTGGGAACACTGCCTAATTTTGAGGGAAAATTTTTTTCCAGGTAAAAACTCTTTTTAAATCCTCACTAGATTTTCTCAGCAATCCTTATGGTCTACAGATCTGAATCATTGAAGATAGTGAATGCATTGCAGATTAGCTTTGCCAAAGTAGCACTGCACTGCACTGTCCTCTCGATGTTCATCGATTTGCTTGAGAGGACACCAGTAACGTCTCCGTTATGAGACTTGTTGTTACTACTTTTGGCATATCGAATACGCCAAGGGGAGCTTGCCAGGCTCTGCCGTGCGGGCGAGATAGTCTTGGTAGCTTGCCAGGCTCTCCAAGAGGGACAGAGGAATTGAACCCGGGTCAGCCACGTGCAAGGCAAACGCCCTACCCACTGTGTTAAGTAATAGCAAATTGCATAAATATAGTAGAATTCTATAGAATTATGTGGCAGCCCCTTAAAACTAGTTCTAAAAGACTAAGGACAGAGGGTCTAAGGGAAATAAACAGGGGTACATGTAGGATGCCTGGGTTCAATCTCCAGCACCTCATGGTCCCCTGTGCACTGCCCGGAGTGAGACCCCAGCACAGAGCAAGGTGTAACCCCTGAGTATCATTGAGTCTGAGGCCCCAGCCCAGGAAACACATGATATTGAGGTCATGTATATATAAAAACACAGGACTCTGTCTAAAGATACAACGCAAGGGAGAAGGCACTTGACTTGCATGCAGCCAACCCCGGCCTGATCCCTGGCACTCCATAGGGCGTGTCTTTGCATATTTACTATAATTTTGCAAGTTCACTTGCTGTGCACGGTGTTCCCCAAGGTGGTATCCACTCAACCATAGGACCTATCTTTCCCAGCTTTCCCACGAGACCCAGATGCTCAGACACAGGGTTTTCCACAGATAATCGGGGTGTTTGTTTTTAAGGAAAGTGAACAGGCAGAAAAGATGAACATCAGCCTGGCTTTCTTCTTGTATGACCTTCTCTCCCTCATGGACCGATGCTTTGTGTTCAACCTCATCAAGCATTATTGCAATCAGGTGAGTGCTGTCCCGATCTCACCCAGTTGCGACTCCCTTGTTCCTCAGGCTTGCTGTGCTCTGCTAGGTCAGACAAGATTGGCTCTTGTTATTTCTACCTTGAGTTGTGTCTACCCTATGTGATTTGTTTAGGGGCATGGACATCCGTGGACACTCATTTACATGCATTTTTTTGGAAAGTTATCCATTAAGTGTGAGTTGGTTAATAGGTTAATGTATAGGAACTGAGATTTCTTAGCAATATATTTCACTTCCTTCCACTTGACATCGAACAAGGAATTCCTGACTAGAGCACTCATTCACTAAAATTCAAAGCAGGAGTCTCTCTATGTATTAGGATGATTAAGTTTCGGTTGTGAAACTGGAGCTTTACAGAACCCTGATTTTATTTTTTTTTCCAATGGCCAATATATAGACTCTTTATTTTTTAAAAATTTTTAAAATATTTAAAAATTTTTATTAGTGAGACATCATGAGGTACAGCTGTAGACTTACAAATTTTTGTGCTTGGGTTTCACTTATACAATGATCAAGTACCCATCCCTCCACCAGTGCCCATTTTAAAAAAAAAAAGGGAGAGAGAGAGAGAGAGAGAGAATGTAGACTCTGGATCCCTCCATGTTCCCTTGAGGGAAGAAAGAAAACATTTCTGCCTGGGTTTGCTTTATCTTGCTTGTTTTGTGATTTAAAGGAAGATATTTCTCTTCGCTTCGCTTCACTTCTCTTTGCTTCTTTCTCTTTTCCTTCTTTCTCTCCTCTCCTTTTTTCTTTTCTTTTTATATTTTTTAACCCCATGATGCCATGGAGTTTTAATACAACTAAAACTAGGCATAAGTTCAGAGCTGTTAAACTCAGCACCAACTGATAATAACTGATAATAATTCAGATTCGGCCCATTTTTTTAACTTCTGGATTTTCCCAAATTCTGGTTCACCAAAGTGAGTTCCGAGAATATAACAAGACTGCCAAATGACAGGACTAGAGATCGATTCCCTTTTAAAAGCAATCAGAAGGCTCCCGTGCGGCCGCGCGACATCATTTTATTCTTAAACCAAGCTGTAGAAAGCAAATCATTTCACAACGCTGTTTCAGCATATCTGATTGGGGGGGGGGGGGGTCATAAACTCTAAACAATAATTGTGCATCCTCTATCGAAACAATGTATCTAGTCAAAGTAGATAGAGTATTAACTAGAACTCATCTGCCACACAGGAATTGGGAGGGGTGGGAGGTGGGGTTCTATTGGGGTTCACGGTTAAAAATAAGTATTGGTAAAGGGAAATGTGTTTGATATTTACATGACTGAGACCTAAACCCGAAAGCTCTGTAACTTTTCCCACAGTGATTCAATAAAGAAATAAATTATTTTAAAAATAAATAAATAAATAAATAAAAGCAATCAGAAGCATTTTCAACTGGTGCTAGTGACTCAAGTCACTGATGCTGCCCTATACACTTTGCAAGGGACTCCCCAAGGCTGTGTAGCAGGAGGGAGCGTGGCCCATTCATTCTGTCAGTGGAGGGCAGGTTTGTCTGGAGAATTCCTCCCACTTTCCCTTTCATTCTTCTCTACATCCCCCACTCCACTTTGGGGCAAACTCCTGCAGGGACTACAGACTTCCCTAGGTAATTTGATGCCTTTACCTAGGGAACTGGTTGGAGGACTTCCGGATGGGGCCTTTAATTAGAAGCCACAAAAGAACACTGTGGCATTCAAGTCACCCCATCATCTTCCATTAGCTTTGTGTGGCCCCATGTGAGGCCAGTTCCTTTCATTTGGTTTCTTAGACACAGCAGGGGGGTTGTAAAATTGATTATTTTGTGTTGCACTGAAGACATACCTGCAGGTTACTCTCGGGCGCACACTTCTCAGGGAATGACAGATTTGACAAGGCCGGGGGGGTCGGGCCAGAATCCTCATTTTGAACAGCTGTTAGGCTAGAGTGAGTCATGAAGGGAGAGGAATAGAGGGAGATTACTGGAGCTCTGCTACAATGCGGTTCTCTGCTGTTGTGGTGGGCATGAGTTTACCACACTCATTTCCCTGATCTCGGAAGAGAAGAGATTGTCTTGACTGCATCCACTTTATAATAAATGCACGTGTCGGTTTTCACTTTTATTCCCAGTTGTCAGCCAAGCTCAACAGCCTTCCAACACTCATTTCCATGAGACTGGAGTTCCTGAGAATTCTCTGCAGCCACGAGCATTATCTCAACCTCAACCTCTTCTTCATGAATGCTGATCCAACGCCAGGGTCTCCCTGCCCTTCCATATCCTCTCAGGTAACCAGCCACTGAAAAGACTCGAGTTGTGTGATTCTGTCATTTATTCTTATCAAAGTTGGTCTTATGAACTGCAGGAAGAACTGTGCTATTCAAGCCAGATCAGTTGATCCAGATAGAAGGGTGCCCCCTGAAATGGCACCGTATAATCACTTATTTGCAACCCAAGTGATTGATTTCTTTTCTAGGCTCGTGGTTAGAGCAGAGGATCCCTAAGCCCTAAAAACTTCAGAAATTAATAGAAAAGTCATTTATAGTCATAATATTCCATTTCTTTATGTGAATTCCAAAATGATATGACAGTAGGTTTCATTTTTTTTTCCATTATTGTTTTTGTGGGCTGAAGTGATAGCACAGCAGGTAGGACGTTTCATTTGGTTTCTTAGACACAGCAGGGGGGTTGTAAAATTGATTATTTTGTGTTGCACTGAAGACATACCTGCAGGTTACTCTCGGGCGCACACTTCTCAGGGAATGACAGATGCCTTGCATGCCTTGCATGCATCCGACCCGGCTGACCTAAGTTCGATTCCTCCGCTTCTCTTGGAGAGCCCGGCAAGCTACCAAGAGTATCTAGTCCACACGGCAAAGCCTGGCAAGCTATCCGTGACGTACTCGATATGCCAGACACAGTAACAACAAAGTCTCACAATGGAGACGTTACTGGGCCCGCTCGAACAAATGGATGACCAGCAGGAGGACAGTGCTACAGTGCTATTGTTTTTGTTTGGGGACCACACCCAACAGTGCTGAGGGCTTACTCCAGGCTCTGCACTAAGGAATCACTCCTGCAGGACTTGGGAGACCATATGGGATGCCATGGATCAAACCCGGGTTCGTCCCATGCAAGACAAACACCCAGCCAGCTGTAGTTTGCTCCGGCCTCTCTGTTTCTGCCATTGTTTTAGGGCCCGGCCTGGTGGTGCTCAGGACCTGCTCCTGGCTTGTCGCTTGGGAGCTGTTCCTGGCCATTCTCTGGGGACCATATGGTGCCACTTAGCAAAGCAGGGCCTCACACCAGCAAAACATGTAACCAGGCCTTTGAGTTCTCTTCCTGGCCGGCCCTGATTGTGTTTCAACATGAGTATTTGGTTTTGAGTAGTGCCAGACGCTTCTGCTGAAACTGATATAGAATGGAACTCAAATGGGTCTATCTTAAACATATTCCAGATCATTTCATTCTCAAGGCGCCAAGCAGGCTCTCATTCTAACCAGTTTGTTTTAAACAGAGAGCCTAGAGAGGGTGTCTTTCTAACACCTTTTCCTTGACCAACCAACAAACGTTAACACATGCATGAATATTTCAAGAGAAACTTTTGATCGGATGGCCGGTCTTTTTCTGTAGAATGGCATTTCACAAGGTCAACTTAGCAGGCCCCAGATTCTACAGGATATTAGTACTCCAAAGACACAGTCCCAAAAGTCAAGAGAGTTTTGGGAAGACTGTATTAACAGTTTCTTTTTTTTTTTTTTTGCAGTCGGTCTTCCTAGGGTGGTTCACATTTTTTTTTTTTAGCATTTTGAATTTCATTTTATTTTTATAAAGTTTCTCATAGTAATTCATTACATTTACTATTCAAACACCAATCCCACTACCATTGTACCTTCCCACCACCGTAAGAGGAAAGTGTGTGAAGATTATTGAATTTCATCCTGGAGCCATTAACCTCTTGTACAGATTACAAACATATATGTTAAACCCAAACAAATGTGTGCTACTCTTGGTACATCAGTGGTATAGAGTATGAAATGTCATGCACTCTAGGAATTTTCAGATTTAGAATACGATTGTACCGCAGATTCACTCATGGGTGAGTCGTATGTTGCTCTCTTCTTTTTTTCTGAGCTTTTTTTCTGAGTCTCTGGATCTTGTCCATTGATGAGATTATATGGCACCAGAGACAGTTTGTGGGTGTGATTGCCAAGCTACTGGTAAACTTGGGAGATGGGGGGGGAGGAGGCCCATTCCTGCTCCGAGCGAGCTTGGAGATTTCAGTCACAGGTCCCCCATACAGGGGTTTTTCTGCAGATTCACTAGTGTGTGAGGCTCATCTAAGCCTGTGGAGAGCAGCCATGAGTATGGCAGTGATTGGGTTCTGGAGGTTTTCAGCGGCCGGGGCTCTACTGGGGCAGGGAGGGAAACTCAACCCACCCCACCCCACCCCTGCCCGAGTTGGTCAGAACATTCTCTGTCACTCTCTTCTGAGTGGCTCACTGTTAGGTAAGATGTAGGTGCCCAGGAAATAGAAGGAACCTGGACTGTGGCTCGTCAACAAGGATTCCCACAGTGCCTGGATTGCAAAACTTTTCTTTCCCCTCCATAGATTCCTCAAGGGACTGGCGCCTCCCTAGAAAAACTCGAAAGAAATTCTGTTTTATAAATCACATTCCGTTTATACCTAGCGCAGCACGGCAGGCAAGATTTCTCAATATTAAGCTCTGTTGCAGAGCATGTGATACGAGCACAAAGTTGAAGGCTTGTCTGAGTCATGGAAACCAACCTCGGCCCTACGTGCCGGGTGACAGATTGAAATATTGGCTCCCCGACCACCGTCCTGTGACCTGGAAGAGATTCATAAGCAGTCCCTTCCAGTGTGCTTGTGCAGGCCCTGGCACATTCCTGACCCCTCGGGGAGTTGGCACACCTCTAGGTCAGACTCAGCCCCCCCACCCCCAAGACTTCCACGGGTGTGTTGGATTCTCTTAGCGAAGTGGCAAATGTACCCCCAAGAAAGGAGCCCAGGAGTCTCCACGGCTGTTACTACTGACACTTGCCGAGCACCGTGCCTCATCCCAAGCTGGCACATTTGCACACTTGTCTCTAAAAGTTAGTACCAGGAGCCCAAAGGCAGGGGCACTGGTTGCAGGGGCGAGGGGGAGGGGGTCTCGCTTGCGCTCTGTGGAAGCCTTGGATCCAGGCTTCGCTTCCTGGCCTAAATGTTATCTTCGGGTTTTCATCGTCCACTGTTGTTTGACCCCGAGAAAGGGCATATGACTCACTGTTTTTTTGGCAGATCCTGGCCGAGGGTGTTGTCATGTGTCCCGAGGGGCAGTCCCCCACCTTCCAGAGTAGGAAAGCCAAATGACCCGGCCACGTGTCAGCGCCCTCCTTTGCAGCGGAGACACAGGGCCCTGCGGACAGGCTGACCCGGCACGTGGTGGGTCAGCCCTGGCCGCCACTCTCTGACCTTCCTTCTCCTTCCTGCCCCTCACTGCTCGGCTCTGTGCCTCTCTTCAGAACTCCAGCTCCTGCTCCAGTTTCCAGGACCAGAAGATCGCCAACATGTTCGACCTGACGTCCGAGTACCGCCAGCAGCACTTTCTCACTGGGCTCCTCTTCACCGAGCTGGCCGCTGCGCTGGACACAGAGGGGGATGGGTAGGTCTCTGCCCCCAGATATGAAATCGAAGGGCCAAAACCTTCTCCTTACCACGGTTTCTGTCCAGCCTCCCGGGTTTAGGAAAAAACGAGCCTTCCCCAGTTCCCACGTGTGGAAGCGCCTGTGTTGTAAGAAAGCAGCGATGGAGAGGACGTGGGAAGACGTGGGGGAGGAGCTCTCCGGGGAGCAACACAGCGATTGGAACAACATGTCCCTCGGGATGGGCTGCCTGCACTCAGGCACTAGACACATGTCATGTGGCAGGCCAGGGACGCAGTTCAGACGCTCTATGGCAGGGGCCAGAGAAGAGAGAACCGTGGGTAGAGCACTTGGCTTGCACGTAGCTGACCCTGATTTGACCCTGGCACTTCGTATTGTCTTCTGAGCCCAGCCAGGTTTGATCCCTGAGCCCAGAGCTAGGAGTAAGGCCGGCCTGAGCATCGCCGGGGATGGTCTGAAAAACAAACAGAAACAGAAAACAAAACAGGCTCTGCATTAGATTCTCTCCCCAGTGTTACCGGACCCAAACAGTGAACCTTAGGGCATCGCGTTACCGGACCCAAACAGTGAACCTTAGGGCATCGCGTTACCGGACCCAAACAGTGAACCTTAGGGCCTAGCCACTGCCCCCAGCTCTGTGGTGTGTGGCCCTTATTAGTAAGACAAAGTTATAGGGGCCAGGGATATGTCTCAGTGATAAGTACAAGATTTGCGTATCTGAGGACCTGGGTTTAATCTCCAGCACCACAGAAGAAAGACGGACAGACAGACAGAGAGGCAGAGACAGACAGATATACAGAGACAGAGAAGAGAGAGAGAGAGAGAGAGAGAGTCCAGGTTAGCTCAGTGCTGATAACAGAAAAGGTTGGATGCAGAGTGTCCAGGTAAGTTTCTTGCAGAAGAACCTTCTCAGGCTCAGAGAGGTGCCATCAGTACAGCTTTATAAATCCATCCATCCACCTTGTCTCAACCCATTACCCAGGGGCATGTGGCAGTATCTAGCCTGGCAGACAATAGAGAGGGAGGAGGGGGAGGTTCGACTGGTCCTTCTGCCCTCTCCCTATGTGCCAGTGTACCCACGGGATCAGAAAAAAAAAATAATAACACCTATGCCATGGAATAGAATATCGTCCTTCCCAAACGTTTTTCATTCCAGTCAACAGTTAGTGCATCTGCCAGTGTGAGAGCAGAGCTGAGGGCTGGTAACAACAGAGAGATATCAGTGCCCAAAACAGATCAGTTCTCTTTCCCACCAAGCTTACTGTTTAGGGCATCTGATCCAAAGACCGTTAGGATTAGAAAATAATTTAGGTGAAATCACTTGGGTCTGCAGTGAAGATTAGATCTCAGCATTGGCCCAGACTTGATAGTAGAGCCAGATCCAGCAGCCTGTGCTCGTGGGTTGAGCCCCTCTCCGCCCCCACCCCACACCCACCCTCCCCACTTCCCCCCCAATGCCCACTCACTCTCCTCACCAACAGCAGCTCCCTGCATGGAGCCCTAGTTCTGCTATCTCTAGTGTTTCTTCGAAGAATTTTCTGGAAGAAAGTGATGAACAGTCACATAGCTGTATGCTGTAGGGTTTTAACTTCACTGAATTTTTTTTTTCTTTTTGGGTCACACCTGGCGATGCACAGGGGTTACTCCTGGCTCTGCACTCAGGAATCACCCCTGGCGGTGCTCAGGGGATCATATGGGATGCCAGGAATCGAACCCGGGTTGACCACGTGCAAGGCAAACGCCCTACCCACTGTGCTATTGCTCCAGCCCCCTCACTGAAATTTTTAAGTTCTCTTAACGTGCTTGTGATTTAGTGAAGGAAGTTGGAGGTTCCTGCATGGAACAATTATAGGAATACATCCAAGTTGATGTAAGTTTGATTCTAAGTGTTTCATCCCTATCGAGAGTACCTGTGAATCTGTGTCACTGCTTATAGGTCAGCATAGGAAAGCTCATAGTCTGATCTCTAAATTCTGTTTCCTTTTAGTAGTTCTTGATCTCCAACGTATCCTTCATTTCCCAACACTCGCATTTTATCTTCTTTCAATGCTAAATTCTCTCAATTTATCAGTAGAACTTTTTACCCTGTAAGTAAATTTCCATCGCAGCACAAAGTTCCTGCCCATATACTCATCAGGCCCATGCTGAGAGAGGAGCTTGAATACCAAGAAAATTATCTTCATGCACACACAACCTTAATACTCACACACATACTTGTTCTTAATTGAACTTTGGTAACACTGCTTCCTGTGGTTTCTGAATATAGTTGCCAGTATTTATTTCGGCATTGGGGTGCATTTCTGTTCAGCATTGCACTTTTATTTTCCATTTCCCTCTAGGGGAGGTCTAAGCCCTGACATCGCATCTGATTCCTTATAAAATTGTTGCTATGATTTTACTAGCAATAGAACAGATGTTCAAAAGTCATTGGGTAATTATGCTCAATTGGATAGATATATTCTACAGAGAGAGAGAGAGAGAGAGAGAGAGAGAGAGAGGGTCTTTTCTACCACCTCCTCATTCCCCCCCCCCCCAGAGTTTCTAATTAAAAATGTCACTCCTTTGGCAACACAGTAGTTCCTGCTTGTTCCTTGTCAGTTATTCTCCTGGGAAGTCATTAGAAGTACTCTCAGAGATTTTGTCCTGTGGGCTAAAACCCCAGAAAAACTCAGCTTTAAAATACTTTCTCTTAATTAGTACTTCCTTTCACTGCCAAGACAATTACTAGACCCACCATCATCTACCCACCTGGGATCTGAGAGCCAGCGGGACACATCTCAATAGCTACCCCCCGCCCCCCTGAAATCCATAGCTCCAAGCCTTCCCTCTTACCTGGGGGTATCTGCAAGTGTGTACCCATTATCAGATGCAGTGCTGTCCAAACTTTTGGAAATTACTAGCCTCTTTTTATTAAGGCACCAATTGTTTAAAGAGCTAATTCCAACAATTCACATACTCTTTAAAAACAAAAACAAAACAAAACAAAAAAGGTAGGATATGCTTCCTAAGTCACTGTCTGAGACAAACATTACCTAACACAAAAATAGACAAAGGTAACACAGGGACACTTAACATAGGTGCAGATGTCTTCCACAAAATACTGGCAAACTAAATCCAATCCCAGGAATGTAAGATTGCTTTAACACCTGAAAATTGGTTGACATAAACTGCAGTAGGAATATTATAAAGGTCAAAACTCATTCAGTCCTTAGTAACTAAAGAAAAAGCATTTGACAAAATCCAGTTCCTCTTCCTGATAAAAATACTCAGTAAACCAACAGGAAGAAGAAATAATTTCCTTGAGCTGAGAAAGGACAATTATGAAAAATCTATAGCTGACATTATACTTAACTAGTGAAAAAGTGACTGGTTTCCTTCAGAATTAAGACACATATATACACTCTTTTTTTTTTTTTGCTTTTTTTGGGTCACACCCTGCGATGCTCAGGGGTTACTCCTGACTCTGCACTCAGGAATTACTCTTGGCGGTGCTTGGAGGACCATATGGGATGCCAGGGATTGAACTCGGGTCAGCTGTATGAGAGGCAAATGCCCTCCCGGCTGTGCTACCGCTCCAGCCCCTCATATGGACACTCTTGATACTTCTCTCTGCATTGTACTGGGAATTATGTTCAGGACAGTTAGGCAGGGAAATGAATTAAAATACGTCCATTATAAAGAAAGATGCAAAATGATTCTGTTCCCAAGTGAAATGGTATGTTTTACTTAGAGAAAATCCTAATGAACTCAGTAAAAATCGATGAAAGATAATAAATAGCTTAACAAGGTTATAGGGTACTAGCTCAATACACAAAAATCAATTGTATTTATTTGCACTTGTGATCAACAATCTAAAGTAAAACAAACAAACAAACAAAAAGAACAATTCGATTTAAAAGAGCATCAAAGTGATCCCTTCTCTATCCTAACTGCTATGGCAATCGTATTTGGAAATGATCAGTGGACAAGAACTGAAGACTGAAAGTAGGTACCTAATAACCTTTAAGTACCTGTATTACAAACTATAATGCCCAAAAAGAGAGACAAGGAGAGAGAGAGAGATAGGGAGAGAGACAGCAAGAGACAGAGACAGAGAGACAGAGACAGAGAGCCTACCACAGTGGCAGAATGGCAGATCAGGGGGAGGGTGGGAGGCATATCTGGGGACATATGTGGTGAGAAGCGTACACTGGCAAAGGGATGGGTGTTGGAACATTGTATGACTGAAACCCAATCATGAACAACTTTGTGAAAAATAAGCATCAGAAAGAATAAGATGGGGCTGGAGTGATAGCACAGCAGGTAGGGTGTTTGCCTTGCACGCAGCCAACATGACTGACACAGGTTTGATTCCCAGCACCCCATATGGTCCCCTGAGCACCGCCAGGAGCAATTCCTGAGTACATGAGCCAGGAGTAACCCCTGAGCATCGCCGGGTGTGACCCAAAAAGAAAAAAAAAGAATAAGATACATAAGAATATGTTTAACAAAAGTAATACCAGTCTCTTACACTGAAAATTACAAAGCACTTAGAAAGAAGATTTAAATGAATGGAAAGGTATGACCTATCCATGGATCAGAACATTTAATATTATTAGGATGGCAGCTCTTCCCAAATTGATCTAAAATTTCCACACATTCTATCAAAATTCTAGTTGGCTTCTTTAGAGAAACTACAAGCAGATCCTTATGTGGAAATTTAAGGTATCTAATAGAGGCTGGAGAGATTGTACAGGCTGTAAAGTGTTTGCACCCTAGTTCTATCCTTGGTTTGATCAACAATACCACATATTGTCCCCCAAGCACCACCAAATGACCCCTGAGCACAAGATACCTAATATAGCCAAAACATTTTTTTAAAGTAAGAACAAAATCAGAAGACTCACATCATTTCCTGATTTCAAAACTTAATAAATACCCAAAAAGTAGTAAAAGAATGTGATTCTGGCATAAAGGTAAACTAGCGTTCTATGAAATTGAATTCGGTGGAAAAAATTAATTCTCACATAAATAGTCGCTTGATTTTTGACAAGTGTGCAAAATATTTCATGGAGAAAGGAAAGAGTTGTCAACAAATTTGCTGGAATAGGATATCTACTTTTAGGATTTAACTTCAGCGTTAGCTTGAACCCCTCTCCCACATCATAAACAAAAGTTAACTTAGAGGCATAATATCATGCATGCACTAGACCCCAAGATCAATTCCCTGCACCCCAAGGCTTCCCAGGCACTGCTGGGTGTAGACCTAATGGTCCCGGCACCACGAGGGCTTAGTATACCACATCGCTGAGCTCCGAGCCCTCAGACTGGGACGTCTGGGCTTCTGTTACCAGGAATGTATCCCCGACACCACACCACCACCAGCAGCTAAAAAACACCCAAAAAGTTAACTTAGATTGCATCAAACACCTAAATGTGCTGAAACTATAAGACTCCTAAAGATACTCTATGAAACTGAATCATACAATGAGTTCTCAGAACTGATCTGCCTAAAGTCTGAGCGACAGATGATGAACGTTTATTTCTAAACTTTATAAAAATTAAATTCTATGAACTCAGAAGCCATTATTAAGAAAGCAAAAAATGGTGCACATATAGGATAAAATACTGAACGAACTATAGAAATAATGGGTTTGTATCTAGAATATACTTTGTTTTAGTTCACTTTTTAGTAGTGTTTTTCCCAGTGATGCAGTACAAGGCCTGATTATTCAGTGCTTAGGGATGGAATGGGATGGAATGTGGACGATCTCACCCTCTACAGCTGACTCCGCTCCCCAGCCCATAGAATACCTTTTTAAAATCTTACGACCCAGGGAAAAAAAAATGAAGATCCAATTTTTAAAAAAAATTTTATTGGTGAAACACCATGAGGTACAGTTGTAGACTTACAAATTTTTGTGCTTGGGTTTCGATTATACAATGATCAAATACCCATCCCTCCACCAGTGCCCGTTTCCCACCACCACGGATCCCAGTATCCCTCCCACCCCCCATTCCCCCCCATCCCACCCTGCCTCTGTGGCAGGGCACTCCCTTTTGTTCTCTCTCTCCTTTTGGGTGTTGTGGTCTGCAAAAGAGGCATTGAGTGGCAAAACCATGTTCAGTCCATAGTTTACTTTCAGCATGCATCTCCCCTCCTGGGAGGATCCTCCCAACACCCTTTATTTGGTGCTCCCTTCTCTATCTGAACTGCCCTTTCCTCTAGGATACCCGGCTGGCCTCTAAGTTATGGAGTAATCCTCCTGGTGCTGATCTCAGCTATTCTTGGGTATTAATCTCATAATTTGCTACTTTATATCCCCCAGATGAATGCAAGCAGATCCAGTTTTTAAAAGACATTTGTTCAAAGAAGATATGACCAATAAGCAAATAAAAAATACATCCAGCATCATTAACAATAAGATAAATGCATATGAAAATTAGTTAAATATTTCTTAGACCAAAAAGAGCACAGAGGGGAACACGCTTTCAATGCATATATCCAACCCCAGTTTTATCCCTGGGACCCCATAAGGAATGATCCTGAGCACAGAGCCAGGAGTAAGCCCTGTGTACCACCAGGTGTGGGCCCCCAAACCAAAAAACAATAATAACCTCGTTAAATATTCCTTAATTTTGGCTGCTAAAATGAAAATGTCGGAGACTGGCTTACAACAGTGGGCATTTATTTCTTATCATTCTGGAGCTGGGAAATTCAAGAACAAGCAAAAGGCCACAAACTTAGTGAGAACCCACTTCCTCATCCCCAGGTGGATCTCTGGCTGTCCTTGCATGGCAGAAATGGACAGGGAACCCTTTTTCACTGGGTACTGATTGTGCTTGTGAGGGCGTCACCCCCCATGCTCTGTCCCCCTGCTAAAGGACTCCCTCAAAGCACCATCACACCACAGGTGACAGTTTTGGAGGACATGTTCTGTCTGTGGTATTCGCATATCCATAAGGTGATGAATAGAAAGGAGCCAGTGTCAGTAGAGAGAAAATGGAACCTTCCTACACTGCTGGTAGAAATATGGACTGATGGGTGTAGCTACAGTGAAAAACAATTTGGTGTTTCTTCTAAAAGTTAAACAGAGAGTTACACGTGGCCCAGTAGTTCTACTCCGATATAGATCCCCAAGAAAAGGAAACTATAAATCCACACAAAAACTTAGACATGCTCATAATAGCACTGTAGCACTGTGCTCCCATTGTTCATCGATTTGCTCGAGCGGGCCCAGTAATGTCTCCATTGGGAGACTTGTTGTTACTGTGCTTGGCATATCGAATATGTCCTGGGGAGCTTTCGAGACTTTGAGGTGCAGGCGAGATACTCTCGGTAGCTTGCCAGGCTCTCTGAGAGGGGCAGAGGAATCAAATCGGGGTTGGTCGGGTCGGCCTCCAGCCTACATGCTCATAGTAGCATTCACAATGAATAATAGTAAAAAATCTGGAAACAACCACATGTGTGCCAATTGATAAATATAATGAATATCACTAAACAGTAGAATGGGTTGAAGCCTTCTCATTTTCTCTCAAATTTAAAACCTCGTGGGGCTGGAGCAATAGCACAGCGGGTAGGGCATTTGCCTTGCACGCGGCCAATCCGGGTTCGATTCGCAGCATCCCATCTGGTCCCGCAAGCACCCCAGGAGTAGTTCCTGAGTGCATGAACCAGGAGTAACCCCTGTGCAATGTTGGGTGTGACTCCCCCAAAAAGCACAAAAAAAAAAAAAACCAAAAATACAGAGGCTGGCAAGCTACCCGTGACGTATTCAATATGCCAAACACAGTAACAACAAGTCTCATGAAGGAGACGTTACTGGGCCCGCTCGAGTAAATCGATGAACAACGGGAGGACCGTGACCATGACATTGTACTAATGCCAGTAGGTTCAGCATTAGAACGAAGGCATCTACTGTGAATTCTGTACACTGCTGCCTTATTTTCTTGATCTTCACACTGTCTTGTTACTTGGGGCCTTGCTCGTCACACCTCGGTGTTTAAGAGTGTCTTGGTACATCTCACTTCGCTGTAACCTCTGGGTTTCTGTATTGTGCCCGGCAGGATCAGCAGAGTGCAGAGGAAAGCGGTCAGCGCCATCCACAGCCTGCTCAGTTCCCACGACCTGGACCCGCGCTGTGTCAAGCCAGAGGTGAAGGTCAAAATTGCGGCCCTTTACCTGCCTCTGGTTGGCATCATTTTGGATGCTTTGCCGCAGCTGTATGATTTTACAGGTAAAAATGTTTTCTCTTCCCGCCTCTGGATTGCTTTCATTGACGTGGACCCCTGCTAGATACCTCACTTGTTCCTTAGACCTCTCAGATGTACGCCGAATACTTTGTTTTGTTTTTTGCTTTGGCGCTACATCCTGTGGTGTTCAGTGCTTACTCCTGGCTCTGTGCTCAGGAATCACTCCTGCCATTGCTCAGGGGACCATCTTCGGAGCCAGGATGGAACCTGGGTTGGCTGCATGCAGGGCAAGCACCCTGCCTGCCATATCATCTCTTCAGCCTCCTAATGTGTGTGTGTGTTTTATTTGTTGTTGTGTCAGGGATCAAACCCAGGACCTCACACAGGCAAGGCACAGTCTCTTGGTCTGAGCCGCATCTCTGGCTCTCTGTTGTTTGTTTTTCTAAGTAAAGGTAAAGGTAAAGGTAAAGGCCCTCCCATTGATCATCAATTTGCTCAAGCGGGCCCAGTAACGTCTCCATTGGAGACTTTGTTGTTACTGTGTCTGGCATATCGAATACTCTCGGTAGCTTGCCGGGCTCTCCGAGAGGGGCGGAGGAATCGAACTTGGGTCGGCCATGTTGGCTGCGTGCAAGGCAAACGCCCTACCCGCTGTGCTATGCATCCTTATTTAGAACTTATTTGTCTGCTTACTGATCTTTTGTTCATTGGTCTGCTGGTACAGTTTGATTAAAGACCACCCACCACAAAGAATGAGAGAGTAATAAAGTCACTCCCCTGAGAGGTTACTACTCTTAACACTTTTCTCCAGCACTTAGTTCCCTCTGTTTGCTTGAATGAATGTTTAAGGAAAGAAGCAGACTCAAATTGGGGCTGGAGTAATAGCACAGCGGTAGGGCATTTGCCTTGCATGCGGCTGACCTGGATTCGATTCCCAGGATCCCATATGGTCCCCTGAGCACCGCCAGGAGTAATTCCTGTGCATCTCCGGGTGTTTCCCTCCCAAAAAAATTTTTTCAAAAAAAGAATCAGACTCAAATGACCTTTAACATTTGTTCCGTACCAAAATAATAATAAATGTCATGGTATCCATTTGGTGGCAGGAGAATAAAGATGTTCAGTCTAAGGGTAGAAGTTTCCCACTTCACACCCAGAAGAAAGGATAAATGGTGTAAGTGGCATTTGTGCATCCCCTGGATTTATTTGGATGGTGTGAAATGAACCAGGGAACAAAGAATAAGACTCTAATCTTTCCCAGTTACAAGTGTTTTGTCTGGTGCCTGCAAACGATAATCCCAACTTCCTATCCTTTTCCCTTTCTGACTGTTGTAAGGTCCGTGTAGTGCTTACTTGAGCTCTCCAACCTTGCCGTCAGTCATGCTTGGAATACTAAACCATCCAGAATTTCCCACTTTTTCCAAGTACAACCTAAGTATTGTGTGAGCCAATAATTTCTAGAATCAGGCCGGAGAGATAGCAGAGTGCTTACGGCACTTGCCTTGCATGTGACCGACCCTGGTTCGATCCCTGGCACTGCAGAGGGTCCCTTACGCCCTGCCAGGTGATCCCTGAGCACCACTCATGGTGATCTCTGAACACCATGGGGTATGCTCTAAACTCCCTCCCCTGATTCTTCCTAAAATCCTTGTAATGACTATTTTTCAATAAGACATCTTATTATGACATCTCATTCCTACTTTGGACAAACTGGCAGGCTACCGAATGTAGCCTGCCCACACGGCAGAGTCTGGCAAACTCCCCGTGGCGGACCCAATATGCCAAATACCAGTAACAATGATGGGTCTCATTTTCCTAAAAAGCCTTGGATATAATCTCAGGGCTAGGATGAAGGAGACGTTACTGGGGCCTGCTTGAGGCAATCGACGAATATCAGGATGATTTGTGATTGTGATTTGTGACTATTTTTTATTGAATTCAAATGAGCCTCCCAGTGGGTGTGGAAGTTGTAGAAGTAAGCCTGGCACAGGGCTTCCTTGGTCATGTCTGAATTAGGGGGCAAACCAAGGAGAGTGATCTTCAGAATTTTTAAGATGTAATTCATAGCATGATAGGTGATTTATGGAATTCTGCCTAAAATGTTCTAGAACGTTTTGTTTGAAAACCTACGACTTACTAGCTCCCAAAGCAAGGTCACACCTGGTTATACTCAGGGCTTACTCCTGGCTCCGTACTCAGGGCTCACTCTAGCCATTGCTCAGGAGACCACCTGGGATGCCAGGGATCAAGCCTGGGTCATCCGTGTTCAAGGCCAGCACCTTACCCATTGTATTATCTCTCCAGCCCAAAAGGTTTAAGAACTATTCCAGGAAAATGTCATAAAAGCTTTAGAAAAATTTTGTTTTTTTGAGCTTTGGAAACAATGTTCAAACTAATCTGCCTAACATTTTATCTCCTTTATGGACCAACCTGGGGCTGGAGCGATAGCACAGCAGGTAGGGCGTTTGCCTTGCACATGGCCCACACGGCCGACCCGAGTTCGATTCCTCCGCCCCTCTCGGAGAGCCCAGCAAGCTACCGAGAGTATCTCGCCCGCATGGCAGAGCCTTGGCAAGCTACCCGTGACGTATTCGATATGCCAGACACAGTAACAACAAAGTCTCCAATGGAGACGTTACTGGGCCCGCTCGAGCAAATCGATGAACAACGGGAGGACCATGACCGTGATGGACCAACCTGTACACTTTTTCCATGGATGATAGCAAACACTGCTAATTGGCAGGCTTTAAATAACCATACTCACCTTGATGACTAATAAATATCAGTCACTCGGTGGATATTAGGTAGGGGACAGATAGAAACATTATGCTCAGCTTGACATCTGTAGCACCGTAGCACTGTCCTCCCATTGTTCATCGATTTGCTCGAGCAGGCACCAGTAACGTCTCCATTGCGAGACTTGTTGTTACTGTTTTTGGCATATTGAATACACCACGAGGAGCTTGCCAGGCTCTGCCTCACGGGTGGGATACTCTCGGTAGCTTGCCGGCCTCTCTGAGAGGGATGGAGGAATCGAACCCGGGTTGGCCGTGTGCAAGGCAAACGCCCTACCCGCTGTGCTATTGCTCCAGCCCAACTCAACTTGACATCACCGAAGATTTTTTAAAAGACTATTCTTTGGGGATTGGTGGGTCACGTGGCAGTGCCAGCAATTATCCAAGTCACCTGGCCTCCAGAGCCATCCCCACCAGTGCTCTGGGGACCGTGTGGAGCCAGGGATTGAATAGAGGCTGGCCACACACAAAATGGCCCTGCATGAAACTTACACCCACAGATGTTTACGTGGGCGTAAGTTTCCCCTTCCTTTGGTTAAATACCAAAGAACAGGTTTTTTTTCTTTCTTTCTTTTTTTTTTTATGGTAATTTGTATTTTTATTTTACAAATATATAACATGTTTTATATAAATATTTTATAATTGATTTATCTATTAAAAGAGTTTTATGATTCTATATGAGTGTTAGTAGAGTTTATTCTAAATCCTTGAACGATATCAAGAATTCAATGGAGTATGTATAGAATCAATCATTTTAACAATATTAACTCTTCAAATCTGTTAACATTAAATACTTCCCCCATTTCTAGCATCTTATATTTTTGATAAATAACATAGTTTTTTTTATATTTTTGTTAGTGAAACACCATGAGGTACAGTTGTAGACTTACAAATTTTTGTGCTTGGGTTTCAGTTATACAATGATCAAATACCCATCCCTCCACCAGTGCCCATTTCCCACCACCACGGATCCCAGTATCCCTCCCACCCCCCAAACCCCCATACCACCCCGCCTCTGTGGCAGGGCACTCCCTTTTGTTCTCTCTCTCCTTTTGAGTGTTGTGGTCTGCAATAGAGGCTTTGAGTGGCAAACATGTTCAGTCCATAGTCTACTTTCAACATGCATCTCCCCTCCTGGGAGGACCCTCCCAACACCCTTTATTTGGTGCTCCCTTCTCTATCTGAGCTGCCCTTTCCCCTAGAATGCCCGGCTGGCCTCTAAGCCATGGAGTAATCCTTCTGGTACTGATCTCAGCTATTCTCCGGTGTTAGTCTCCTATTTTGTTACTTTATGTCCCCCAGATGAAAGCGATTTTCCTATGTCTGTCCCTCTCTTCTTCTTCTTTTTTTTTTTAAATAAAACTGATGATATTTCCATTGCAGCAGCAGATGCCCGCGGTGGTAAAAACCGCGCCAGTGGCTCAGAGGAAGAACAAGACGGAAGCAGCGCAATCAACCAGAACGTGGCTCTGGCCATTGCCGGCAATCATTTTAATCTGAAGACGAATGGACTCACCCTGTCTTCCTTGGTACGCTACTGCCCAACCCTCTGGTTTCCCTTTGCTTCTGTATCTTTCTTTTCCCATCACTGAACCCGGCCCAGAGCAGGCACGGAAGTGCCTTCCTTCTTGTTTGACGCTGAAGGAATCGCCTCGAGGCTGGACTGCCCAGGGAAGCCTCTGGAGTCAGGCCAGGCTCAGGAGCAGCAAGAGACGAATCCACCATGGTCTGTCTCACGGGGGCTCCCAAGCCAGACTGAGGGCCTAGAGGACGCTGAGATCACTGCTGCGGAGTTAAGACAAGGCTCCCACAAGTGAACTCTTGGGCCCACCCATCAGTGCTCAGGGCTTACTCCTGGTAGGACTCAGGGAACCATAGGAAATGCCCCCGGATGGAACCCTGGACAGCCGCGTGCAAGACAAGTGCCTTACCCTCTGTAGAGTCTCTTCGGCCCCTTGAGCTGTCTTGTTTCTGACTGCTTGTTCTTCAAGCTGTACCTGCCTCCCCTGCTTGCCAAAACAAAACAAAACAAAACAAAACAAAAAACACTAGATTAGGGACTCTTACTTCTTGAGGCGAGCACTTAGGTGAAAGATTTCAGTTTGCTTTCTTTTTGAGCTTATTGGGTCACACCCGGCAATGCTCAGGGGTCACTCCTGGCTCTGCACTCAGGAATTCCTCCTGGAGGTTCTCGGGGGACCATATGGGATGCTGGGAATCAAACCAGGGTCAGCCACATGTGAGGCAAACGCCCTACCTGCTGTGATATCGCTCCAGCCCCAAGATTTGAGCTTTCTAAGTCCTCAGAGAGCCTATATATATAGCATTGTTTGGCTTTGTCCTTTATGCAGATTCTACAGGCTGATACTCCTTTGGGAATATTACCTCTGATTCCCTTGGGGTGTGGGTCTAGATCTCTCCCTGCACGGTCCTTGATGTGCCAAGACAGTGTTGCCAGCCTCCAGTAGCACCAGGGTTGGCGGGCAGAGAGTAGTGTATGAACGAGACATGCCGTCACTCCTTCCATAGCCTGATCGATACTGCCTGCTTTTGATACTGAAGTATTTCTGACCTCTGCCACCTCTCAGGCATCCGTCTTGTCAGAGGAGGCTTGAGTGCCTTCCTGGTGGTTACGATATTACAGTAGTAGTAGTAGTGTGTGTGTGTGTGTGTATGTGTGTGTGTGTGTGAGAGAGAGAGAGAGAGAGAGAGAGAGAGAGAGACATACTCAGAAAAATAAAGTGAACAGACCTTCCCAAGTCCTGAATGACAGTCCCCTGCCACCTTCAGTGCGTCATCGTGAGGTGACTGTTGCATTCCACTGGATATGAGCTTCGCCGCAGGAGCTGAGGGTGCAGCCAGGGGACGTGCTCTGTTGGCTGAGGAACAGAAAGTGCGCTCAGCACTCTGACACGAACACGTGCGGCCAGGATGCTAAAGCAAGCCGCCTGGGACCCACACCCAACCCCAGCAAAACATAGCTGTGGTCTAAGTCCCATTACAGAGGTCTGTAATTACGGATTTGACTGATATTTTTCTGAGCAGTGCATAACACATTATCCTCGGACAGCGAAGCTAAATTATTTCTATATATGTATTTATATATATATGTATTTATATACATTATAGATGTATTTATATATATTTATTTATATATTATATATATTAAAGAATTTAGCTTCTTTGTCAAGGTATATATATATACTTTATATTTTATATAAAGAATTTAGCATCTTTGTCAAGGTATATATACTTTATATTATATATAAAGAATTTAGCTTTTTGTCAAACATGTATAATATATAATATTTTTAAAATTACATATAATAATATATTATATATTATGTAAAATATAGCACTGTAGCACTGTCCTCCTATTGTTCATTGATTTGCTTGAGTGGGCACCAGTAACATCTCCATTGTGAGACTTGCTGTTACTGTTTTTGGCATATCGAATACATCACGGGGAGCTTGCTAGGCTTTGCTGTGCGAACAAGATACTCTCGGTAGCTTGCCGGGCTCTCCGAGAGGGGCGGAGGAATTGAACCCAGCTCAACTGGGCTGGCTGTGCACAAGGCAAACGCCCTACCGCTGTACTATCGCTCCAGCCGTATTATGTATAAATACATTTAATACATTGTCACTGTCACTGTCCTCCCGTTGTTCATCGATTTGCTCGAGTGGGCCCAGTAACATCTCCATTGTGAGACTTCTTGTTACTGTGTTTGGCTTATTGAATACTCTCAGTAGCTTGCCAGGCTCTCCGAGAGGGGCGGAGGAATCGATTTAATATATTATATTTAAATATTATATATTAATATATTATATTTTCAAATATGTAGAATAATTCTTTATATTATAGATAAAGAATTTAGCTTCTTTGTCAAGGTATATATATATATAATTTTATTTAGCCATCATGATTCACAATTTCATAATACCATAATGGTGGGGTTTTGTGCATAAAACATTCCAACACCCCCAGCCAGCCAAGCACGTGTTTCTGGCCCCTGCCAATGTCTCAGCATCCTCCCCTCACCCCTGTTCCCTGCTTCACCGCCCCCGCCCCATCCCCACATCTCACTGCCCTGGTGAGCTCTGATCTAAAGGGCAGTTCTCAGATTCTTCTGCCGCTTTGACCGCTTGTTCTTCCCTTACTGCGCTTTGATATATCCCACAAATGAGAGCCAATTTTCTGTGTCTGTCCCCGTTCTTCTCTCTGGCTTCACTCAGCATGATTCTCTCCAGTTCCTTCCACGTAGCAGGCAAATTGCCCGATTCCATCCTCTGTTTATAGTTGAGTACTATTACGTTGTGTATAGCTATCAGAGTAAGAAGCTAAATCTTTTTTTTTTTTCTTGCTCTTTGGGTCACACCCGGCGATGCTCAGGGGTTACTCCTGGCTCTGCACTCAGGAATTACCCCTGGCGGTTCTCAGGGGACCATATGGGATGCTGGGAATCGAACCCAGGTCGGCCGCGTGCAAGGCAAACGCCCTACCTGCTGTGCTATTGCTCCAGCCCCCGAAGCTAAATCTTTAAACAGTTTAGGCATTAGTGGAGCCTAGTGGGGTTGCCCTCAGGGTCTGGCTTGAAGAGGAAATAGCTTGAGCTCTACTCTCACGTTGGCACTGAGATGGGGGGTCGGGTGGTGGACAGAGTCCAGGGCAGCCCACCAGACCACCCTGCTCCCCAGAGAACACGCACATTGACATGGGTGGCCCCAGGTCGCCCCCTTTACCTGCCCAGCCCAGGGTACAGGGTCCCCGCGCCCAAAGACCGCTCCCCTAGACAGCCCCCATGAGCTGCATTCCCCCTGATGCCCAGTTTCCTGCCTGCATCCCTCTCCCGATCTGCCTTCTTCCAGCCCTACAAGCAGTACAACATGCTCAACGCAGACACCACCCGCAACCTCATGGTCTGCTTCCTCTGGATTATGAAAAACACGGACCAGATCCTCATCAGGAGGTGGATTGCAGACCTGCCATCCATGCAGCTCAACAGGATCTTAGACCTGCTCTTCATCTGTGTCTCGTGCTTTGAGTACAAAGTAAGTGCAGGACGGCCGCCGCGGGGGTCACCTGCCCTTCCCGCTCCATTCAGTTCCGTCGTCTCGCCGCCACTCATTCGGCTTTGACAGCGTCCCTTATTCTCACCTCCGTATGAAAGTCCACCACCGCCTGCAGTGCGGCGAGGACAGTCCCACAGGGATCAGATCTCTGCCTTCAGCGGGGAGAGTTCCATCGCCCACCGCAGGACTTAGCCTGGCCCGACCCCGGCGATGCCTATGCAGGATTCTCTGCATGGACAGCTCTCCCCACACTCAGTGTCCTCCTGCCTGTGTCCTGCACAGGGAAAGCAGAGTTCTGACAAAGTCAGTACCCAGGTGCTGCAGAAGTCCCGGGACGCCAAGGCCAGGCTGGAGGAGGCTTTGCTGCGTGGGGAAGGAGCGCGTGGGGAGATGATGCGACGGCGGATCGTAGGTAGGTGTGTGGGAGGTCAGCTCCCCCCAACATTCCCACCAGGGCAAGTCATCCTTTGCGCCAAGGAAGGGACCCCCCGCCCCCTCCAGGAGTTGAGTCACCATCCCTTTACAGAGACTTGGTTGTCATTTCAGAGGAAGAAGATTCTTTCTTTTTTTTTTTTAATTTTTATTAGTGAGACATCACGAGGTACAGTTGTAGACTTACAAATGTTGTGCCCATCCCTCCACCAGTGCCAATCCTCCACCACCACGGGTCCCAGTATCCCTCCCACCCCCAATCCCCCATCCCACCCTGCCTCTGTGGCAGGGCATTCCCTTTTGTTCTCTCTTATTGGGTGTCGTGGTTTGCAAAAGAGGCAGTGGGTGGCAATCATATTTGGTCCATAGTCTACTTTCAGCATGCTTCTCCCATCCTGGGAGGATCCTCCCAACACCCTTTACTTGGTGCTCCCTTCTCTATCTGAGCTGCCTTTTCCCCTAGCATGTGTGGCTGGCCTCCAAGAGGAAGGAGATTCTTTGGGACAAAGGCCCCCTGTGAACCCAGCACCTCTTCTTTCTTTCTTTTTTTTTTTAAATCTTTTTGGGTCACACCTGACCATGCTCAGGGGTGACTCCTGGCTCTGCACTCAGGAGTTACTCCTGCCGATGCTAGGGGGACCATATAGGGTGCTAGGAATCAAACCCGGGTCAGCTGTGTGCAAGGCAAACCCCCTACATGCTGTGTGATCACTCTGGGCCCCTCCAGAACCTCTTCTTTGCCTGGTCTATGCACCCCTGATCAAAACCCCCCCGATAATTGTTTTAAAATAGTTTATGTGATTAGGTTACAGGAGTGTTCAGGTGTCTGGGACTGACGTTTAAAGTTACTGCCCACCCCGCCACCACCAGAATGCCCATGACCCATCCTACGTCCAGTTCAGTCCAATGTACCTTCCTTCCCAGCCATATTTTGTAGATTGTAGTTTCAGTGCAGACTGTTTCCTCCCCTAGTACCACCCAACAGCTTGAGAACCAACCTCTTCAGCTCCCAGAAGATTTTCCCCACACCCTGTTCATTCCCTCCTCACCCCCCTATCCCACCTTTCTGGTCAAGCCCCTCACGTTTCTAATATCTGAGATTTACTGTCACTGTCACTGTCACTGTCCTCCCGTTGTTCATCGATTTGCTCGAGCGGGCCCAGTAACGTCTCCATCGTGAGACTTTTTGTTACTGTGTTTGGCATGTTGAATACGTCGCGGGGAGCTTGCCAGGCTCTGCCGTGCGGGCGAGATACTCTCGGTAGCTTGCCGGGATCTCCGAGAGGGGCGGAGGAATCGAACTCGGGTCGGCCAGGCCAGCTGTGTGCAAGGCAAATGCCCTACCGCTGTGCTATTGCTCCAGCCCTGAGATTTATTATTGATTGATATTGTTCCTACCCTCGATTTGTTTCTCTACCTACCACAGATGAGTGAGATCATTCCATATTTGCCCTTCTTTCACTCAGCTCGATGCCCTCCAATCCCACCCAAGGTGCCACAAACTGCATGGCTTTATTTGTTCCAATAGTACTGCGTAGTACTCCATTGTGATATGCGCTACAATTTTTTTTTATTAATTCATCTGTTATTGTTGTTACTGTGTCTGGCATATCGAATACTCTCGGTAGCTTGCCGGGCTCTCCCATCTGTTATTGGTCATTTGGGTTGCTTCCATATCCTGGCTACTGTCCTAAGAGCTGCAGTGGACATAGGCATTCAGTTGACACTAATGTTTTGGGGAGGGCATTTGGGGGGAGGTTATAGACGCTTAGAGGTGGAGATAACTGAGTCAAATCAGTATCCCATTCCTACTTTTTGGAGAGATTTTGGTTTTGAAACCAGATCATTCTGGCTCCAAGATGATGTCCTCAGTTATGGGTCCGGGCATGACAGAGCGTATGTTTTCCCGGTGTTTCAGAATGTTCCAGGCCCCCAGGGTTCCCACCCCACCAAGTAGGGCCTTGAAAAGGCAGAGCTCACTGCAGACCATCTGTCTTGGTGCTCTCCAATTCAAACACAACAGCAGTGATACTGGACCCAATGTCAGGGAGCTTGGGGGACCTCCACTGTGTCACTGGTGCTTTGCATACTCATTCAGTACCCAGATGCTTCAGGGTGAATTCCTGGACCCCTGTGCTCCCGAGACATGCTCAGCAACACTCTGTAAAGTCGGGAGTTCTTCAAAGAGCAGTCCACAACCACCTGGTCCAGGGCTCCTGGGACCCCTCAGAGGCATCCAAGGGGCAAGGCAAAGGCAAGAGGGTGCTACGTCCTTGCATCCTGCCCTTTTGGCGGGGGTGGTTGGAGTCGAAACTCCTGGTTATCTTGAAGGGTTTCATGCTAATCATATTCTTGTGCACTTCTGAACTCCTAGCGAATGACCGATTTCAAGGACTGAATGAAAATTTGAGATGGAAGAAAGACCAGACACAATGGCGACAAGCTAACGAGAAGCTAGATAAGTGAGTCCTGGCGACTTTCTGCTCCCTTTACCTCAAATCCAAAACAGCTATTCTCAGGCTACTTGAATTACTGAAACAACCCCGTCCTTCCTAGGGTCAGAAAAGGAAACAGTGCTATCTGTTTAAATTCAGTTCATCCAGGGGCCCAGGAAACCAAGGGCAGAAAGAGCGATGATTTCCAGCTCTGAAATATTTCTCACATTGATAAGCCTTTAGAGATAACGACTAATCAGCAGCCTCAGCTTAACAAAAAGCAGCTCACGGTGAAGGGCAGTGTACGCCATTAACCTGTACTTCCTATCCAGAAACAGGGGCAACGATGTCTGCTCAGAGATATTTATGTCAGCATTATACAAAGTCATCTTAAAGTGTTGGAGGCCTTTTACATGCTCAATAAAAGTCACATCATGGTATCTTGGGTCGACATTAAAATTTTCAGAGGCATTTTAATGACACAAGAAATGCTTATAAAACTAAGCAAACAGAAGTAGGGTTACACCTGGTTTTAAAGCAGAACCTTAAATCTCTTACAACATATAGCAAATGCTATAAATAGTAGAAGGGAATTTGCCAAAATATTAACAGTGGTTCTTGTCTTAAGTATGCAATAGAAATCTGTGAGATATGTAGGTGTATATATGAATGAGAGTGTCTGAGATATATAGGCGTATATATGAGTGAGAGTGCCTGAGATATGTAGGTGTGTATATGAAGTGTATCCCACACCTAGATGAGCACTTATATCTAAATCTGCTCCTGACTGGGTAGCTGGGTAGCTCCTATTTTCTCTTCCTCTTGGCATCAGGTGGGCTCATGAGTCTGGACGCCCACTGAGTGGCTGAGGACACCTTTTGCACACGCTTGCAGGCATCCCCATAGTTGGAAGCTCCCGTGGAGAGTGTGGGTGGGAGAGCCTTGGAGAACAGTTATCTGGCGAATAGCAGTGAATGACTGTCTTTGTTATTACCACAGAATGAGTCACTCTTGTCCACTAATGGGCCTTTGGGGACTCCAGTTTATCTTAAACCATTAAAAAGACAAACACGTTATATTTTTTGGATAGATGTGACTTGACAAGCCTGGTTGTCAGTGTGAACAGTAAGATCCATTTGTTCTGAGTGTTCTTTTCTTGCTCTGTGTTCCCTGAGTGGTTTGATGTGATATTTGGTTTGGGGAGAACATATGTTCTACCACAGGTAATTTAAAAAAAAAAACACAACATTTTTTTAATGTGCCTGCAGTAAGGTGTTAGGTCTGAGATCATGAGGTTACCCGTTTGTGAGTGGAAGGAGTCTGGGGAGTCTAGCAAGGTGTGGTCTCCCTAGGTGTGTAAACTGGTGTGTCGCACAGCACTGAGCTCGCAGGCAGGGCCTCCTGACCCACTGACTCGGCTCTTGCCCTGGTGGGCTGCTCATTGCTAGAGCACATGTTTTACTTCTCCAAACCTGCATGGCAGTGGGCAATGTCCTTCCTTCCTTCCTTCCTTCCTTCCTTCCTTCCTTCCTTCCTTCCTTCCTTCTTCCCTCCCTCCCTCCCGCCCTCCCTCCCTTCTTCCTTCCTTCCTTCCTTCCTTCCTTCCTTCCTTCCTTCCTTCCTTCCTTCTTTCCTTCCTTCCTCCCTTCTTCCCTCCCTCCCTCCCTCCCTTCTTCCTTCCTTCTTTCCTTCCTTCCTCCCTTCTTCCCTCCCTCCCTCCCTCCCTTCTTCCTTCCTTCCTTCCTTCCTTCCTTCCTTCCTTCCTTCCTTGTTCCCTCCCTCCCGCCCTCCCTCCCTTCTTCCTTCCTTCCTTCCTTCCTTCTTTCCTTCCTTCCTCCCTTCTTCCCTCCTTCCTTCCTTCCTTCCTTCCTTCCTTCCTTCCTTCTTTCCTTCCTTCCTTCTTCCCTCCCTCCCTCCTTCCCTCCTCCCTTCCTTCCTTCCTTCCTTCCTTCCTTCCTTCCTTCCTCACTCCCTCCCTCCCTCCCGCCCTCCCTTCTCCCTCCCTCCCTTCCTTCCTTCCTTCCTTCCTTCTTCCCTCCCTCCCACCCTCCCTTCCTGCTTCCTTCCTTCCGTCCTTCTTTCCTTCCTTCCTTCCTTCCTTCCTTCCTCCCTTCCTTCCTTCCTTCCTTCCTTCCTCACTCCCTCCCTCCCTCCCGCCCTCCCTTCTCCCTCCATCCCTCCCTTCCTTCCTTCCTTCCTTCCTTCCTTCCTTCTTCCCTCCCTCCCACCCTCCCTTCCTGCTTCCTTCCTTCCGTCCTTCTTTCCTTCCTTCCTTCCTTCCTTCCTTCCTTCCTTCCCTCCCTCCCTCCCTTCTTCCTTCCTTCCTTCCTTTCTTCCTTCCTTCTTCCCTCCCTCCCTCCCGCCCTCCCTCCCTTCTTCCTTCCTTCCGTCCTTCCTTCTTTCCTTCCTTCCTTCCTTTCCTCCCTCCCTCCTTCCCTTATTCCTTCCTTCCTTCTTCCCTCCCTCCCTCCCTCCCTCCCTCCCTTCTTCCTTCCTTCCATCCTTCCTTCCTTCCTTCCTCCTTTCCTTCCTTCCTTCCTTCCTCCCGCCCTCCCTCCCTCCCTCCTTCCCTCCTTCCTTCCTTCCTTCCTTCCTTCCTTCCTCCCTCCCTCCCTCCCTCCCTCCCTTCCTTCCTTCCTTCCTTCCTTCCTTCCTTCCTTCCTTCTTCACTCCCTCCCTCCCTTCCTCTCTCCCGCCCTCCCTTCTCCCTTCCTTCCTTCCTTCCTTCCTTCCTTCCTTCCTTCCTTCCTTCCTTTCTTTCTTCTTCCCTCCCTCCCTCCCGCCCTCCCTCCCTTCTTCCTTCCGTCCTTCCTTCCTTCCTTCCTTCCTTCCTTCCTTCCTTTCCTCCCTCCCGCCCTCCCTCTCTTCTTCCTTCCTTCCTTCCTTCCTTCCTTCCTTCTTTCCTTCCTTCCTTCCTTCTTCCCTCCCTCCCTCCTTTCCTTCTTCCTTCCTTCCTTCCTTCTTTCCTTCCTTCCTTCCTTCTTCCCTCCCTCCCTCCTTTCCTTCTTCCTTCCTTCCTTCCTTCCTTCCTTCTTCACTCCCTCCCTCCCTTCCTCTCTCCCGCCCTCCCTTCTCCCTTCCTTCCTTCCTTCCTTCCTTCCTTTCTTTCTTCTTCCCTCCCTCCCTCCCGCCCTCCCTCCCTTCTTCCTTCCGTCCTTCCTTCCTTCCTTCCTTTCCTCCCTCCCGCCCTCCCTCCCTTCTTCCTTCCTTCCTTCCTTCTTTCCTTCCTTCCTTCCTTCTTCCCTCCCTCCCTCCTTTCCTTCTTCCTTCCTTCCTTCCTTCCTTCCTTCCGTCTCATTTGCCAAGGTGTCAAAAATCAGATGGGCTGGTCACGTAATGAGATTTAAAGACGACCACTGGACTAGAGCTGTTACCAACTGGATTCCACCGGATGTCAAAAGACCGCGTGGCTGCCCACCTACCAGATGGTCAGACTTCTTCATCGAGACCATGAACGATCGGTTTGAGGCTCTTCGCGTTCCTAGAACGAACAGAAGCCGTTGGGCTACACTAGCACGCGACAGGGACAAATGGAGACGTTACTGGCGCCCGCTCGAGCAAATGGACGAATAACGGGAAGTCAAGTGATCAAGCGATGAGGGCACTATCGCATTTTGCAGTACATTAGCCGGAATGCTTCTGGCAGGCACTCATGGCAGTGCCTGAGGGGACCATGTCCCGCAAGAGACCAAACCTGGGCCTGCTGGATCAAAAAACGTGCTACAGCCCTTTTACCTATTCTTCTACCCTGAACACACTATTAGTTTTTTCTTTTAGAAAAATATTTAAATTGTCTTTTTATTGGATTTTTTTAAACGAAATAACTGATTCATGATCTTAATGGATTTTTGATATTCACCCAATCAGCTCGGGACTTTTTAAGGTGGAGGGGTCACACCTGGCAATGCTCAGAGCCTATTCCTGGCTCTGAGCTCAGGGATCACTCCTGATGGAGTTCAGGCAACCGTAAGAGGTACCAGAGACAGAATCTGGATCTGATACTTGCAAGGTCCTATCTCCAGACCGATCACCTCTGGATTTTTAATACAGTCATTGTATAAGGAAAAACACACCAGAGTTTGAAGCCTGACTATGATAGAGGACAATAAAGTGTCTCATTAGCAATTTATAGCAATTATACCTTAACAGGTTTTTTTTTGTTTGTTTTTTGGGTCACACCTGGCAATGCACAGGGGTTACTCCTGGCTCTGCACTCAGGAATCACCCCTGGCGGTGCTCAGGGGACCATATGGGATGCTGGGAATGAAACCCAGGTTGGCTGCGTGCAAGGCAAATGCCCTACCCGCTGTGCTATTGCTCCAGTCCCAACAGTATTTTTTAATGCACATTGGATTAAGGAAAATATATTGGGGGCTGGAGCGATAGCACAGCGGGTAGGGTGTTTGCCTTGCATGCAACCAACATGGCTAACCCGGGTTCGATTCCCAGCATCCCATATGGTCCCCCGAGCACCACCAGGAGTAATTCCTGAGTGCATGAGCCAGGAGTAACCCCTGAGCATCGCTGGGTGTGACCCAAAAAGCAAAAAAAAAAAAATATTAAAATCAGGCTTCACCTGTTCTTGCTTTTTTATTTTTTACTTTTTTTTTTCAGAGTGACTACCACCAAATGGGAGGCACAGGTGGTCTTTCTGTTTTATCTGTGGGATGGCACCGCTTTGAATTTAAACTTCCCAATAAATCTAAAAATAGCTATTCTCCTTCATTTAGTTTTCACAAACATGATCATTCAGTGAATTAGTGAATTAGTGAAAATGTAGAGCAGCTTAGAATCCAAGAGTCTCTCCCAAAAGTGAACACATGTAGTGTCGCTACAGTGATGTCCAGTAGAGAAGCAGCTCCAGGCAATGTCCCGCTCCCTCGTAGAAAGAACCCATCATGTCCAGGAGGATGGTAGACAGCCAGCCTGCCTCCAGGAGTATAACCTCTTCCCCACTGGGAAAAGAACAGAAGGCCTGACTGAGTGACCGCACGGCTGTTTACAAAGCCGAGTGACTGACCTCTCCCCTGTCCTGTCTCCGAAGCATCGTTCTGACCTAACCAGCAATGTTGCCATTGGCCAGCCACACAGCTCACCCGGCCTTCCTCCTGCCAACTGGTCACCGGATTTCCCTGTCTCAGATCTAGAAAGCGTTCTCAGACCTGAGGTGCGGGAAAGACCCTGAGGCTTGGGGTGGCAAATCCAACTGCATCCTAATTGCTAGTAGCAACCAATAATTGCTTTTCTACCCATTTGGTTATTTTTATAATTGTCATCATTATTTATAATAGTAGGGATGAGGATGGCCTGGAGACTTAACATAGAAAATTTTCCTAAGCAGACACTAATTGCAGAAAGCATCCTTTGCACCCCAGTTACCTGTGGCCTTACTCCTATATCAGAGCTGCCTATTCAGAGGTTTTCATTATGCTATAGTACATAGATTACCATCATTGGATTATGGCCAGTTTTGAGACGCACTTTAATTTTACCTCCTTTTTGTTTTTTTTTTTTAGAACAAAGGCTGAGCTAGATCAAGAAGCCTTGATCAGCGGTAATCTGGCCACAGAAGCGAATTTAATCATTCTGGATATGCAGGAAAACATTATCCAGGTGAGGAAAACGAACATCTGATTGACTCAGCATGAATATGTGGACTGGACTGAAATGAGAACTCTCTTTATAATAAACTGTGAAAGCAATCAAATGCTCCTCAAATACTTTTTTTTTAAATGAAGTTGGGAAGTTTTCAGCTAATCACAGTGTTTATCCTGCAAATTCCAGAGACACCGGGCATTCTTCATGCCTCTCTGACTTGCTGGTCACTCAAAAAAGAATGAGCTGCTGAACAAGCTGACCCGCATGGTTATATTTGTCTGATTATTTGTCGAGTTCATTGTGTGGATGTCAGGCTTGTAGTTCATTATCTATAATCGGGAAAGTAATCTGGGAATTTTGTCATCCTTGTTTAATGAATCAAGTCCAGTTGAATTATGGATGATATCTAGTATGGAAACTGAGACTATGACTAGACGAGGGAAAAGAAATAGCATGATTATGATTGATGAGGGTTGCCTTGAGTACATATTGGTGGAGACAGACATTTGTGCCAGGAATTTGCCTTCCCAATTGTAACAATGTTTAGTGTCACTGTGAACTTCGCCATAACACAACTCCTTTCCAGATTTCATCTGTGAAGTGAGTGTTTCTCAAAATTCTCAAGAAAACTAACCACAGCTTTTTTTTTTTTGATAATCTGAAAAGTCTCTGAGTCTGAGTCTGAGTCCGCATTAGCGGCTGCGCGACATCTTATCAGAACTTTTTTTTATGACATCTTATTGTCTCATTCCTACTTTGGACAAACTTGCAGGCTATTGAATGTAGCCTGCCCACAGGGCAGAGTCTGGCAAACTCCCCGTGGCCTACCAAATATGCCAAATACCAGTAACAATGATGGGTCTCATTCTCCTAAAGAGCCTTGAATATAATCTCAGGGTTAGGATGAAAGAGATGTTACTGGGGCCTGCTCGAGGCAATCGACGAATAATGAAATGAAATGAAATCTGAAAAGTGAGTCTTCGTATGTTTACAATGAGGAATCATTTATTAGAGTAGATTACTCCTTTGATTTTTAGGTTAGAAAAAATAGTTGAACCGGTTTCCAATCTTTAAGTTTTCTAGAAGGAGCAACTTCTAGTAAGATAAGGACAAAAGTAAAAAAATACTTGTTATCACATCGGTTATATCTTTATACAACATTTGAGTTTTATTTGTGTGCCATCAATTCTGAAAATATTTTTGCCATTTTGAAAGATGCTGAAAACTTGTTATCTTTTTTTTTTTTTTGCCTTTTGGGTCACACCCGTTGATGCACCGGGGTTACTCCTGGCTCATGCACTAAGGAATTACTCCCGGCAGTGCTCGGGGGACCATATGGGATGCTGGTAATCGAACCCGAGTTGGCCGCGTGCAAGGAAAATGCCCTACCCACTGTGCTGTCACTCCAGCCTCCAGTTGTTATCATTGTAGTATTAGTTCTCCTATAGCTAATTTTTAGAAAAATCATGATCACCAAGGAGTTCTATTGTACTGGGAAGCCTACAATTATCTGTGGATTTTGATTTCGTCTGTTTGTTTCCTTTTATTTTGGGGGTCACACCCGGTGATGTTCAGGGTTCCTCCTGGTTCTGCACTTAGGGATCACTCCTGGCGGTGCTTGGGGACCATATAGGATGCCAGGGATTGAACCTGGATCAGTAGCCAGTAAGGCAAGGGCGCTACCCACTGAACTATTTTTATGGCCCCACAATTATGTTTTGAGGCTTTTGTCAAAAAAAAAAAAGGAGAGATTATTCCCAAACTATTGCCCAGTATGGTGGGGAGGTATGTCTTATAATTTGGTTGAGGCAAGTTATCAGAATTAGACATAAGTCTTAAGTCAGCTGGGAGTTTTGGAATAATCATTTAGAAATAGGGCTTCGATCTCATGGTGATGGAGGCATGTGTCCAGAGACTCACCAGACCGGGAAGGTCTCAGAGCCAGAGAGAGGAGGGAACTTGCCGGGGTTGGTGTATCTTCCCTTGCAGGCCCTGGACTCAGCAGTGCGTTCTTCTCTCCCCACAGGCCAGCTCTGCTCTGGACTGCAAAGACAGTCTACTGGGAGGTGTGCTCAGGGTTCTGGTGAATTCTCTGAGCTGCGATCAGAGCACCACCTACCTGACTCACTGCTTTGCAACACTCCGTGCTCTCATTGCCAAGGTAAACATGGGGCGTTTGTTTTCCTACCCTTAATTAAGAGTTAAGATTCTCATCTAGTTTCACAGTTCTCCAGGTGCACCAAACCCCAGAGTGCTGTGGTATTAAGTGACATCACAGCCAAGGCCTTAGGTTTGTCTAAGCAGAGGCAGACACACTGATTCTGCGGGCACTTTCCACCCAAGGGAAGCAGTTTCTCTCACGCTTGCAATGGGGGTCGAACTCCAGAAATCAAGACTGGTCACTCATCGAGGGCAGGAGAGCAAACTGAGAAACTTTGTCGTTGACTTTTTCCCTTTCCTACCTCATCGGAGTGAGATTCAGACAAGAATCAGTGATGGGTGATGGGTGTGGTGTTGAAATTGTGCCCCTGAGAAACCATGATTAATGATATTGTCAACCATAGAGTCTCAATCAACAAAAAATATTTTTTTTAAAAAAAGACACAAATCAGATCTCTCACTAGTGAGTCTTAGAAAAATGACATGTCATAAAAATACCAGAAAGTTAAGAAATAAATTTCTCATAGCCTGAAGAATAGGTTTCTCCTGAGATACAGTGATTGATGGAGATATCTCTCTCTCTCTCTCTCTTTCTCTCATTCTCATTTGTTTTGGGGTCCGCACCAAGTGGCACTGGGAACTTTTCCCAAGTAAGTGCTCAGGTGCACAGTCAACAGTGCTCAGGAGACCCTGTGTCCAGGAATCCATCCAGGACACAGACTCCAGCCCTTCAAGCTAGCTTCTCAGCTCTCTCTCTTGCTTGTTCTCTCTCTCTCTCTCTCTCTCTCTCTCTCTCTCTCTCACACACACACACACACACACACACATCTGAACTGGAACCTTCTTCATGGAATCTTTTTTACTTCGAAGGTGGAATTCTTCTGTGATTCCCCCATCAGGATCACCCTTTCTTAATCACCAGTTCCTTCCAAGGAACACAGTAGTCTCAAGATAAGTTGATCAGTGTTGTAACTTTGCCAGTGAACGCAGCCTGGAGAACAATGCTATTCATGATGCAGGCCTAGCCTTGGTCACGCCGTTCACAGCCAACTCCTAAGTCAACCCTACTGCTTCCCTCCACCTTCTGACTCAACTTGCCCATTATCCTTATGGAGCCGTGCATTAACTCTTCGGGACTTCTTGCGTGTCCAAGCAGACAAAGTTTCTTTCCGCGGGCATCTGGTCCAGAATGCGTGTAACCCTGTCAGGGGACGGCTAATGCTCCTTGTGTCTCTCCTAGTTCGGAGACCTGCTGTTTGAGGAGGAAGTGGAGCAGTGTGCCGACCTGTGCCAGCGAGTCCTACACCACTGCAGCAGCAGCATGGATGTGACCCGGAGCCAAGCCTGTGCGACCCTCTACCTCCTCATGAGATTTAGCTTCGGAGCTACCAGTGTAAGAGCCGGGGCCAGCTGCTTCGCCCAGAGTCAGTGTAGAAAGTCAGTGCACAGTTCCTTTTGTCCTATTTGAAAGTCGCGATTGCGTATGTAGATGGACAGCAGCTTTTGTTTCGATTTGCCTTCAAAGACATGATGATGGCACCGGTGTTTCAGTAAGAAATGAACGAAGAGAAATTGTACAGGGACTAAGGCCATGACCCCTGCCACCATCCTTGGTTCAAATCCCCAGAGCACTGCCAGGGGTCAGTCCTGAGCACAGAGCCCTGGTCAGAGCCATAGGCCCTGAGCATTGCTAGGTCTAATTCCACCTCATCCCCCACAAAAAAAGAGATGAATCAATATATGTAGATTAAAAGCTGTCATTTGTGTGTGTGTATGTGAGAGAGAGAGAGAGAGAGAGAGAGAAGAGGAGGAACTATAGCAGACAACTTCAGAATCTGTTTTCAAATCATGATTGATTAGTACCTTCGTGACATAGAATGTGGGAAAGAATTTGAAAAGCTGAAGGGCCAGAGAGAATACTGCGGGTGAAATGTTTGCCTCACATGCAGCCAAACTGGGTGCATCCTCAGAACCGTACACGTTTTCTTGGGCATTGCCAGGAGTGACCCCTGAGCCCAGAGACAGAAGTGAGCCCCAAACACAGCCATGTGACCCAAAAACACACAGAAAGAAAAGAATTGAAAAGATGTAAACCTAAAACTTTCATTGATGCCCAGCATCATTTGGAATTTCATTTATCTTGTGTGTGTTTTGTAATTTATTTATTGCTTTTGGGGGCCCACCCGTGCTTAGAGCTTATTCCTGGCTGCACTCAGGGATCACTCCTGGCAGTATTCAGGGGGCTATGAGGGGCCCCAGGAATCAAACCAGGGTCAGCCATGTGCAAGTTAACTGCCCTCCCTACGTTACTACCCCTCCAGCCTCTGGAGTTCAGTTTTATTGCAGAAGAGTCAGTCTTGTTTTAGTTTATAGATTTTTGGTCTGTTCTTTTAGAATTTACATTTTTTGTAATGTTAATGAATATGCCTATATAATACTAAAAATAAATTAGCACTTGGAAGAAAGACAGGGTCCTCAAAATATATTAATATAGATATTTAAAAGCCTTTAGATGGAGCTGGAGTGATAGTACATGGGTAGGTTGCTTGCCTTGCTTTGAGGCTGATGTTGGTTCAATCTTTGGCAACACATATGTCCCCCCCTCACCCAAAACTACCCCCTTCCCCCAGCCCACCAGGAGTGGCCCTGGAATGTAGAGGTAGGAATTAAGCCCTTAGCACTTCCGGGGTGACCGAAGCAATAATGAATAAAAGCTTTTAGGTGATCTAACCTCTTCCCCCCTGCTAAAATATTGATGATGAATCAAAGTTTTTAGGTGATTCAACCTCTTCCCTCCACCTCCAAAAAAAAAATTGACTTATTTGGGGTCAGAGGGATAGTACAGGGACAAAGCACCGGCCTTACATGAAGTCTACCTTGGTTCAAATCCCCCCGCATCACATGTGGTCCCTTAAGTATCACCAGGGGTCACACATGTGGTCCCTTAAGTATCACCAGGGGTCACTCCTGAGCATAGAGCCAGGAATGGCTGGCTACTACAGGGCATGACCCCAATTTGATAAATAATACAAATAAAAATAGAAGTCTTTAAGACATTCCTCTAACTTTGTAAGCAAACTTCTAACCTTGCAGCATGGAGGCAGTCCAACCCTCAGTGAAAATTTAAAGGGAGCTAAGAGATTTATGTCCGAGAACTATCCATCTAAGCTATTGCAACAGTATAAATCTTGCACAAAGAATAGCTCAGATTTCATTGAGAGAAGCAGAAATGATTAAGACTGAGATGAAAGAAGCCTTTGGAGAGTCGGTGGTGTCTGACCGTCCTGTCTTCAATCATCTGCCAGCCGAATGCCTATGACTGGATTTTCTTCTTCCTCACGCAGAACTTTGCAAGAGTCAAGATGCAAGTGACCATGTCTTTGGCATCATTAGTGGGAAAAGCACCAGACTTTAATGAGGAGCATCTGAGAAGGTCCTTGAGGACGATTTTGGCCTACGCAGAGGAGGACACGGCCATGCAGCCCACTCCTTTCCCTGTCCAGGTAGACTGGAAAGCAAGCCTTGTCTCATGCTTGGACTTGGGGTCAATCAAAGATGAACTCATGTTAATTATATACAACATAATACACAGTGTTAATCATGCACACACATGGTTGTATATACTTATATATGAAATCTATAATTACCGTATCATTATAATGTAGATGATATGCGATGATATCGGATCTGTAGGTATAGCTATAGGAAACCTAAGCTGAGGGCCCCAACTGCCTTCTGCCCAGTCTTAAAAGACATGAAACAGACAGAGAAAGATTGCATTCATCTGGGGAACATAAAGTAACAAAATAGGAACTAACATCCAAGAATAGCCGAGATAAGTACCAGGAGGTTTACTCCATGGCTTGGAGGCCAGCCGCACACGCTAGGGGAGAAGGCAGCTCAGATAGAGAAGGGAGCACCAAGTAAAGGGTGTTGGGAGGATCCTCCCAGGATGGGAGAAGCATGCTGAAAGTAGACTATAGACCGAACATGATTGCCACCCAATGCCTCTTTTGCAAACCACAGCACCCAAAAGGAGAGAGAGAACAAAGGGGAATGCCCTGCCACAGAGGCAGGGTGGGATGGGGGGATGGGGGGTGGGAGGGATACTGGGATCAGTGGTGGTGGAGAATGGGCACTGGTGGAGGGATGGGTCCTCGATCATTGTATAACTGAAACCCAAGCACAAAAATTTGTAAGTCTACAACTGTACCTCATGGTGTTTCACTAATAAAAATTTAAAAAAAAAAGGCATGAAATGTTGCCATGTACATTTAGGACAGTCTTTCTCAATCTTTTTCCCACCATGGTGGGAAAGATAAGCAGGCTTATCATGTTTCCTTCCTGTCTGCCTGCTCCCCCCCCCCCCACCCCATTTCTACCAGTTGGTTTTGTGCCATGGCTCTAAATTTACATGATTTCACCTACAGCCACCTTAAAATATCCGGTGGGGGTGGGTCCCACTGAGGACCATTTGGCACTCCCTTGAGAAACACTGGTTTAGGTCTTTTCAGTTGCAATGAATGAAACTACAAACTAATTGAAACAGAGAGGTTGTTGGAGAGGGAAGATACTGTCTAGGTTAGGGGCTACTATGTGAAACCCAAAGGCTAATTCACATCTGGGCTTCAGAAGCTCTTGGATCTGCAAAGATGAGGCATAAGAAAATCAGGCTCCACTTCCCTACCTGCAGACTCTCCTTCGCCTTGAAGGGAGCCTGTCCAGTCCCAGGGAGGGCCCCAGGCCAGGCTCTAAGGGCTGGAGCACATGATTTGCATGCAGGAGCCCCTGGGTTGAGTCAGGACTGACTCCTGACCACCTCCTAATTGTCTCTTGCACTTTCATGCCGCCCTAACATACTACTGTGGACTCCAAAGCCAAGATGGTGTGAAGGTGTAACCTTTTTTTTTTCTTTCCAGGTGGAGGAACTTCTCTGCAATCTAAATAGCATCTTATATGATACAGTAAAAATGAGGGAATTTCAGGAAGATCCTGAGATGCTTATGGATCTCATGTACAGGTAAACCCTTCTAATAAAATGCAAATGGTGACATTTGAGGTGACATGGTCCTCATGTGTGAGAGGACTTGGGTTCAGTTCCGAGTGCTGCATGAATGACCCACTTTCTCCAACACCAGTAGAGATGGTCCTGGTGCCTCCCCCCCAGTGACTACCAGGGATGATCCTGGTGGCACTCATAAGCGTGATCCCCATAACAGCAATAGGGCAAAAAAATACTATTTGCACATTTTTCACTGTGAAGTTCTTACTAATACAGGTGTAGTTTAGGATGATATCCAAAAACATATGTAGAAACTAGCAATTCAGCATTTAAAGTAGGTTGATTCATATCTAAGTTTTCAAAGAGATATTTCTAATTTAAATAAAGTGTGGTACTGATTTTCTAGCCTAGTTTCCTGCTTACTAGAGAATAAGGGAAGAACCATCAACTGTTAACTGAATTGTTTCCAGTTATTTTTAATTATGGGCTGGAGTGGTAGCACTGCGAGTAGGGTGTTTGCCTTGAACACAGTCGACCCGGTCAACCCAAGTTCGACTCCTCTGCCCCTCTTGGAGAGCCTGGCAAGCTACCGAGAGTATCTCGCCTGCACGGCAAAGCCTGGCAAACTCCCCGTGACGTATTCAATATGCCAAACACAGTAATAACAAGTCTCACAATGGTACTGGGCCCGCTCGAGCAAATTGATGAACAACGGGAGGACCAGTGACAGTGATTTTTAATTATATATGCATGCATATATATATTGCTTTGAAATCATTTTTGCCCTGCACTTTAGGGCCTTACAGCCCTTCTGCAGGGAAGACTACTCAGAGAGGCAAGTTTGGTCGGCTACAGTGTCAAAGAAGGGGAGTCCTTTCATCTGCTGTTATTATTTTAAGAGAAAATTGGAGATCCGTTAAATATGCATCTTTCACCAAGTCTTCCCCACCCACTTCGGTGAAGTCTTGCTAAATGCCATTCCTCAGGGTCCAACATCCCCTAAACACGGAAAGAAAATGGAAAACTAAACACCCTTTGCTTTTCTCTCTCATTTCCCAAAAGTGGAGGCAACACTTCTTTCAAGAAAAGCCTTCATGAGAAAAAGAAGTCTCCCTACAGAGTAGACAAATCTCGCTGTTCATCTATTGACTTGAAATCTTTCCCTCTGTCTTCAGAATCGCCAAGAGTTACCAGACATCCCCCGACCTGCGACTGACCTGGCTCCAAAACATGGCAGAGAAACACACCAAGAAAAAGTGCTACACGGAGGCCGCCATGTGCCTGGTACACGCGGCCGCCTTAGTGGCCGAGTATCTGAGCATGCTGGAGGACCACAGCTACCTGCCCGTGGGCAGCGTCAGTTTCCAGGTGAGGCTCATCAAATTCAGCGCTTCTTTGGCTTCTTTGCGAGCCGTGTTTCTCCATGAGAGGTGCTTTAGCTCCCAGGCAAGGGCGCAGTCGTCAGTGTCTATTTGTGGTGTGACAAACTGGGTGCGAGCGTCTGAATGCTCCTGGCATGTAGGCGTAGAACAGCTAAGCTGGTCTCCATCCTCCAGTGCGCCGTCACCAAGTAGTCAGTCATGCACCGTTGAAAGAAAGCTGCACTAGGGGCTGGAGCAATAGCACAGCAGGGAGGGCGTTTGCCTTGCACGCGGCTGATGCGGGTTCGATTCCCAGCATCCCATATGGTCCCCTGAGCACCGCCAGGAGTAATTCCTGAGTGCAGAGCCAGGAATAACCCCTGTGCGTTGCCGGGTGTGACCCAAAAAAAAAGCAAAAAAAAAAAAGATGCGCTAGTATGATATAGAAGCTTCTTGTCATGGCTCCCATCAGTTGGGGGTTCGGGAAGGTCTCTTTACAGCGAATGCCCCTGGAGGACTGGGGAAGAGCTCAACAATGACTGCTTGCCTTGCATGCAGTCTATTGTTGGTTCAATCCCCTGGGCTCGATCCCCTGTGCCACAAGACAAACAGCATGTACCTAGAGCCAACAGGCATTTTCTTAATTTTTTGGAGGGGGAGGAGAGGAGAGGCACCGCCCAAGTGATGTTCAGATTGCTGCGGGTTGGGGGAGGTTCCTCAGGCAACACTAAGCTAACTCGCCAGAACCTCCATGTGAGGGCCCAAGAATGTGGTACTGGAGAGCCCTGCGGGTCTAGGGGTTGCCTAGGCAACAGCAGGGGGTGTTTGGGGCCTCCAGGGCTGCACCCAGTCATGCTCAGGGGACTGTATGATGCCAGGGATCAAACCCAAGCTAAGCATGCACCCCAGTCTCTCACTATCTTCAGGCTTTTCAGTAGGACTTTTTTTTTTTTGCTTTTTGGGTCACACCCAGCGATGCACAGGGGTTACTCCTGGCTCACGCACTCAGGAATTATTCCTGGCGGTGCTCGGGGGACCATATGGGATGCTGGGAATCGAACCCGGGTCGGCTGCGTGCAAGGCAAACGCCTTACCCGCTGTGCTATCACTCCAGCCCCTTCAGTAGGATTTTTGACGGTCTCACTCCCACGGTTTTGATTGCATTTGACCTTCCCCATCAACTAGAGACGCAGGCAAGATAGTGAAGGTATTTGTTTTTATTCTCACTCTATAGATAAAGAAATGGAGAGAATAGTTTCCTTTAAGGCTATTTAAAACTTTCTCTCAGTGACTTGTAGTTGATATCATATACAGACAGCCATGAAAGTGTTTTCCAAACATTACAAAATGATTTCCCTCGTGACCCATTCCTATGATTCCACTCCCTGACTCTAGAGTGTTCACACTCGACTTCGGCTTCAAGAAAGAACCAAATTAATCTGGGAAAAGGGAAAAGGCTGAATCAATATTTTCTTGAGATAAGCTGAACATGACTCACAGTTAGTTAGCAAGGCGAGGTCTGCCAGGCCTCCAAACCAGCTCAGGCGGGGGGCGCTCCTTGGCCTCCTGGATGGCTTTAGCTGGATAGTTTAATAATCGTTAGAGAAGATAAAGGTTTTATGAGAACGTTCTTCAGATGAGCCATGATCTGTAGAAATGACCATCCCTGAAGTCACGAACGAGATAGTACAGTAACCGCTCTCAATAGCCCGACTCAACAGTGTCATTTAGAAGGGTTATGCTTATTTGAGTTTTATGAACGGATTTGTTCTCACTCTGATTCTTTGACTTGATGTTACGATGCTGTGTGAGCCAGAGAGAAAAAAAAAAAACAATTAAAAGTAGCTGCCCCCAGGCTTAGAGAATCAGGGACCAAAGCACCAATGCTGCTGGAACCCAGGCTTTCTGGTGGCCCCAAATAAGAAAGTGGCCGACTAGGCTGGTGTCGCCTCATGTTACTATTATTTGTTGTTTGGGTTTGGTTTGGGGCTACATCTGGTGGTGCTCAAGGCTTCTCCCAGCTCTGTGCTGAGAAATCACTCCTGGCAGGGCTCAGGGGACCATAAGGGATAGAAGGAATTGTCCGCATGTAAGTCAAGGACTCTGCCAACTGTACTATCTCATGCTATTTCATTTTTTTTCTTTTTTTTTCTCTTTTTTTGGGGGGGGAGGTCACATCCAGCGATGCACAGAGGTCACTCCTGGCTCTTCACTCAGGAATTACTCCTGGCGGTGCTCAGGGGACCATATGGGATGCTGGGAATCGAACCCGGGTCAGTCGCCTGCAAGGCAAACGCCCTGCCCACTGTGCTATTACTCCAGCCCCCTCATGCTATTTTTAATTGTTGAAGGAGCTACACCTCAATGTGCAGGAGACCATGGGATGCTGGGATCAAACCCTGGGCCTCACACACGCAGGGCCTGTGCTCTACGACTGAGGCACGTTCCTGGCCTTATGGCCTTAGGGACTTCAAACTATTTGGTTTTCTGTTTATTTATTTAACATTATTTTTAAATTACATTAATGAAAATATTCTAACAACAAGTCTCACATACTGGTGCCCACTCAAGCAAATCGATGACCAACGGGAGGACAGTGCTGCAGAGCAACGAAAATATGTATTTGGATCACATTCTCCACAAATTTTAATCTCATTTCAGAAATGTTTGTTTTAAAATGCCAAAAAATAGTTCTTGCCCTGAAGCCTGAAGTTTTTTTTAAAAATCTCACATAAGATTTTTTTTTTAGTTATTTATTTATTTATTGAATCACCGTGGGAAAGGTTACAAAGCTTTCAGGTTTATGTCTCAGTCATGCAAATATCAAGCACATTTCCCTTTACCAAAACTTATTTTTTACCATGAAGAACCCCAATAAAACCCCACCCCTACCCCTCCCAGTCCCTGTGGGGCAGATGAATTCTAGTTAACACTCTATCTGCTTTGATTAGATTCATTGTTTCAATAAAAGATTCACCACTATTATTTAGAGAAAAACTCACATAAGATTTTGAATCACATAAAAGTGGAGAAAGTTAGAAACATTCAGATATGCCTATTCTGTCACCAAATATATTGTTATGTGATAATATCAAGGATTAATATTCTAAGTACTATTTCATCAATTTCCAAAAGGTCTTCAATTTAGTACTTAAATGCTGAATGTTTCTCTTTTCTTGTTTAATTACTAAACAATTTTTTGTTACTTCTTGCCTTTTTCTTTGACACTGACCAAAATTTTTAAGATAAAATTTCATTTTATCACTTAAGTACTAATTCTATTTCATTATTAAGCTTAGGCTTAACTATCCTAATTTCATCCAGAATTCAAGTTTATAATGATCATGCTTATAATGATCATGCCAAGGTGAGATATAATAATCTTGCTAGAAACAACGGAAATATTCTATTTTCTTCCTGTAGCACTGTCCTACATGGGAAAATATAGCTCTGTTATTTCATATTTTCTTCTCCATCCATCCATTCTTTTTAATTTTTTTTTATTTTTGGGTCACACCCAGCGATGCTCAGGGGTTATTCCTGGCTCTGTACTCAAGAATTACTCCTGGTGGTGCTTGGGGGACCATATGGGATGCCAGGGATCGAACCCAGGTCAGCCACATGCAAGGCAAATGTCCTATCTGCTATGCTATTGCTCTGGCCCCGATCCATTCTTTTATATCATATTTATTGAGCAGTTTTCCTGTACTGTGGACTGGAGTGATAGAACAGCGGTAGGGCATTTGCCTTGCGCACAGCCAACCCGGCCAAGCTGGGTTCGATTCCTCTGCCCCTCTCAGAGAGCCCGGCAAGCTACCAAGAGTATCTCGCCCGCACGGCAGAGCCTGGCAAGCTCCCCGTGACATATTCGATATGCCAAACACAGTAACAACAAGTCTCAAAATGGAGACGTTACTGGGCCCACTCGATCAAATCAATGAACAATGGGAGGACAGTGTTTGTTTGTTTCCTGTACTGTGAACTTTATAGTCTTGCCAAAGAAAGTAACATTGTATAATTAGTCATTCCATTCCTCATTTAATGGAAATGATGATCAATGCAGTTATGAAGAGTCATGTGATGCTGTACCTGTATATCATGTGACCCAGCCTAGGGGTCATGGAAAGCTCAGAAGGAAGAGAAAGAAAAGGGAAGGCAGCCAATTTGCAAAGTCTGAGGACTGAGTGATACACGGAACTTGTTGAACTATGTTCTCAGCTACACAAATAAACAAATTATGTGTTGGTGCTTATGAGTAATTCTCTCGCCTCTCAATTGAGACAAACCAAATGTGTGTTTGCAAATGACAGAGTAAGTAATCCTGACTTGCCTAAGGTAGGAGTGAAATGTACCAGCTTGCGTGGTGGGTAGCCTGGTGTATCCCATCAAAACTGGACCTGGGACCCAAACATTGACATCAGAGCCCGGTGTCATCACTCTATCCAGTCTCCTCTTTCTGTCATGGCTTCGTTCGTGGCTTTCCCACACTCACTGAGAAATACTTCCACTTCCACCCTCCTAGGCTTAAGATGCCGGGGGCTGGAGCGATAGCACAGCAGGTAGGGCGTTTGCCTTGCACGCAGCCAACATGGCCGACACAGGTTCGATTCCCAGCATCCCATATGGTCCCCCGAGCACCGCCAGGAGTGATTCCTGAGTGCATGAACCAGGAGTAACCCCTGAGCATCGCCGGGTGTGACCCAAAAAGCAAAAAAAAAAAAAAAGAAAGAAAGAAAAGAAAGATGCCTTATTTCTAGCAGTTGTGGAGAAAGTCTCTGTGTATCTCACTTGTTCTGACAGAGTTGACTACTCACTCTTGAACCAATCAGGATGGCCAGAGAAATGGAACACTCTAACTGTGGCAGAGTTGAGGTCCAAACTGGAGTGAATATTTGAGTCCCAGCAGAAAATCAGGAGCCTGTATTTTGTAGACGGATGAAGGAATTCTGGACAGCATTAATAATTGATGTCTAGTGTTGATATCTTTAATAATTTTGCGGCAATTTCAACCTTGTTCTGTTCCATTAAAATCAAATCTTTGGGAAAGAATTATTTATAATTTATAATTTTTAAGAATTAAATAATTTTGTAATCATTTATAATTTTTAAAATAAATTATTTTATAATTATTTATAAATTAAAGATGTCTCATTCAAAAAAAATAATAACTTCAAGGCTTCTGATTTCCAATGAACGGAGACAGGGAAATTCTGTGATCCAGAATGAATTTTTAATTTCACAAGTGTTAATATGGATGTGTTTCCAGATGTTACTCGTACTTTTCCTCTCATGCTATCTTTTGATTTGGTTTGGATTTTGGCCACACCTGACAGTCTCAGAGGCTACTCCTGGCTTCATGCTCAGGGTTAGGGGTGGGTCACTCCTGATGTTGCCTGGGAGACCAGGAGGTATGGGCGATAGAACCCAGACTTCCTGTGTGCAGTGCGTGGGCTCAGCCCATTGAACCCTCTCTCCAGTTCTCCTAGTTCTGAACCCATGAAAATCTGCCCAGAATCTTCTTCCTCTGACTCTGGTTTTTAAGGCTCAATAGCTTCAAACCTCTTACTCTGCACATGGAAATTGTAGATAATTCCAATAGTTTTCATTAGGAGGTTATCTTTCTTTCATCTTGGATTTCTGATGCCTCCCATTTATAAACATCATATGGAGAAAGCAGATTTGGAAGAAAGCCTAGCCACCAAAGATTTTCGAGAGTATCTCATATTTTAAAAGCTGCATTACAATGCCGGATGTGACCATTCTTTCAAGAACTGCTAAGGTTGGTGTACTTGATCTTGCCAGGCCTGAAAGTAAACAGATGATACTTCCTAAGCCCCATCTGCTCAGCTGGTAGGAGCTGACTGCAGCAATGTGCTGAGAAGAATTATGAGATTAAATCCAAACTTCAGGGAAGAAGGTGCTTAAAGTGGGGGGCTTTTGCCTACCTGTGAGTGGGAATATGAAGTCGTGTTTGCACGCTCTAACTGCAAGTCCCTGTCATACAGAGGTTTCCTGGTTTTCTCCCTGCTCCATGTGCATTTCCTCCTGGACTGTGAGACAAGTTTAGGAAAATGACTTTGACCCATCAGGAGTAAGCATCACGGTCTAGGCGGGAGCCTAGACAAACAGCAGGAGGTAAACACTGTACAGGATTTCAGGATGCAGTTCCTCCGAAGGGCAGGAAAGTTCAGCGTGGACACAAGCCAGAGTGTGAATCCTCCCTAGCATTAACTCCTGAAACTTCTCACTCGGCCCATCCTGGTCACTGTATCCTATGCTAGAGACTTTAACCTCTGTTGCTTATAATCGTACAGTTTACGAAGTGTGCAGAAGGGGCCAGGCATATATTTCAGCAGTAAAGGACTTGCCTTGCATCAATGAGAACCTGGATTCAATCCTGGAACTACAAAACATTTTTAAGTGTGTGAGGGGCTAGGGAGGTAGCTCAGAATGCTGGAGCGCATATCTGCCTTGCATGCACGAGGCCCTGGGTTTGATCCTCAACACTGAGTGTCACTCCATCCCCCTCAGCACAAGTATAGCTGCAAGAGGGTGGTCAGGACTGGGAGCTCCATTGGGGAGATCTCTAGTTATTTTTTTTTAAAATATGTATAAACTAACACAGTGTTGGGCTGGAGTGATAGCACAGCGGGTAGGGCATTTGCCTTGCACGCAGCTAACATGGCCAACCCGAGTTCGATTCCTCCGCCCCTCTCGGAGAGCTCGGCAAGCTACTGAGAGTATCTTGCCCGCACGGCAAAGCCTGGCAAGCTTCCCGTGACGTATTCGACATGCCAGACACAGTAACAACAAAGTCTCATGATGGAGACGTTACTGGGCCTGCTCGAGCAAATCGATGAACAACAGGAGGACAGTGATAACACAGTGTTGGAGGAATGGAACGGTTGTGTCTGCACGGAAATTTCCATGAAGAGGACATTCTTTTGGGGGCGAGGGACACAACCAGTGGTGACTGGGGATTCCCCATGGCTCTTCTCTCAGGAATCACTCCTGGCCAGTTCTGGGGACCATAGGTGGAGCTGGGGATCGAACCTAGGTCAACTGCATGCAAGGCAACTGCCCTACCACTGTACTATTTCTCAGGGCCCCGAAGAGGACATTTTCATTTGCAGTTGTCATGCCATGTGGGTAGCAGGAAAATTTCCCACAGCTCTTGACTTCTTGCTTTTGACTTTGAATTACGAGATGGATCTGGACTTAGGAAACTGATTTTCAGTCAAAGGGTACACAAGAAAGTACCAAAGTGGGGAAGGGTGTGTGTGTTTGTATGTGTGTGTGTGTGAGAGAGAGAAAGAGAGAGAGAGAGAGAGAGAGGAAAAGTGCCTGCCTCAGAGATGGGGCAGGGAGGGCAGGAGAGAAAAACTGGGGACATTGGAGGTGGGACATGTACACTGGTGAAGGGACAGGTGTTGGAACATTATATAACTGAAACCCAGTCAGGAGCAATCGTGCAACTGTGTATCTCATGGTGATTGAATTAAATAATTTTAAAAGGAAGGAAGGAAGGAAGGAAGGAAGGAAGGAAGGAAGGAAGGAAGGAGGCATTTCTTTTTTTTTATTAATTTTTATTAGTGAAACACCGTGAGGTACCGTTGTAGACTTATAAATTTTTGTGCTTGGGTTTCAGTTATACAATGATCGAGTACCCATCCCTCCACCAGTGCCCATTTCCCACCACCACGGGTCCCAGTATCCCTCCCAACCCCCCCATCCCCCCCATCCCACCCTGCCTCTGTGGCAGGGCATTCCCCTTGTTCTCTCTCTCTCCTTTTGGGTGTTGTGGTTTGCAAAAGAGACACTGAGTGGCAATCATGTTCAGTCCATAGTCTACTTTCAACATGCATCTCCCATCCTGGGAGGATCCAAGAAAGAGGCATTTCACTCAAGTGATTGAAGGGTAGTTCCACTGAGGGAAGTTTCCTTCCTTACATTTCCTGGTGGGTAAAAGGGAGTGTTGAGGGGGGGATGACTGACTTGCGGAGGCTGTTCTTGGTGGACTTCCAGTCTCTGGGTGACCGCAGACTGGGAGACAAGGGCCTCTGAACTGGACTCCCGCCTCCCACATTCTTCTTCCTGTGTGGCTTTCTGTCAGACTGGTTCTCTCGGCTTACCCTGTCCTCTCTTCCAGAATATCTCTTCCAACGTGCTGGAGGAGTCTGCGGTCTCTGACGACACCCTGTCTCCTGACGAGGACGGCGTGTGCTCGGGCCGCTACTTCACCGAGAGCGGCCTGGTGGGCCTCCTGGAGCAGGCGGCCGAGCTCTTCAACACGGTCAGTGCACGCACTGGGCTAACCCTTCCTGCTGGACCTATAAGGGGTGCGTTGGCAGTGTGGGGGTCTGCACGCTGCATCGCCTCAGTTTCCCCTTGGGAGTCCAGGAGGCCTTTTGTGGCTGCCATGCATCGACTACCATCCCACAGTATCATTCCCAGTGAATTGGCCTGGAAATGAAGCCACAGAGCAGAGAAATGGCTTGCCCGGGTTACACAATACATGAGGAGGCGTGTTCTCACTCCCTCACATTTTCTGTCAGAGAGGAAATGTTGATGCAGAAGCAAAACTGAGATGTCCTCAGGAGCGTCATGGACCAGGACCAGTTGTCGGGGCAAGAAACTCTCAGGACACCCTCAAGAACCTAACTGGTTCCAGTAATAGAAAAAAAAAATATATATATATATATATTGATTCATCCATGGCTATTCAGAGCAGGGGAGAAAGTCTCTTGCCCTTTTTCATTTGAATAAGCTCCCTCCTCCTCCTCCTCCTCCATTTTAAGCCCAGTAAATATTTAATGGTGCGCTAAATTTAGCTGCTCCAATTTTTGTAGCCTTTTATTTCCCTTTCCTCTCTGCTTTTGAATTTTTAAATTCCCACCCGCAGCCTCTAGTCCTGTTAATTGCCGTTTTAATGCTCTTCTCTTCCCCTTCCACAACCTCTCCCACCAACCGCTTCCCCACCCAGCTTTCTTTTTTAGATGGAAAGAAATCCATAGATTCCTGCTGTTGAGCGGAATAGTACCCTGTTGACTTAGCACGCAAGAATACCTGGCTCCAGGGGCTGGAGCGATAGCACAGTGGGTAGGGCGTTTGCCTTGCACGCAGCTGACCTGAGTTCGATTCCCAGCATCCCATATGGTCCCCCGAGCACCGCCAGGAGTAATTCCTGAGTGCAGAGCCAGGAATAACCCAGAGCCAGGAATAACCCCTGTGCATTGCCGGGTGTGACCCAAAAAGAAAAAAAAAAAAGAATACCTGGCTCCAGGGGAGCCCCATGGCACCTCGACATGCTCATGGCGCCTTCCCGAGGAACCATCACTCTCTGCTCTGAGCCCCCCCCCGCCCCGTCCTGCTCTTCCTCTGTGAAAACCTTCCTTACTCCCCGTCACCCTTCCAGGGCCTTCTATCTTAGCACCTGTCTGCTCTGTCTGCTGCGGCCACCCTAAACCTCGACCTCATCCCACGCTCCCAGAGAGTGTGGTATCGAGAGCTCATCCTTCCTCCAGTACGTAACGAACCCCGGCCACTCCTCCCCGGGTGCCAGTGGATTCAGTTCTCTTTGGTTTCCTTCTTCTGACAGGGAGGATTGTATGAGACGGTTAACGAGGTCTACAAGCTGGTTATCCCCATCCTGGAAGCGCACCGAGACTTCCGGAAGCTCACCTCCACTCACGACAAGCTGCAGAAGGCCTTTGACAGCATCATCAGCAAGGTAGCGGTGGGGGGACGGGGGGGAGGGGGCATGACCTTCAGGTTACCCTGCCCCAGAGATATCCTTCTCTCTAGGGAGTGATTTATCAGAGTCCCAATATGAATTTGCACTTGCACCTACCAAATGGCATATGGTGGAAAAGAGAGGACCGGAATTGAGAGCAGGGGAAAAAGGCAGCTTGAATTCCTTTAGAGCTAGAAAAGTAAAAAGGTGCTTTTTGGGTCACACCCGGCAATGCACAGTGCTTACTCCTGGCTCTGCACTCAGGAATTACTCCTGGCGGTGCTCGGGGGACCATATGGGACGCTGGGAATCGAACCTAGTCGGCCGCATGCAAGGCAAATGTCCTACGTGCTGTGTTATAGCTCCAGCCCCGTAAAACGTGTTTACATGCACCGAAAAGAAGTTCCAAGTTTCTTCTTATAATCCCTGAATTGGTTTTAAAATAGTGATTTTTTTCTTCTAGTACCATAGAAACAGAGTGCTTCTGAACGCTCAAGGACTTCTGCCCTTTGTAACCCAGTGGATCTTCTTGAATCGCAAAACTAAGAAAAGGTGTTTTTGTCTTTTGTTTTTGTTTCTTTTTATTCACCAGGGCCATAAAAGAATGTTTGGAACTTATTTCCGAGTTGGTTTCTATGGATCCAAATTTGGGGATTTAGATGAACAAGAATTTGTTTACAAAGAACCGGCCATTACCAAGCTTCCAGAGATCTCCCACAGACTAGAGGTAAGATAAGTGATTCCGTGTGCTAAATATCACGCGCTTTACAAAAACAAGGTAGATCAGACCAAGCCTCCAGACATGGCTTGGTCGTGAATCTATAAATTTTTCCACATTGCATGGATAATGCAACGGTATTAACTAAGATCACAAAGCAAAATTCAGATTTTCCTCCAAGATTCCACAGGCTTGGCAAAGTTTGGAATTATGTCCTACTTATTTTTAAGACCATGCAAAATTCAATATCATGGGCTTTCTTGGAGTCTTTTCCTTTTTCAGCTTGAAGATATATTTATCTTGACTTTGAGCTAATCTGACCAAATCGTCCCTTAAAAAACCTGTGGTCCACCCTCTGGTGTCACTGTCAGAACACTTCTGACCACACAGAGCAACCACACCGTGTGACAGCAACCACAACGTGGGCTATGTGGCGCAACAAAGCCTTCCTATTGAGTTTGGAGCCTCCTCTTTGGATAATCAGAGTCAGTGCTCCATCCCGGGGCTCCCAGCCCCAGCACCAAAGTGTTCACATTCAGTGCTAGCAGCAGAAATGAGCGGCATGTTCATGGGAGAAACCTAGAGCCTTTCAGGGGCACTGTCACACTGTCCTGTTGTTCACCGATTTGCTCGAGCAGGCACCAGGAACATCTCCGTTGTGAGACTTGTTACTGTTTTTGGCATATCGAATCTGCCAGGCTCTGCCATGTGGGCAGGATACTCTCTGGTAGCTTGCCAGGGAGGACGGAGGAATCGAACCCAGGTCCACCGTGTGCAAGGCAAATGCCCTACCCGCTGTGCTATCGCTCCAGCCCAGGAGAAGGAGAAGAAAACTAAAGTCATCAATGACAAGAGACAAAGCACTAAGAAATCAAGCAAAATGTCAAGGGGTTCCCCCAAACCAAAATTGAGTCATTGGGAACCCCTGAATGCAGAGATGCATTCCTTTTGCTTTCTTGCTACTTAACGCTCCTTTTTGGTTGTAAAACTTCAAATGTGCTCGTTATCAAATTGTTTCTTGGCCGATGCCAAGACAGGAAGCTCAGTCCTTACTTGACCTAAAGAAGCCGTGAGCCAGTATGGTTGGTTGATTTTTTTTCGAAGTTGGTTTTATTCATGAAACACAGAGCTAGCAACTGATCCTAGGTCACTCGGTTCCCTAATATGTCGCCCCCTCCTTAGGACTTATAGTCAATACTATTTTCTGGTGCGTGCTGTGGTTTATGATGTTGTGGGAAACTCAATGATCTCCAAGTCCCCCATTTTTTAAAAAGTTTTTATTTATTGAATCACCATGAGAACAGTTACAAAGCTTTCAGGTTTAAGGTTTTCAGTTTCAGTCATACAATGATCAAACACCCATCCCTTCACCAGTGCACATGTTCCACCACCAAGAACCCCAGTATACCCCCCCCATCCCACTCCTCCCCCTCCCTGTGTGGCAGATCATTTCCACTTTACTCTCTCTCTACTTTGATTACATTCAGTATTTCGACAAAAGACCCACCATTATTATTTGGAATTTCCCCCCAACAATCAGTCCTGCCAAAAAGGCATCATTAGATAATCTGTTTTCTATTGCTAATTAAGAAGAGCATAGTGGCCACGCGATTTTGGAATTTTGATATTTTAATACTTAAGTTTGAAGGAATTTCTGACAAAAGCTTCTGGGTTCCAAGATTCATTTGTGTGCCTCTGGGATCATGGTCATTAAGGAGCTCAAAACGTAACCGGAGGAGCTGTTCATGGGCAGCACCTCAGGGTTTCTTTGGGGCTGGGGAAAAGGGCTGGTTCCACCCCCACATCCCGTGAGGCTCCATGTGTCTCGTCACTACTGGACTGCTGGTCTATACCTGACTGTCGAGTAGGCTCTGGAAGATGGCGGCCAATCTCAAATGGCAGTGACTAAATAGTGTCATACAGCTGGAGCTGTCTCAGGAAATACGATGCCTTTGGTTGAATCAAAGCCCAAGTGTACATAACCATAGGAGGTAGGCATCCGTTGGCAATGCTGGACTTCCTTCTATTTTTATTGTTGTTTCAGGAAATACTGAAGTTGCCTCTTTAGCTCAGAGAGACTTTCAATAATCAATGAGCAAAGTCTTGCTCCCATTTGCTTCAAACTTCTACTTCTGAAAAGACAACCATGTATGTTTTATTAAAACAACCTTTTTCTCCTGTTTGCTCTTCTTGCCTAGGGATTTTATGGACAGTGTTTTGGTACCGAATTTGTAGAAGTGATAAAAGACTCTGCTCCTGTGGACAAAACCAAGTTGGATCCTAATAAGGTAAAGGGAAATTTATTTTTAAAAAAAAGTGACTGTAGGGTTGTTTCTTTCTGTTCTCCCCTGAGAACCTAAAGTAGCTTCCTCTGATCAGAATCTAAATGTGCCTAACCATTTTTATTATAGATTCACTGAACTACTATTAGATCAAACCTTCAAGAAATCAGAACTGGCATTAGCGTTTATCAAACACTACATGCCTTGTACTACACTAGGCCCTAAGAAATAATTTTGTTTCATTCTTCACTTGCCCTTAAAAGTAGATTTTGCTGTTTCTATTTTATAAATGAAAAGACTGAGATATATAAAAAAAAAAAGTTTAGCAGTTTCTCAAGATCATGCAAGTATCCAGGCCCCAAACCCACAGTCTCAGTCACTGCTTTTTATGGCCTTTCAGTGAAACTTTAGATCCTCCTTTTTTTTAAAATTTTTTTTTTTTGCTTTTTGGGTCACATCCGGCGATGCTCAGGGGTTACTCCTGGTTCATGCACTCAGGAATCACTCCTGGCGGTGCTCGGGGGACCATATGGGATGCTGGGAATCGAACCTGTGTTGGCCATGTTGGCTGCATGCAAGGCAAACACCCTACCCGCTGTGCTATCTCTCCAGCCCCTAGATCCTCCGTTTAAAACTGGTTGCAAAGTTGCAAACTTGTTACTGGCATCCTTGAGTGGCAACTGCCTCAGGCAGATGGTATTTCTCAAGATCACTCTGAAAGGGGGCCGGACTGCACTCCCCTCACTCTTATCACTAGCCGTTTTCTCTCTCCCTGACAATTGTGGATGTCCTGCTGCACAATTGTGATGCGCCCACAGTTCGGGGGAGACTTCGTCAGCTACGGCTTCAGTCCTCAGAGGCCAACCGCAAGGGGGGCCCCTAGGCCACCTGCATTTCCAACCAGAAAGCTACACAGTTGGGGATTCCCACTCTGCCCCTCAGATTAGATCATTCACAAAAATAACGCAGAAGTAAGTACCCTCGGGAAAGTGCGTTACTGATTCCTGTTATATGGAAAAGATTCAATAGAGGAATCTTTCTCCTAGTGGCCTCCAGGCTTGCCCCCCTTCCAGGCGGGACACACAGTTCACAGGTCAGGAAGCTGCAGCGTGTCTTGTCATCCAGAGTTTTATTGAGGTTTTCATTGGCTGGCTGATTCATCATCTGCTTTGCTCACTCGTTTCCCAGCCCCCTTTCCTGCCAAAAGGTCAGTGTGGTCCAGGCTTCCCACCCTCTAATCACACGACTGCACCTTTTGGTAACCAGTGTCCATCCTAAAACTTTCTAGGGATTTCAGGAGTCACTCAGAATAATTTTCATTGGTTAGTAAAGTAAAGTAAAGGCCCTCCCGTTGAGCATCGATTTGCTCGAGCGGACCCAGTAACGTCTCCATTGGAGACTTTGTTGTTACTGTGTCTGGCATATCGAATACTCTCGGTAGCTTGCCGGGCTCTCCGAGAGGGGCGGAGGAATCGAACTCGGGGCGGCCATGTTGGCTGCGTGCAAGGCAGACGCCCTACCCGCTGTGCTATCGCTCCAGCCCTTTCATTGGTTATTATAATAAAAGTGCCTGCTCGAGGAAATCGATGAACAACAGGATGATCGTGATTATAATAAAAACAAATGCTACACTGAAGTTACTAAAATTATTATTAAAATGACACCCTATGATTCTGAATGTCTTTTGTGGGTTGTTTGGTTTGGGGGTATTTTGTTTGGTTGTTTTGGTTTGGTTGTTCGGTTTGCATTTTAAGCTACACCCAGTGATGCTCAGGGCTTACAACAGGCTCTGTGCTCACGGATCACCCCCGGCAGTGCTTGGGAGACTACGTGGAACCAGGGATCAAATACGGGCAAAGCAAGAGCCTTCACTCCCATACTATCTCTTTGGCTTCTTCTGTGTGTTTTTGAAATTCTGTGCCAGGAAATGTGGACAGTAAATAGATCTATTTTTTATTATGCCCCAGAGGGGTAGATGTCTGCTCAGCCTACCTCATGTATACAGATTTCATGAGGGAAATTTCTAAGCTGCTGAAAAAATTCGGGTATTTTTTGAGGCTGGGGGACAAAGGACCCATCGCTATCTGGCAAGGGTTGACTCTGAGGAATTCAAGATTTTTCTCTCAGTTCTGTCATCAGGATATTATGGTGGTGATGCAAGTTTGGAGGAATTAGCCAAGTTGAAGAGTTTGTTTTTCTGAATAGTTCAGAAGATTCCTTTTTCAAACTTCAGTTCCATGCCCTCATCTCAAAGAAGGAATTGTGAGAAGAGTGTGGCCCTTGAAGGCTGTGGCTGGCTCCGTGCCTGAGATGCTCTGGGCATCGCACATACTATGGAGAGATCCCCAGCGTTCCTGATACAACACACTCGTTCCTCCTCTCTTAAAATGTCCGGGGAAGGTTGTGAAAATTTTACGTGAGAATCGTAACCCAGAATTACGACCAGGTTTCATCAGGCCAAATGGTGATACATTTGGTGATTTATTGACTTACTGGTGATATAACTGTGTCTCACCCATTCTCTACAGTAGGTGGGTGTAGCAGAGCATAGGATCATTGTCATTCTTTCTCTGCTACAGAATTATTCTTTCTCAATAAATGTCCCCTTTATAGGCTCTGTGTGTGTGTGTGTGTGTGTGTGTGTGTGTGTGCATGCATGCACACACGGATGCATAGGCTCCTACTGTAATTAGGTAAGTGCAAAAATTCAGTGTTTAGGTGTTTAGGCCTGTGGATTTTGATAACCATGCAACCATCACCACAATAATGATCTAGAAGACTCCATCACCCAGAAATTTGCCCCTGTCTCCTGTAGAGTCATTCCCTCACTCTGCCTTAGCCCTACCAGTGAACTGTATTCTCTCTCAGCAGCTCGGCTTCTTCTTAAATGTCTTGTCCCTGTTAATAAGCGTAAGCATTTAGCTTTTCCAAGCTAGGCATCTTTCACTTTTCATAATGTGTTTGAGACTCATCTAGATTATAGTAGCTGCTTCCTTTTCGTTGCTGTGTAGTATTCCCCTGCATCGATGTACCATTTATTGATGTATATCACACTGAAGATATACATTTATGTTGCTTATAACTTTCATATTGTGGAGAGTATCACTAGAGATATTTATGGAAAGATTTCAGTTTAGGTTTTAGTTTATGAAAAGGTTTCGTGTAATAAGAGTTTTTTTTAAAATTTTTGTTTTTGCTTTTTGGATCACGCCTGGCGATGCTCAGGGGTTCTCCTGGCTCTGCACTCAGTAGTTACTCCTGGTGGTGATCAGGAGACCATATGGGATTCTGGGAATCAAACCCGGGTCCATGCAAGGCAAACACCCTACCTGCTGGGCATCACTCCAGCCCTGAGTGTTTCTTTTTTCTTCCTTTGAGGCAGCCATGTCAGAGCTCACTTGTGGGCATGTATAATTTAGATCATGTAGCTGTATAAGAAATGTCCAGCTTCTCTGGGAATGTATCGTGTTGCATTCCTGCCTGGATGTGTGGAAGTTCCAGCTGCTTCCTTCCATCCTTCCAGGACTTGATAGCGCCAGATTTCTTGACCTCACCCTTTGGACAGGTGTGCGGCCACCATGGTCCTTCCGACAAAGCAGACTGATCTTTTTCAAACTGAAATTTGCAGTGTCAGGATGAGTTTTAGGCACTCCGTTAGGCCCGCAAGAAGGGGCAGCTTTCTCGTCCTCACTTCACACAGGTATTTTCTTCTTCTCACAATCCTTTGTCTCCAACGGAGAAGATGAAGGATGCCCGGTGCTCTGGGCTCCCAAAGCTTCCTTATCTTGAGGAGGGGGCTGGGGCAGTGTCCACTGTGGTCCCCACCCGCCCCGGAACTCACTGAGGACTCCTTGGCGAACTAGCTCATTCCCTCCTTCCCCGCTTTCCTGTCGCAGGCCTACATACAAATCACGTTCGTGGAGCCCTACTTTGATGAGTATGAGATGAAGGACCGGGTGACCTACTTCGAGAAGAATTTCAACCTGCGAAGGTTCATGTACACGACGCCGTTCACCCTGGAGGGGCGGCCACGGGGGGAGCTGCACGAGCAGTACCGGCGGAACTCGGTCCTCACCACCATGCACGCCTTCCCCTACATCAAGACCAGGATCCGCGTGGTCCAGAAGGAGGAGGTAAGGCTCCCCCAGCAGAGGGAATGGGCGGGCTCCGGGCTGGGACACCCCTGAAGGAAGGCCCCGCGGGGAACCTTCCAGCACACGCACGGGCCGACTTCATGCTCCCTCATGCCAGACTGTACTGGAAATCGAACCCGGGTCAGCTGCATGCAAGGCAAACACCCTACCCACTGTACTATCACTCCAGCCCCAGTTTTTTGTTTTTTAATTTTTATTAGTGAATCACCATGAGGTACAGTTGTAGACTTACAAATTTTTGTGCTTGGGTTTCAGTTATACAATGATCAAGTACCCATCCCTCCACCAGTGCCCATTTTCCACCACCATGGATCCCAGTATCCTTCCCACTCCCCCCCCCCCCATCCCCTTCATCCTACCCTGCCTCTGTGGCAGGGCATTCCCTTTTGTTCTCTCTCTCCTATTGGGTGTTGTGGTCTGCAAAAGAGGCATTGAGTGGCAATCATGTTCGGTCTATAGTCTACTTTCAGCATGCTTCTCCCATCCTGGGGGGATCCTCCCAACACCCTTTATTTGGTGCTCCCTTCTCTATCTGAGCTTTCTAGCCTTTCCCCCTAGAGTGTGCGGCCCAGCCCCAGTTTTGATCTTTAAGATAAATGTGTTTCCGTCATAATGTGGATCAGGATTTCATCTCTTTATTTGCAGTAATTCATTCCTAGGAATAGATACACATTTTTATACTTGTAGCACTGTACCACTGTCCTGTAGCACTGTTCTCCCGTTGTTTATCGATTTGCTCGAGTGGGCACCAGTAACGTCTCCATTGTGAGACTTGTTACTGTTTTTTTGGCACATTGAATACACCACGGGGAGCTTTCCAGGCTCTGCCATGTGGTTGGGATACTCTCAGTAGCTTGCCGGGCTCTCCGAGAGGGACAGAGGGTCAGCTCTCCAAAAGGGTCAGCTGCGTGCAAGGCAAACACCCTAACCACTGTGCTATAGCTCCAGCCCCTTTGCACTTATATTATATAGAAGCAGAATAGGTGTTTTTGTTTGCGCGTTTTTGTTTCGAGGCTATACCAGGCAGTGCTCAGGACTTACTCCTGGCTCTGTGCACAGGGATTACTCCTGGTAGGCTCAGGGGAGCATGCCAGGTGCTAAGGATCAAACCTGGTCCTGCTGCCTGCAAAGCAAGCACTCTATCCAGAGTATTATCTCTGTGTCCCCTAGAAATAGAGGCTTAAAATATTCAGAACTGACAGGTGGTGAAGGCACAATTGTGGTGATAATTGTCAGAAACAGGAACCAGACAATCAAGTCGCCCCAAAGGATTGGTGGTTTCCAAAAGGAAGTTCCAAGGCCAGGAAAACTGCCCCAGCTTCTTCTGGAACTGCACAAACTACTCACCTGCTTTTCATTTGCCTGTTGACAGCAAAGATGCTGCCCTGTTCCCTGGTTCTCTGTACAGGGTGACACATCTAGTCGATCAAGAACATGTCTCATTGGGGCCGGAGCGGTAGCACAGCACGTAGGGTATTTGCCTTGCATGTGGCCGACCCAGGTTCAATCCCTGGTATCCCATATCGTCCCCAAAGCATGACCAGGGGTAATTCCTGAGTGCAGAGCCAGAAATAACCCCTGAGCATCACAGGGTGTCACCCAAAAAGAAAAAAAAAAGTCTCAAGTTTTACAATTGCTCAAAATTAGGCACACTTTAAAGGCTGGGGTGATAGCACAGCGGTAGGACATTTGCCTTGCACGCAGCCAGCCCGGCCGACCCAAGTTTGATTCCTCCACCCCTCTTGGAAAGCCGGCAAGCTACCGAGAGTATCTCACCCGCACAGCAAAGCCTGGCAAGCTACCTGTGACGTGACGTATTCGATATGCCAAACCCAGTAACAACAAGTCTCACAATGGAGACGTTACTGGGCCCGCTCGAGCAAATCGATGAACAACGGGAGGACAGTGCTACAGTGCTAGGACCGTGCTCCTTTGAAACACATAGAGGTACATCCCCTTGCCATCCCTTTCCCTGGGGCCCAAGCTGTTCCCTGCTGGGACTCTGGGCTGGCCAGTCAGAGCTCAGCCTTGTCTTCCTTGGACAAAACCACCCCCGCGAAATGCCCTGCCCTTCATTTTGCGCTTGGGTTTTTATTAACTTGAGCAAGCGATTACAGATCGTTAAGCAAATATGGAGCAGAATTCTTCTAGGTTTTTATAATTTTTTTTTTTGTCTTGCATACACCTAACATGATAGGAATCTCTAGACTCACTTTCATAATATGTTGGCCAAGCACTGAGCTTGGCTTTCATAGGGGCGACTCTTCCCTTTTCACACCCATAGTTCATCAGCGTATGCATTGTTTAATTAGCTTAGATCACTGAGATAACCTAGGAGGCACAGGGAAGTTGGTGAGCAGATTCACATGAATTGTGGTTGGGCTGGAGCAGAGAAGGATGAGCTCGCTGGGGAGTAGCCAGGTGCTGGAGGTTGCCACAAAGCGGCCAGTTTCGTAGAAGGCAAAGAAAGCCTGACCGGTGACTCCACTAAGAGGAGGCCACTTTGGAAAGCCTCTGTTTTGTGTGTGTGTGTGTGTGTGTGTGTGTGTGTGTGTGTGTGTGTGTGTGTGTTTTGCTTTTTGGGTCACACCCGGCAATGCACAGGGGTTACTCCTGGCTCTTTACTCAGGACTTACTCCTGGCAGTGCTCGGGGGACCCTATGGGATGCTGGGAATCGAACCCGGGTCGGCCACGTGCAAGGCAAACGCCCTACCCGCTGTGTGGAAAGCCTCTGTTTGATTGCTGCCTTGGACCTTTTACTTATATAGTTGTTCTCTTATTTGAAGCACTGTGGCTGTCATACTGTTACTGGGAATGGTAAGGTGTCATGCATACAACATTCTAACAGCACCCCGACCCGAGCGTCTGCTTCCCTCCACCACTGTCTTAAAGTACTCCCAATCTCAACCCACCTCCCTGCTTTCTCCCTGCCAGAGGCAGCTCAATGCTGTGGCTCCGTTCTCAGGTTCTGTTGCCTTTAGCCATTTGTTTTTTTACTTATTATGTTTCTTCATGGCCCACATGTGAGAGAGGTCATTTGGGATCTGTACGCCCCCTCTTCTTGCTGACTTTGCCTAGCATGAGGCCCCCTAGTTCCATCCATGTAGTAGCAAATTACATGAGTTCATCTTTTCTTAAAGCGAGGACTATGCTATTGTGTCTATGGACCGTAGTTTCTTTATCCAGTCATCTGTTCTTGGATGGTTGGGTTGCTTCCAGATCTTAGCTAGTGCGAGTAGTGCTGCATTAAACAGAGAATCACACACGTCCTTTGAAGATTTTTTTTTGGGCCCTTGGGGTAGATGCCAAGAAGTTGGATTACCTATGAATGGGTTCATATGGAAGTTCAATTCTTAGTCTTTTGAGAAGTGTCCATGTTGCTTTCCAAAGAGGTTGGACCAGTCAGTATTCCCACCAGAGAGGAGGAGGGTCCCTTTCTCCCATGACCACACCAACACTGGTTTTTGTTCTCTTGGATGCGTGCCGGTTCACCAGTGTGAGATGATATCTCATTGTTGTTTTGATTTGCATTTCTCTGATGATAAGTATGAAGAGCATTTTTCCTGTACCTATTGGATTAGACTTATTTTTTATTTATTTTTTATTTGTCCACTTTCTTATTGAATCACTTTGCAAACAATAGTTGCAAAGTTGTTCATGATTGGGATTCAGTCATGCACTGTTCCAATACCCATCCTTCATCAGCGTACATTTCCCACCACCAAGGACCCCAGTTTCACTCCTGCCACCCTAACACCCCCAGTCTGCCTCTATGGCAGACAGTCTCTCTCTCAGTCTCTCTCTCTCTCTCTCTCTCTCTCTCTCTCTCTCTCTCTCTCTCTCTCTCCTTCTCTCTCCTTTATGGTATTGTGTGGTTTGCATACAGGTTGTCCTGTATATTATTTCAGCTCTCAGTTATTGTCCAGAGTGATCATTTCCAACTATCATTGTCATAATAGTCCCTTCTCTGTCTTATCTGTCCTGTCCTCCCCACTCTCTGTGGTGAACTTCCAACAGGAACCAGTTCTCTTGGTCCTTGTTTCTACTCGGATTTCTTTTGTAAAATAGCACCACAGCCCAGCAGTATTAAAGGGTCACCAGTTGCTGCTTGGGGTACCAGGAAATGGTCAAACTCAAACTCGGGGCCTCACACATGTGAGGCATGGGCTCTACCTCTGAGCTGCCTCCCTCCTCCTTGTTCCAGTTTCTGAGCACCAGGACATGGTGTGCATAGCACTGAAATAAACTCATAGGCCCAGTAAGAGGCCTCACAGCTTTCTGCGGCTGTCTATAGTTCCCTGAGAACATAGTATTTTCCTTGGCTAGGGATGCTGTAGCAAAGTACTGCAGACTAGGGCTTAAACGGCAAAAGTATATTCTGGAGAATACACTTCCCAGTTCTAGAGACCTGAAGTTTAAGATCAGGGTGCAGTTCGAGCTGCAGGGAGCTGCAGATTTTGCTCTTTCCTTGGCTCCTGGAAAGACATCTCCTTCTTATGTCTCTTCCAGGACTTCCCTCTCTCTCTGAGTCTCTGTGTCTAAATTTCCTTGAATTCCTATAGGAGCTTTATTTAGTTTGAACTTGAGTCCATCCTAATCATCACCTTTTAGTTTGACCTTCTTTTTGTTTGTTTTGTTTTTGTTTCTGTTTTGGGACCACACCTGGCAGTACTCAGGGGTTACTCCTATCTCTGCACTCAGGAATCACTCCTGGTGGTGGTCAGGGGACATATAGGGTGCTGGGGATCAAACTCAGGTCAGCCTCATGCAGGGCGAACACCCTACCCATTGTACTGTTGTTCAACTCTCCTCATTTGACTTTCTTTATAAAGACCCTGCCTATCCCAAGTAAGGTTCCAGGCAGAGGCATTTGAAGCTGAGACTTTAATAGATGAATTTAGGGGATATGGGATGAGTCAACCCATAATCACCTACACTAAACCAGTGAAACTTAGCAAGCAGAAGATTGATCCCCCATACTAGGAATTCACTTCCAGGTCAGTTATTTAAGGCACAAATAATGCCCAAATCATGTTATGATGGAGAAGAAAATCTGAGTGCTGTTCTTCTTAAAGCCTTGCCAGAATAACTTTTCCGGTGGTTTGAGATGGAAGTTTTTTTTTTTAATTTTTATTAGTGAAACACCATGAGGTACAGTTGTAGACTTACAAATTTTTGTGCTTGGTTTTCAGTTATACAATGATCAAATACCCATCCCTCCACCAGTGCCCATTTTCCACCACCATGGATCCCAGTATCCCTCCCACCCTCATCCCCACCCATCCCACCCTACCTCTGTGGCAGGGCATTCCCTTTTGTTCTCTTTCTCCTTTTGGGTATTGTGTTCTGCAAAAGAGGCATTGAGTGGCAATCGTGTTCGGTCTATAGTCTACTTTCAACATGCAGGAGATGGAAATTTGACAGTGCAGAAAGACCACAGACACCATTGTATCAAAGCTGCCTCAGCCCCACTTAGTACCTAAGTCATGTTGTGGCACTTACTTGATCTCCCAAATCCTTCTCTGATGACATAATGGAGACTGGTTAAGGAACAAATGATAAATGTCTGTAAGCTCCGGAGCAGAATAAGCAATCAAGAAACATCAGGCCCTTTCTTCTCTTAACTCGTCTTTGTTATTGTAAGAAATTACTCTCTACCTCTCCTTTAATGCTTCTGCTTCTTCCAAGCTTGCTGCCCCTTCTGTCCTCTCCTCACGTTTGTTCCTGGCCTTTCAGACCAGACACTGACTTTCCTCCCTTTTGTTTAGTTTGTTTTGACACCAATCGAAGTGGCCATTGAAGATATGAAGAAGAAGACCCTGCAGTTAGCAGTCGCCATTCACCAAGAGCCTCCTGATGCCAAGATGCTTCAGATGGTGCTGCAGGGCTCCGTGGGAGCGACTGTCAACCAGGTGAGCAAAAACAAAAGGCGACTGCTCTGCCCCAGGTCTTTGGCTTTCATCATAGGGCCTCACCCTTCATCCTAGATGCTGAGTCCAGTTGACATGCGAATGATGTTGTTGAGCTGATGCAGAATACCTGTGAGGTTGAAAAGAGTTTGAGGAGACCTCTTCTGCTTCACATAACAACTCAAGGTCACAAGAAAGCACTCAGATGCGGGAACTTTGTCTGAGGAACAGCATTTTCTCAGCAAAGGCGTTCCTTGGGGAAAACTTGATTATAGGATCCTGATTTAGGGCCCTACTAGATTGTTGGGTCACACCCAATTTAGTCAAGTTATTCCAGAGTTTGAGACTCACCTAAGAGCATCCATGGAGGACCAGCGAGGTAGTACAGAGGGTCAGGCACTTGCCTTTCATGCAGCCAAGCCCAATCTAGTCCCCAAGAATGGCCGTAAGTGACCCCTGAGAGCACAGAGCTAGGAATAGCCCCTGAGCACTGTTGGGTGTGGTCCTCAAACGAAAAATAAGTAATTTAAAAAAATTTTAAGTTGCCATAGAAGATAAGAGAAGGAACCTAGAATGTTTAAACACCCTAGTTTGTCACCTGATGAGCCCAGCCTGCCAGGAGCCTGCAAACACGAGTGATCTTGAAGCAGGCTTCTTGACTTCTTCAGACCAGACTGGAACCTCTCAGACCCACCAGCCTCTTATCTCTCGAGTTCATCATGGAACTAAAACCATCTCGGATAGAGGGAGGTACTAGTTTACCCTGACCTATGGACGGCCTTGATTTCAGATGTAAGTCTGCTCCGGGTCTGCTCCAGTCTGCATCTCCACAGGGTCAACCTCAGTAGAAATCACTGTTTTTTTCCTCGCTTGACACAAATGGAGTCCACTAAAAATTTTCCGTGTGCATGTAATATAACGAGCACAGAAAATAGCAACGAAAAAAATGATTATTATCTTTCGAATCTCAGATAACATTAGGAAACATTTGCTCTTTGCTATTGGTTTTGGTGTTTTGCTGATTATTTTGGAACACACTCAGAGATGCTCAGGGCTCACTCCTGGCTCTGCACTCAGGAATTACTCCTGGAGATGCTTGCGGGGAGAGGAGGGACATATGGGAGACTGGGAAGCACACCCAGGTGGGCTATGTGCAAGGCAAATGCCCTGCTATACTATCGTTTCAGCCCAAGAAGGTGTTTTTGAAAATCTCAGTCATCTGACAAAATTAGAAAATGTTGTAAGCTCACAGTCTCACTATATATAAGTGGTCCTCACAAGCTGGAAAAATTGGACAAGTGATATGAATGGTTAGTCCAAGACAGCATTCCTTAGGAGGAAAGAAATACAAAGGTTGTATATACTCTTGATCTTAATAAGCAGATACATTCATACTTCTGAGTTTTTGCCTCAAACTTCAGACGCCTAAGGAATCCAAGTTTCTTAGGAAGTCCAAGACCTTCTTTGTTTCCACCAATCTAACCACAAAATTAAATATTTGAGCCTATATATATCACTCCAAGACCTTCTTCCACTAAAATTTAATTTTCCTGCTTAGATCAGTATTGTGTTTTGCTTTTTCCATCAGGGACCACTGGAAGTAGCCCAAGTATTCTTGGCCGAAATTCCAGCTGACCCGAAACTTTATCGGCATCACAACAAATTGAGATTGTGCTTTAAGGAATTCATTATGAGGTAAGTAGGAAAAATGAATTCAAATTTAGTAGAACAATATTTTTCAGAGAAATACTGCTGTAGCAGTGTGTTCCCAATCTGGTCCTCCAGACCAGCAACTTCAGTAACACCTAGATTCTAGAACTTTCTAGAAGGCACCATAGGATTCCTGTTCAGACTCAGATCATAGAGGCACTGCAGAGAACAATGCCTTCATTCTTTCGGGTGTCTCACATGTAAGTACTTTTGTGTTAGTCACCTCAATATGTGCCTCACAACATCGTTGTGACACGTGCGCCATCGCACCATCCTCAGAGTCTCAGGGATAGAAGGTGATGTTCCTTAAGATCACACAGCCACTTAGAAGCAGAGTTGAATTCGAAACAGGGTCTTCTGCATCCAAACCACCCACACTCCCTGCAGCGTGCTGAAATTCCACTGCTGTTACCACTGCTGATTCACTGCTGGGAGAGGTTCTTGGCACTAGCGACTTTTGTAATATATCATACAATAACTTTGGTTCTGAAATGTAAATAGAGGCACTCCCTCCAGTTGGGAGACAAAGACCATGCTCTTGGACAGGACTTTTTCAAGGTCTCATCTCTCTAAAGTTCCCAATATATAGCAAACCTCAACTCTGCTCCTGAATTCTTGCAGTGGGGCTGATTTCAAGGGTGGTCATTCTGGACATGAAGTGGGTCTTCATTCCTGATCTCGCAGTCTGTTGAGGTACGTTGGGTCTCCTGAGGGCCCAAAATGAGTGATTATGAAGGAGGTGATCACATTTCATCCTCAAGAGGAAAGGACATTAGAAAAAAATCTATCCTATGAAATCTTAAGTCTTATGGTGGCATTTCAAGTATAGGTAGGAATATCCTCGCATCACAGATAAAAGGGGGAGAAAGGAGAAAGAACGTTACAGTTGGCTGGTTATGTGAAACTTACCGTGCTGTCATCAAGTGAGACCAGAATCATGTGCTTTGCAGACTTTAGTGCGAAGTAGGCCAATTCTTATGAATAAAAGTGAACATGTTGTCTTGCAGTAAATCATAGCTGCTGGTGATAGGTGTGTGAGTGTGTGTAGTGGGGGAGGTGATGACATATGAAATGCATTTTGAACATTTTCACGGTTAAGGAGACCTATGTTGGTGAGACAGGGAAATAAGATCCAGGTGGAATGGCTTACACACACACACACACACACACACACACACACACACACACACACTCTTACTTTTTCCCATCCCACCTGCCATAGTTCTAAAAAGAAAAAAAATTCTCTTCCAATGAGGGGTACTCTCAGCCCTTCCACATTCCCCAGCTTTCTTTTTAATTTTTTTTTTAAATTTAAAGAACTTTCACTGTCACTGTCACTGTCCTCCCATTGTTCATCAATTTGCTCCAGTGGGCCCAGTAACGTCTTCATTGTGAGACTTGTTGTTACTGTGTTTGGCATATCGAATACGTCACGGGTAGCTTGCCAGGCTGTGCTGTGTGAGCGAGATACTCTCGGTAGCTCTCCAAGAGGGGCCAAGGAATCGAACCTGGGCCAACCAGTTCAGCCACATGCAAGGCAAACACCCTGCCCACTGTGCTATTGCTCCAGCCTACAAAATTACTGATAGTTGAGTTTTAGGCATATAATATTTCACTTTTTTTTTCTTTTTTCATCGTCACACTTGGCGATGCACAGGGATTACTCCTGGCTCTGCACTCAGGAATTACTCCTGGTGGTGCTCGGGGGACCACATGGGATGCTGGGAATCGAACCTGGGTCGGCCGCGTGCAAGGCAAACGCCCTACCCGCTGTGCTATCTATCGCTCCAGCCCCAGCATATAATATGTCAATACTAGTGCCACCACAGTGTCAACTTTCCTGCAATGTTCCCATGTTCCCTCCCCACCCAACCCCCACCCCATCCCTGCCTATCAACTTCACAGGCATATTATAAATTTCCAGTGATTGCAGCTGAGATCTTGTTTTCAGTGTTGTTGAGTCTGCTTTGGATATATGGCCATACTCCTCACCCATATCACTGATAACACTGGAGAGCCTGGGCCTGATGCCTCTTCACCCATTACTTCCTGTTCTCTTCTTCCCCTCTTGATTTTGCTCCTTATCTGATCTCCAATAAACGCTGGGGCCAAGGATGATCTAGGCATCCCCTTGCCTTTCATTTTCATTTCATTTCATCATCCTGTTAATCGTCGATTGCCTCGAGCAGGCCCCAGTAACGTCTCTTTCATCCTAGCCCTGAGATTATATTCACGGCTCTTTAGGAGAATGAGACCCATCATTGTTACTGGTATTTGGCATATTTGGTAGGCCACGGGGAGTTTGCCAGACTCTGCCCTGTGGGCAGGCTACATTCGATAGCCTGCAAGTTTGTCCCAAGTAGGAATGAGATAATAAGGTGTCGCGCGGCCGCGAATGCGGCCGCGCGGTTCCGGGATCTGGATTTTATAGTCTCTGAGTCTTGGCCGCTGATGGGATTACACGGCGCCAGGGGGCCAGGTGGTGGGTGTGACCCCCGCCTACTGGAATTTGGAGGATCTGGGTGGAAGATGCTCGACTCCAATTCGAGTAGGCTTGGAGGTCTCGGCCCCGGAACCCGCGTGGCTTTGTCCCTCTGCCAGTACCTTCAGGTGTGCGGAGAGTGGTCTCAGCATGGTGGTGGCTGGTCCTGGAGGTCTCCGGCTGCCGTAGCCCTGGCCGGGGCGGGGAGGAAAGCTCAACCCGCTCCCCTCCAAGGGACTCCGGGAAGGAATACCGAGGCGCGGGGGCAGAGACTGCACTGGTCTCGTCCGGGATCTGGATTTTATAGTCTCTGAGTCTTGGCCGCTGATGGGATTACACGGCGCCAGGGGGCCAGGTGGTGGGTGTGACCCCCGCCTACTGGAATTTGGAGGATCTGGGTGGAAGATGCTCGACTCCAATTCGAGTAGGCTTGGAGGTCTCGGCCCCGGAACCCGCGTGGCTTTGTCCCTCTGCCAGTACCTTCAGGTGTGCGGAGAGTGGTCTCAGCATGGTGGTGGCTGGTCCTGGAGGTCTCCGGCTGCCGTAGCCCTGGCCGGGGCGGGGAGGAAAGCTCAACCCGCTCCCCTCCAAGGGACTCCGGGAAGGAATACCGAGGCGCGGGGGCAGAGACTGCACTGGTCTCGTCCGGGATCTGGATTTTATAGTCTCTGAGTCTTGGCCGCTGATGGGATTACACGGCGCCAGGGGGCCAGGTGGTGGGTGTGACCCCCGCCTACTGGAATTTGGAGGATCTGGGTGGAAGATGCTCGACTCCAATTCGAGTAGGCTTGGAGGTCTCGGCCCCGGAACCCGCGTGGCTTTGTCCCTCTGCCAGTACCTTCAGGTGTGCGGAGAGTGGTCTCAGCATGGTGGTGGCTGGTCCTGGAGGTCTCCGGCTGCCGTAGCCCTGGCCGGGGCGGGGAGGAAAGCTCAACCCGCTCCCCTCCAAGGGACTCCGGGAAGGAATACCGAGGCGCGGGGGCAGAGACTGCACTGGTCTCGTCCGGGATCTGGATTTTATAGTCTCTGAGTCTTGGCCGCTGATGGGATTACACGGCGCCAGGGGGCCAGATGGTGGGTGTGACCCCCGCCTACTGGAATTTGGAGGATCTGGGTGGAAGATGCTCGACTCCAATTCGAGTAGGCTTGGAGGTCTCGGCCCCGGAACCCGCGTGGCTTTGTCCCTCTGCCAGTACCTTCAGGTGTGCGGAGAGTGGTCTCAGCATGGTGGTGGCTGGTCCTGGAGGTCTCCGGCTGCCGTAGCCCTGGCCGGGGCGGGGAGGAAAGCTCAACCCGCTCCCCTCCAAGGGACTCCGGGAAGGAATACCGAGGCGCGGGGGCAGAGACTGCACTGGTCTCGTCCGGGATCTGGATTTTATAGTCTCTGAGTCTTGGCCGCTGATGGGATTACACGGCGCCAGGGGGCCAGATGGTGGGTGTGACCCCCGCCTACTGGAATTTGGAGGATCTGGGTGGAAGATGCTCGACTCCAATTCGAGTAGGCTTGGAGGTCTCGGCCCCGGAACCCGCGTGGCTTTGTCCCTCTGCCAGTACCTTCAGGTGTGCGGAGAGTGGTCTCAGCATGGTGGTGGCTGGTCCTGGAGGTCTCCGGCTGCCGTAGCCCTGGCCGGGGCGGGGAGGAAAGCTCAACCCGCTCCCCTCCAAGGGACTCCAGGAAGGAATACCGAGGCGCGGGGGCAGAGACTGCACTGGTCTCGTCCGGGATCTGGATTTTATAGTCTCTGAGTCTTGGCCGCTGATGGGATTACACGGCGCCAGGGGGCCAGATGGTGGGTGTGACCCCCGCCTACTGGAATTTGGAGGATCTGGGTGGAAGATGCTCGACTCCAATTCGAGTAGGCTTGGAGGTCTCGGCCCCGGAACCCGCGTGGCTTTGTCCCTCTGCCAGTACCTTCAGGTGTGCGGAGAGTGGTCTCAGCATGGTGGTGGCTGGTCCTGGAGGTCTCCGGCTGCCGTAGCCCTGGCCGGGGCGGGGAGGAAAGCTCAACCCGCTCCCCTCCAAGGGACTCCGGGAAGGAATACCGAGGCGCGGGGGCAGAGACTGCACTGGTCTCGTCCGGGATCTGGATTTTATAGTCTCTGAGTCTTGGCCGCTGATGGGATTACACGGCGCCAGGGGGCCAGATGGTGGGTGTGACCCCCGCCTACTGGAATTTGGAGGATCTGGGTGGAAGATGCTCGACTCCAATTCGAGTAGGCTTGGAGGTCTCGGCCCCGGAACCCGCGTGGCTTTGTCCCTCTGCCAGTACCTTCAGGTGTGCGGAGAGTGGTCTCAGCATGGTGGTGGCTGGTCCTGGAGGTCTCCGGCTGCCGTAGCCCTGGCCGGGGCGGGGAGGAAAGCTCAACCCGCTCCCCTCCAAGGGACTCCGGGAAGGAATACCGAGGCGCGGGGGCAGAGACTGCACTGGTCTCGTCCGGGATCTGGATTTTATAGTCTCTGAGTCTTGGCCGCTGATGGGATTACACGGCGCCAGGGGGCCAG